ACTCAAAATACAACTGCAGAAGGGCAGCCTCTTTAACATCTAGCCAGCCCTAATGCGTGGAGTAAAGTTTTGGGGATCTTCATTTGCTGAAAGGGCATGACTCAAAATGAGAATGGGTACAAACAGCGATTACTATATAATCAGAATGTACACTGTATGAAGTGTTATGGTAGGGAAACTGGATATTGTCAAATATGAAATGTGAAGTATAAAATTGCTTTCATAGGCATTAGTTATCGGAAATGGTATTGGTAATTTTGAGTGGGACAATATATGATTTATAATGCTTGGAATGACACGTTAAAGAGGAATGGTATCACACTGTCAAAAAGAACATTTCGAGATCTAATTTGAAGTACAATGCTATTAATGATAGAAAAATATTTTTATGCCTACAAGGAAATTCAGTCAATACAACTATTTTTCAAATTTACGTACAAACCACTAAAGCTAGTGATGAAGAATTCTACCAACTTCTTCAGTCAGATGAATCAACAAGTAATCCAGCTGAACTGATATTTATTGGTAACTAGAATGCAAAAGTTGGAAACAAAGGAGAAGGAACAGTATTTGGAAGATTTGGCCTTAGTGATAGAAATGAAGCTGGAGATTTCATGATAAAATTTTATAAGACTAATGACTTCTTCATTGTAAACATCTTTATTCAAAAGCATCAACAGTGACAATACACATGGACCTTCGTGATGGAATACACAGGAATCAAATGGATTAGATCTGTTGAAAAGTGATGATGTAGAAGTTCACTATCATCAGCAAAAATAAGGACAGGAGAAAAGTGAGGGACAGACCATCAAACACTCACAGGTAAGTTCAAGTTGAAGTTAAAGGAAATTTAAAAAGCCCATGAGAGCCAAACACAACTCTGAGTACATTCCATCTAAATTTAGAGACCATTCAAGGGCAGATTAGATTCAGAGAACACTAAATTAGACCAAAGACAAGATATGTATGATATCAAAATGATATCAAAATATCATGCATGAGGAAAGTTAAAAAGGTCACTACAAAGACAAAACAGAAACAAAGTGGCTGTCATAAGAGAATCTAAAACAAGTTCTTGAACCTACAGTAGCTAAAGTGAATGAAGGAAATAAAAGAACTGAACAGAAAATTTCCAAAATTTTGTAAAGTAAAGCATTATGACAAAATGTAGAGAGATGTGGATTTAGAAAATCAAAAGGGACAAACATGCCCGGTCTATCTGAAAGCTAAAAGAAAAAAAATTAAGTCACAATATTTAGAACTTAATGGGAAAATATTGAATGATACAGAAAGCACCAAAAGATGGAAGGAATAAATAGAGTCAGTGTACCAAAAAGAATTGGCCAACATGCAACCATTTCAAGAGCGAGCACATGATCAAGGACCAGTGATACCGAGAAAGAAGTCCAACCTGTACTGAGGGCCAAAAACAAAGCCCCAGGAATAGCCTACCAAGTGAAATGTTTCAACAAACTGACACAGTATTGTTAACTCTGACTAGTTCTTGAAAAGAAATTTTGAAGATTGCAACCTGTACAATACACTAGAAGAAAGCCACATTTATGCAAAGAAAGGTGACCCAACAGAATAGGAAATTATCCAATAATATCATTGAATTATATACAAGTAAAAATTTTAAGGTGATACAAAAAGGGAATCGCCAGTAATGCAACCTGGATTCAAACAGAAGAGCGTGTGGGATAAGGGCTATCACTGCTATCCTGGGATAGAACTTGGGTGAAAGCAGAGAGTACCAGAAAGACGTTTTCTTGACTGTGTAATGACATTTGATTATGTGGGTCTTAGCAAACTATAGGTAACATTGTGATTAATTGGAATTTCAGAACACTTAATTGTGCTCATGCAGGGCAGATACAAAGACCTAGAGAGAGTTGTTCAAACAGTATATATCAAGGTTGCATCAATCTATATGCTGAGCTGGATTATATCAAGACAAACAACATCAGGAATAGAAGAAGGCTCATTAACAGTCTGTGATAAGGAAATGACACTTGCTTGCTGAAAGTCACAGCACTTGAAGCACGTTTGAAGATCAAAGAAAACAGCCTTTAATATGGTTTACAATGCAACATAAAGAGAACAAAAGTCCTTGCAACTTCACCAACAGACAACATCATGATAAATACAAAAAGGATTGAAATTGTGCAAGATTTCATTTTACTCAGATCTCTAGCAAGCACTCATAAAACAGCAGCCAAGAAATGATAACAATGTATTGTACTGGGCAAATCTGCTACACAAGACCTCTTTAAAATGCTAAAGAACACAGATGTCATTGTAAGGACTAAAGTGAGCCTAATCCAATGAGGTATTTCCAGTTGCCTCATATGCCCGTGAAAGTTGGACAATGAAGATGGAAGATGGGAGAAGACCCGATGATGCACTTAAATTATGGCTTTGGGGAAGAATATAAAAAATACCTGGTTGCCATAAACAAATCTATCTTGACAGAAGTACAGCCATAATATTCCTTAGAAGCAGACTTTGTCCCACATCATTTGGACATGTTATCAGGAGGGACAGTCCCTAGAGAAAGACATCATGCTTGGTCAGTGAAAAAGGCCCTAACGAGATGAACTGACACAGTGGCTCCAAGCATAACGAGTGTGAGGATGGCACAGACGTGGGCAGTGGTTCATTTGCTGTATATAAGGTCACTCTGAGTCAGAGGTAACTTGATGACACCTAATAACATTCTTTCTTTTTTTTTAAAATAAAATAAAATATAAATATATTCCCTTAAGCTAATAAATGTTTTAATCTTATACATATCTTAATTACAAATTATAAATCTTAGATAGCAATATCAGAAAGTGGAAAGATGAAAGTATAACTTCCAATCATATTCAATATAACTTTTTGGTAAAAATATTGTAAAAGAATAAAATAAAATATTACTTAAAAAAAAGTTCAATACAAGTTATCTAAATGGTTATTTATTGTTTAAATTTCCCCAAAAATGAAACAGTTATAAAAGTTAAGAAACCATTACCCAGCATTTTTAAAACTTAAGAAAGTCTGAGAAAACATTAGGTGAGAAGTAGATCAACTATCTTCAGTTCACAAGTTACTGGTAAGCATAGATTAATCATAAGTTGTTGTTATGTGCCAAGGAGCCTGTTGTGATTCAGAGCAACCGTACGTACAACATATCCTCACGTTTGTCCTTCTATGTGAGCCCACTGTTGCAGCCACTGTGTCACTCCATCTCCCTGAGGGTCTTCCGCGTTATCTAGGGCCCTCTCCTTGACCAAGCAAGGCGTCCTTCTCCAGGCACTGGTCTCTGCTGACAACATGTCCATTGCCTGTAAGGAGCGACGGTTCTAAAATAGATTTGTTCTTTTAGCAGGCTGTGGTACCTCAATATTCCTTCCATATTTCAATCCTTAATATTCTTCACCAAAACCATAATTCAAATGAATCCATTTTTCTTCAGTCTTCCTTATTCATTGTTCAACTTTCACATTCATATGAAAAAGAAAACCTCAAGCTCACTGCCATCCATTCGATGCCAACTCATAGGGACTCCTTAGGGTAGGGGGAACTGCCCCAGTGGGTTTCCAAGATCGGAACTCTTTACAGAAGTAGAAGCCCATGTCTTTTCTCCTGCGACTGAAAATACCATGCCTTGCGTCAGATGCACCTTAGTCCTCAAAGTACAATTCTTGCTTTTTAACACTTTAAAGAGGTCTTGTGGAGCCAATTTACCAAATGCAATGTGTCGTTTTATCTCTTGATTGCTGCTTCCATGAGCACTGACTGTGGATCCAACCAAGATGAAATTCTTGACAACTTCAACCTTTTCTCCGTTTATCATGATATGATGCATTTAACTCTTGGTCCAATTGTGAAGATTCTGGTTTACTTTACAATGGGTGGTAATCCATACTGAAGGTTGGAATCCTTGGTCTTCATCAGCAAATGTTTCGAGTCGTCCTCACTTTCAGCAAGCAAGGTTGTGCCCTCTGCATATTTTAGGTGTTAATAAATCTTCCTCTAATCCTAATGCTGCATTCTTCTTCAATAACATAGAGAGCATAAATTAACAATAAGGAACCTTTATATGATGGCACCCTATTGGGGCTGTCAGGTAGCCTTGGACTGATAACCTCAGGTATGCAGTTTAAATTCATGAGTCTCTTTAAGGGAGAAAGATGAGGCTCCCCTGCAGGTTTACAACTTCTGAAATCTTCAATAGTGTCACTATGAGCTGGAATAAACAGTGGCAATGCATTTGGGTTTTATTATATAATACTCGATATTAAGAAATCAATGAACATCTTAATTAGAGATAATCCTGGAAAATTAGTAGAATTGTACTCCTTAGGGTTTGTATGGCTGGATTTCCAATGTAGATCCAAGGTTCCTCTAGGTCAGCAGTTCTCGACCTGTGGGTCAAGACGCTTTTGGGGGTCGAACGACCCTTTCACAGGGGTCGCCCAATTCATAACAGTAGCAAAATTGCAGTTATGAAATAGCAATGGAAATAATTTTATGGTTGGGGGGACACCACAACATGAGGAACTGTATTACAGGGTCACGGCATTAGGAAGGTTGAGAACCATTGCTCTAGGTAGACTCAAACTTCCACACTTTTGGCTAATAGCTAAGCATATTTATAGTTTGTAATACCCATGAACACCAAAATAAGTCTCATAAAGATTAATAAAAAAGATCAGCTTTAAAATACTAACACAATTTACCCACTCTGGCATGGAAAGGCTGCTCAGAATTAATTTTTTTTAATTCTTCCTAAATTGCTTGATGCTAAAAACATCTTGCTTTAAAAGTGTTCAAAAGAATTTCAGGGTGTAGCAAGAAAGAATTTTCATTTGATAATAAAGGTTAAACATGACACATGGCCATAAAAGATAAAGGTAGATTTAAAAGATGGCACATCCATTCCATCTTCATATCCCATTACTGTATCAACAAAACATGCAAAGTAATTAAAAGTTCTTATTTAATACTCATAACTTTTTTCCCTGGATTTTCATTCAAAAGCAGCTCCTCAAATAGTATTTCACAACGATCAGCAACTGTGTTTAATATATCTCTCTTGATGGCCTACGAAAGACAATAAGGGAAAAACGTTACTTTAGATTTGTTACTTTATTACTAAAATTATCTTCATGTTTCCCCAAATAAAAAGTATGCCTAAAAGGTTAGCATTCAACTTTTTATTTCCACATATTTAGCATGCTTATTAGTATATTAATAGTTTAATGTGAAATTTGCATAGTCCTCATATAAACAGTATAACAAAACTAAGTAAGTGTATGAGATTTTAAACGGAAACAAATATTACTAGTGTTCTAAATTAGGAAGTATATATCTGAAAAAAATACTAGTCTTTAAAAATATTTTTGAATTATATTCATTATAGACGACTATCTTAGTAGTTCTCCCAATTAATACTTTTCCTGATATTAAAATGATATTGTATTATTAGGTATATTTGGTATATTATGGGCTTCTGTGGTATATTTGATATATTATGGGCTTCTTTGGTGTATTTGGTATATTATGGGCTTCTATCAGTTAAAATCAAATTAATAAGTATAAAATCTAAGAATGACAAAAGATAACATTTTAAGATTTTTGAATCATTATGATGCTTCTTTTTTCATATACCAGTTTGTTCTTTCTGTACCTGCACAGCATCTTTAACCTTGGGTTTACTGCTGTGAACATAAGCTCTGCATTTCACAGTGCCCTTAAGATTTATAGAACCGCTGCAGATCTGGACCGTGGCTGTGGATCTTTGGTCTGAATTCAGGAGCTGAAATACAAATTTCTAATAGTCAGTAATTATTAGTTATATACAACATCCAAATACTAAATATGCTATTTTGAAACTAAATATGTGTGACTGAACCAAGAGTTTGGTTATATTCTCCATGAATTACTGAAAGGCCTTCATATTCCCTTTAAAAGTTATACATTATTTACTGACCACTTTAGTGTGACTAAAACAACTACAAGTTTATTCCTACAAATATTACTAAAGACACCAATATGCTTTTCATTAATTTACTAAAAAACACAGAAAATTCACATAAGCACGATGACTATGAAAAGATACATAAAGGAGGCATGATGTAGCAAGAGATAATGTAATACAGAGAAGGATGTAATCAAAATGGTAGAAGTACAAACAATAGATACTCACTCATGTACACAAACTTGGCTCATAAATTAAGAGTGGGTGGGGAGAACAAGTCAACTATGCCTTTTATCAGATAATGGTGTTAGTAGTTACAATCGGTCATTTCCATCTCATAATTCCATTATTTACTCAAATGATTATTAGTTCCTGCATGGCTTTGAGATATTCTACAGATATTTTTAACTTCATTATTTTAATAAGCATAATACAAAGAAAAGCAGTGAAATAATGAAAGTACTACTAGAGGCCTATAATAACAATGGAAATGAAAATCATGATTTAAAAAGAGGACCAGAGAAACAAAAGGCCTGTACAAAGTAAACTACAGAACATTAAGAAAAGAGGCCAAAAGAGACCTACACAAATGTAAGAATATCCTATGACCATGGATAGGATGGCTCGATATTGTGAAAATGTCACTACTACCTAAAGCAATCAATCTACAAAATCCCAACATCTTCTTTAAAGAAGTAGAAAAACTAATGACCAACTTCATATGATGAGGGAAGAAGCCCGGAGATCCAAGAACTTTTTAAAAAGAACAAGTGGTCTTTCTTACACTACCCAACCTCAAAACCAACCACATAACCACAGTTGTCCAAACAGCTGGTGCTCATATGATAGATACACAGACCAATGGAACAGGACAGAAAATCCTGAAATAAATACATTTGCCTAAAAACAACTGATTTTTCGCAAAGTGCCAATAAACATTAAATGAGGGGATGCCCTCTGCAGTAAATGGTGCTGCAAACACTGGATATTCCTCTGCAGAAGGATGAAACTAAACCCGTACCTGACCCCATACACAAAAATGAACTCAAGGTTTATCAGACCCACATGTGAAACTCAAAGCTATCATGATCATCAAGAAGAAAACAGGGACAAATCTAAGGATTGCGTGCAGGGCACACTTAGACAACCAGATATCACAAAGGAAGCACACACAGTAGAACACCAAATAGTGAATGAGACCTATTAAAAATAAAACACTTGGGTCCGTCAAAGATTTCATTAAAAGGAACGGACATTTAAAAAAAAGGACTAATTACTAAAATCTACAGAATACTACTGGCCTATAAAAGGGGGGGGAGGAACCAACCCTCTTAAAAGGTGGGCAAAGTACCTGAAAATTTTACAATAGATGACACCCAAATGGCTAACAAGGGAATACTCTTGTTAACTAGCAATCTGGGAAATGCAAATCCAAACAATGATGAGATAGATACCCTCAAAAACCCACAACCATAGCCAAATTTTTAAAAAGCAGAGAACAACCAATACTGGAAAGGGTCCGGAGAAAGAGTAATTGTTTTCTTTTCACAGAATAAAATCACTTTATTGGTATACATTGTTTTATGGGGAAACAAAAATGATTTCTATAAATTGAAATAGGATCGATACACTTCTGAAAACAACCATAATATTCCTATCAAAGTTTAGCCTTTTATTCCTTAGCACGTACAACTCTATCACAATCCATCCATCCATCATGTCAAGCACATTTGTACATTTGTTGCCATTATCATTCTCAAAACATTTGCTTTCTAATTGGTATCAGCTCGTTTTCCCCTCCGCCACCTTCATTCCCTCATGAACCCTTCATAATTTATAAATTATTTTGTCATGTCTTACACTGTCCGATGTCTCCCTTCAAGCACTTTTCTTCTGTCCACCCGCCAGGGAGGGGGTTATATGTAGATCCTTGTGATCGGTTCCCCCTTTCTACTCCATTTTCGCCTTCTCCTCCTGGTTTCGCTACTCTCATTATTGGTCCTGAGGGGGTTTCTCTCTCCTGGATTCCCTGTTTGCAGTTCTTCTCTGTACCAGTGTACATCCTCTAGTCTAGCAGGAATTGCAAGATAGAATAGGGATCATGATGGGGTGGGAGGGGGGGTTAAAGAACCAGAGGAAAGTAGTGTGTTTCATTGATGCTATACTGCACCCTGACTGGTTTGTCTCGTCCTTGTGACCCTTCTGTCAAGGGATGTCCACTTGTCCACAGATGGGCTTTGGGTCTCCACTCTCCCCTCGCCCTCATTCACATTGTTATGATTTTTTGTTCTGGATTTTTGATGCCTGATACCTGATTCCATTGACACCTCATGATTACACAGGCTGGTGTGCTTCTTCCACGTGGACTTGGTTGCTTCCTAGCTAGATGGCCGCTTGTTTATCTTCAAGCCTTTAAGATCCCAGACGTTCTATCTTTTGATAGCCAGGCACTATCAGCTTTCTTCACCACATTTGCTTATGCACCCATCTTTGTCTTCAATGGTGGTGTAGGAACGTGAGCATCTTTGAATGCCAGGTTAATAGACTGAAGTGTTCTTGCATTGAGGGAGTACTTCAGTTGAGGCCCAATGTCCATCTGCAACCTTCATACTAAACATATAAATATATGTACATAGATCTATTTCCCCATCATCAATAAATATATTTACATATGTACATGCCTGTATTTAGACCTCTATAAATGCCCTTTGCCTCCTAGTTCTTTCCTCTATTTCCTTTTACGTTCCTCTTGTCCCGCTATCATGTTCAGCCTTCATTTGGGTTTCAGTAATTTCTCTCGATTACAATGCCCTTGATCAAGCCCTACCAGGCCTCCTGCACCCTCCTCGCCATCTATTTTGGATCACTGTTGTTCCCTTGTCCCTGGCCTTGTTAACAACCACTTCCTTTCCCCGCCTGCCCTCTCCCATGCCCCCCCAGAACTGTCGGTCCCATTGTTTTCTCCTCCAGATTGTTTATACCTGTTTTATCTAGCTAGATCTACAGAAATAATAATATGCACACACACAAAAAGACAAAACAACAAAAAAGACACACACACACACACACACAAAATAGATTTTGGATCACTTATTGTTCCCTTGTCCCTGGGTTTTGTTAACACCCCACTTCCTTTTCCCCACCTCCCCCTCACCCATGTCCCCCGGAACCATCAATCCCGTTGTTTCCGCCTCCAAACTGTTTATCCCGCCTGTCTTATCTAGATAGACCTACAGAGATAATAATATGCACAAAAAAGAAGACAGAGTTAAAGCAACAAAAGAAAACAAAACAAAAAAAAGAAAAGCCTGTAAATAATTCAAGGTCTGTTTGTTGACCTTTAGGAGTGTTTCCGGTTGACTCTGATGGGATGCCATGCCATGGCCCCCAAATCTATTTTTGGTATTCCTTGGGGGCTTCCTTGCTCTGTTCTCCTTGCTGTTCTGTTACAAGCCCTTAGCATTTCGCCTCGGTGTGGTGGGGTCAGATCGGGCGCAATTCCTGCACTGTGTCCCCAATGATGTCCCCCGTAGCGCTAACGGGTCAGTGAGGGATGTTGTGTCTCGTAGTGGGGCTGGCCCTATGGTCCTCTCTGTGCATTGGCTGTTCTGAATGGGAATGTCATCCTCAGGACTGGTGGACCAGCTTGTGCTCCACTCTCTCTCTCTCCCCCTTCATTTGCTCCTGTGTGCTCTGATCAGACATGTCCCTCTCCCAGAGCTGCAGCTTCAGTGCTGTCCTCTGAAATAAATTCTTCTGTGGGGAGGGGCAGCTGTCCATGTCGTTGGGATTGGGGCTGGCTGCTCAGACCTCTCTATTGGTTCCCAGCTGCTTTGCATTCACGTCTGGGAGCACGGAGTTGAAGTCTAGTCCCTCCTTCCCTGTGGAAATATAAACAATATCCTCCCCTTGGGTGGGCTGATGCCCTGTTCCCCAGCTACCAATGTCTTTCCGCACTCCCCCCGGCCCCGCCCCCACCCCACTGCCTTAATAGTTGGCTACCATTTGTATGCCTGGATTTGGTCTGGCCCCTGCCATAGTCCCTGGACCTCACCCCAGGAAAGTTTGTATACAGTAGCTTTTTCCCTATACCCACTTTGCAATTTTAAGCTTACCTCAGCAGATTCATGCTGTACTTTTCCTTTTGTGCTTGGCTTACTTCACTTAGCATAATTTCCTCCAGTTCCTCCCATGCTGCGATGTGCTTCATGGGTTCATTAGTGCTTTTTAGCGATGTATAGTACTCCATTGTGTGTATGTACCCGTTTTTTAATCCATTCGTCTGTTGATGGAAATCTGGGTTGTTTCCAACTCCTTGCAATTGTGAACTGTGCCGCAATGAACACTGGAGCACAGATGTGTGGGCATGGTTTGCTTCTTGCTTATTCTGAGTATATGCCCAGTAGAGGGATTACTGGGTCGTATGGTAGCTCAATTTCCATCTGTTTTAGATATTGCCAAATCTATTTCCATAGTGGGTGAGAATTCCTATCTCACCACAGCCCCTCCAAGACTTGTTGCTTTCTGATTTTTTGAAGTGGGCTATCTTTGTGGGTGTTAGGTGGTATCTCATTGTTCTTTTAATTTGCATTTCTCTTATGGCTAATGATCAGGAACATTTTGTTATATGTTTATTGACCATTTGGATTTTTACCCTGTGAAACTTCTGTTCAGGTCCTTTGCCCACCTCCTTAGTGGGCAGTTAGTTTTTTTCATATTGTAAACTTGCAAAATATTGTAGATTTTAGTAATACAGCCTTTGTCTGATGTGTTGCTAAAGCTGTTTTCCTAGTCTGTGGGCTCTCTTATTACTCTCTTGGTGAAGTTTTTTCAATGTACACATGTGTTTTATCTTCAGAATATCCCACTTGTCAATTTGTGACTCGTCTGTATTTGCCTCCTTCCCTTTCTGATAGCCTATGTAGTCCCTGCACCAAAGTTCTCAGGTTGGTTCCAATTCCTCATTGATTGCTGGAATACTTTGTGTTTTCACCTCGAGGTCTGTGATCCACTTTGAGTTTATTCTTATGTATGGAGTGAGGTAAGGGTCTTGCTTCATTTTTCTGAAGGTAGAAGAGTTCGTGTAGAATTGGTGTTAGTTCTTCCCTGAATGCTTGGTAGAATTCTCCTATGAAGCCATCTGGTCCAAGGGATATTTTGGTTAGTAATTCCATGATAACCTTGTTTATTTCTTCTATTGCTATAGGTCTGTTGAGATTCTTAACATCCATGGGGGATATTCTAGGGAGGGATTGTTTTTCCAAGAATTTGTCCATGTTTTCCAAGTTGATGCAGTCATTGGAGTACAGTCCTTCATAGTATTGTGTGATTATCCTTTTGATTTCCTGAGGATCTGTTGTAATGTCCCCTCTTTCATCCCTCATCCTTGTTATTGAAATTTGTTCCTTTCTTTGGTTAGGTTTTCCAGGGGTCTGTCAATTCTGTTAATCCTTTCAAAGAGACTTTTAGGAACATTAATTTTTCCCATAGTTTTCTTATTTTCCATCTCCTGAATCTCAGCTCTGATTTTTATAATTTCTTTTCTTTTGGTATTAGTAGGATTGTCATATTGACTCTACTCTAGTTGCTGTAAATTTTGTGTCAGCATATCAATCATAAGTCTTTCTTGCTTTTTCATTTGTGTATGTATTGCTATGAAACTTCCTCTAATAACTGATTTTGCTGTGTCCCATAGTGCTTTGTCAGCTTGTTGAAATATCTCAATTGCTATTCCATCAATTCCTGGAGGCTTGTTTTTGCTAATGCTTTCAGGGTACCTCCTTCAGTACCATGGGTTCTTGCTCATGTTACTTCTTGAAATGGTAGAATGTCTACATCATTCAATATTTTGCCCATGGGATCTTTGTGAATTGTGAATTGAGGTTTGAAGATTTTCTTTAGTTCTTCAGTTTAAAATACGCTGAGCATGTTCTTCCTTTTTGGTCTTCTCACTCTAGGTCTGTGCATATTTCATATATTTTACTTTGAGCTGTCCTCTGACAATTTCTGTTCGGCTGTGACTTCATCATTTCTTCCATTTGCCTTAGTCACTCTATGATTAAGAGCAAGCTACAGTTTCTTTTGACATCCACTTTGATTTTTTCTTTCTTGCCTTTTTAGTGACCTTTTTTTCCGTTCATGATTATATCCGTGATGCCATCCCACAGCTCATAAGGCTTTGTCATTAGTGCTCAATGCTTCAGATTTATTCTTGAGATGTTCTTGAAATTTGGGTGGTATATATTCAAGGTCATAGTTTGGCTCTTGTGGACTTCTTTAAATTTTCTGCAGCTTCACCCGGTAGTTGGTTGGACAGAGGCCTTATTTTAGTTGTTGATATTGAGCTACTGTGTAATTTCTTGCCACAGCAATCCATTTTATTTCTGTGTATTCCATCTGGAGAAGTCCACATTTATAATAACCTTTTGTGCTAAGATGTTTTTGTTATAAATATGTCACCGGCCTTACAAAATTCTATCATACAATCTTCAGCTTCATTTCTATCACCAAGGGCATAATTTCCAACTAATGCTCCTTTCTCTTTGTTTACAAGTTTTGCATTACAATCGCCAATAACTATCAATGCATCTTGCTTGTATGCTTGATCTAGTTCAGACTCAAGATCTTGGCAGAATATTTCAATGTCTTTATCACTAGCTTTGGTGCATAAATTTTAATCATAGTTGTATTGATCGGATTTTCTATACTTTGTCTACCTTGAAATATCCTTTTTGATGATGAATGCAATGCCATTGCTCTTGATTTTGTCAATCCCAGCACAGCATGCCATATGATTTTCTGATTCAAACTAGTCAATGCCATCCAAATTTAGCCCAGGACCACCTAAGGTATGATGAGTTCTTAATGAGTTCCATTTCAATTTTCATTACTCTGATTTGCCTACATATATACTTTATACATTCCAAGTCCCAATTATTAATATATATTTGCAGCTCTTCTCGTTTTGAGTAGCATCCCATCTCCAATGAAGGTCTTGAAGGCTTTATTTTCACAAGCTTTACTCCATTCCCGTCTTTATGGATGACTCTACTTTGATAAGGCTTTTCTTCCTGAGTCATATTGTGAATGTTTTCTGACCAGAGGGGCTCATCTTCTGGCACTATCTCTGACAATGTTCCTGTTCTCTTCGCTAGGCCTTCAGAATCTGAATTCCTCTGAAGTGAATAGCTTCCAGCATCACAGAAACAGCCGCTGGTGGTTTTGAAATGTTGACTCTTTGGTTAGCAGTCCAACGACTATTACATGACCAGAGCTCCCAGTATACATTGCATATATACTATTAATTTGAAGGAACCCTGGTGGCGTCATTAAGAAACCCACTAGGCACTCCAAGGGAGACCCTACACTTTTACAAGCAGACAACTTCATCTTTCTCCTGAGGAGCACTTGGTGGATTTGAAACTCTGATATTGTGGCCCCCAGGCTCGTTAAAAGTAGCTATACACCTACTTTAAATTAAGTATATCACAACTCTTGACACAGCTGTGTATACTTCTTTAACTTTCAATTTGTTAAGGATTAAAATTTGTTTATAAAACCTGCAACCCAAAATATTTACTTCCCTGTGTGTATGAATACAGGGGCATATGCCCCCAAAACTGGAATTTTTATTTCAAAGCTATGTATTTAAATATTTTTACTAAACAACCTATCACCTTCAAAGCACTTGATGTATTTGTCCAATCTGCAATTTCACTCTTGGAAACATTTTCAAACTCCTTTGTTTGGATGACTAACAACAACTCCCTTGTTTTATTTCTTCACCTCTTCTATGTCTTCAAATTACTGACCTTTCATGTCCTTCTTCATTCATGTAAACAAAAAGAAGTTGCAAGGAGCAAGGTCAGGTGAGTACGGTACAAGGGTTAAGAGAGACATGTTTTTTGCCAAAATCTGGTGCATTGAAATGCCTGAGTGGGCAGGTCCACTGTCGTGGTGGCAAAACCAGTCCCCCAATCTGCCACAAATCAGGCCTTTTTTGTCACACACTGTAACACAATCTTTTCAGAACCTCTAAATAGAAAGCATGATTAACAGTCTGACCTGGTGGAACGAACTCCAAATGCACTACGAGTTGATATTTTCATCCTTTCGGGAAGTTGATGGGCATACAAAACAAGGTTTGTCATCATTTGGCATTTTGCCTTTTTTGAAATGAGAAACCACTTTTATTCTTGAGTTTTTCTCATAGCGCTGTCCTTGTAATCTGTGTTCAACATCACAGTAATCTCTGCGGTATTTTTCCCAAGCAGGAAACAAAATTTCACAGCTAACCACTGTTCTATTAAATTGGCCATCACAAAAAAAGAGGTTGAAGTGAAACTGCTTTTATGAAAAAATTCACCGTGACCAGAGGGAACCTTCCCAGGCAATGCCACTGGGTGTACCAACTCGGAGCGAGTTACTTTATGCTCCAGCCAGCAGAGCTTTTTTCCATTTTTTCGGTACCCCTGTATACACATTAATATGTATATAGATTATGCTTTTTAAAAATTGATAATCTACTTATTGTTAAAATCTTAATATTTTGAGGCAAAAAACCAGAAGTTTTATTAAAATATTGCTTCTGAAACTAGATGTTTTGTATACACTCCTTCATCTCTAAGAGGCTTTGATTCTCTATAAACATATAAACAACACTTTCATTATGTTTATCTTACATGAAAAATTTTGAAAATGGAAATTTAAATATTTACCAATTGGGTTAGAACTTTGACATCAAAAGAATGGTGAATCACTTGGGCACTTCCTCTAGACTTTTTCTGGAAAACAAAAGAAAGTAAAATGAGAACAAAAAATACAAAAGATTCAAGTTAAAAAGCCAGATTTTTGAGAATGAAAGTGGAACATATAACAATTTAGGATCTATCCTCAATACTAAGTGAATTAGAGAAAAACAAACAAATAAGTATTATTACTTATGTTTTAAATTTAGCTTTCTCCTGCAGGTGTCTTAGTTTTCCAGTGTGCTGTAACTGAAATACTCCAAATGGAATGCTTAAGATAACGGAAACATATTTCTGCACAGTTGAGAGGACTAAACATTTGAATTTATGGCATCAGCAGTAGGCAAAGACTCTGGGGGGAAGAGATCCTTCAGCTTCTGTAGGCTGAGGTTCCTCAGCAAGCCTCAGGAAGCATCTTCCTCCCTGTTTATGATTGCTTTTATGTCTAATCTAATCTATTAGGTTTAGGACACACCACACCCAACATGCTCTCATTAGCATAAGAAAGAATACCAGACTCTTAAAGAAGATGACAAAAACCAAAAACGCAAGTCCATTGCCATCAAGTCATTCTGACTCATACTGACAGTGAGCAAACATTCAGTGGGAATCAAATTTAATCCCTAACGATAGGTTTATAACTTTGTGTATTCTATATCAAAGTGTATTCTTGGAAACTGTTAAGATGATAAAATTCCCTCTTTCATTTCTCTAAAGCAAGAGTTAGTTTATGGGTCAAATCCAGACTCCCAGTTACTTTGTATACAAGTCTCTTGAACTAAAGTTACAAGAGACCATCTGGTCTGCAAAGTCTAAGACTTTTATGATCTGGACCTATATATAATGTTTACTGACTTCTGTTCTAGAGTAATAGGAGCCATAATGCTAGTTACATGTTGGGCTGCAATATGCAAGGTCAGCAGTTCAAAACCACCAGGGAAAGAGGGGGATTTCTATTTTATGAACAGTTACAATCTCAGAAACTCTCAGGGTAGTTATATTCTGTCCTAAAGGGTCGTTGGCACAGAATCAATGCAGTTAATTTTTTTTTCCCCCCCAAAGGAGATGACCAAAGTCTCTTATTTTAGGGCACAGCTATTTTAGAAGGCCCAATAAACCACTCCTTAAAGATGGCCCAACTTAAGCCTTAAAAATGCTATCATGGCAGAAGAATACATGGCCTTCAGTTTTAAATAGTTTATAATTCATGAAAACCAGATTGACGTTCCCGTCTTCAGGTTTTAAGATGCCATGTAGGTCAGAAAAAACCTTCTTCCATAATTTTCTGAGGGGGGGAAACATTTAACTTACATGTGAGAAATACAGGTAGAACTCTTGTTCTATTCAAATGACTATCAAAAGTTGGTTCTGATAGAAGTCAAATAGCTCATTTTTCTAGACTTTCAATATTATTGCCTTTGATTACAATATCTTTATAAACACAGTCTGTCTTTAGGGGTTGGTAACATTCCACATAAACTTATAGAGATGTCATGTCATGCAACACTGTATGTAGTATTACGAATGATAAAATATACAAGCAAAAATACTGAAGGTCTTAAAAGTAGTTCCTTTTAACTCAAATGTCCTGAGTCAAGAACTACCTATAAATGAAAACTCTTCGTGAAAACAAGGATTAAAAAGCTAAAGGTAAGTTATCTTTCTTTTATCTTTTCCTTAAGCACAAGTCATTTCATAAGCGAGATAATTTTCTCTTAACATACCTGTCCTTCAAGTAGGTCACAGTCTTCATCTTTAACTTGTCCATTAATCAAAAATACACCATTTTCTATTTGCTTGGCCCAGCGTGTAAGTCCATTCTTAAAAGAAACATAGTACGGCTATCCTTTAGCTATAATGCCCTCTAAATTAACTCCACACCCCCAAAATACCAGTAATACCGTTTTTAATACCACTCTATTAAAGGAAGAGTATATCCCCAATTTTTAAAATTTTACCCGTATTTAATAATACTCTTTTGTTTTCCCCAGATTTTTATCTCAAACCAACATTTATCATCACATGAAAATATATGACTACAGTTAAATACAACACAATAATATTTATTATCTTAAAAAAAGTAGCCAAACTCCATTTGCTTACTTCAGTGGGAAGAAAGAAGAGAAATTTAAATGAGATGAACAAAGGACTGATACAGAAATGCAAGAAAGACTAAAAAAGGAGAGACAAAACTAAGAACGCAAGTAGAATACAAAAAGTATAAGAGTGAGCTTTCTTACACAGCTCACTGAGATATAGTCAATTAATATGGGCCTTCGACACATAATTTCTTATGCAATGCATTATAATTCTGGACTCTATGTCTGTGGCTATAATTCCACTTTGAAGTAAGTCCCCTATTATATTAATGGACAGAATAGAAAGGTGAGATAACTCCTGACTTGTAGGAGCCCTCGTGGCATACTGGTTATGTGCTGGGCTGCTAACTAAAAGGTCAGCAGTTCATACCAACCAGACACTCTTCATGAGAGAGTTGGCTTTCTACTCCAGTAAAGAGTTATGCTCTATAAAATCTAGGACGATTCTACTTTGTTCTATAGGGTGATTATGAGTCAGAATTGACTTAATGGTAGAGAGTCTGTTTTTTCTTTTTTGGGGGGTGGGGGAGTACTGACTTTAGTAGAGGGTGTAAACCAACTGATACCCTCTGTGTCCTTGGGAGTAAGGTGTGGTAAAATACAAAACCACACCTCCATAAAATAAAAGCCATTCCTCTGGTACAAGTCATCATCTTGGTCACAGAGAGATATTTCAGGATCATTGCAAGAGCAGGTTAAAGATCTCTATCTTATGTGGCAGAGGTTGAGATCAGAGGCACTAGAGACTGTGGCACAGAGACCGTGGTACAGAACAAAGGAGTCGGGCCAAGGCCAGAGGCCAAGACAAGGAAACTATGAGATGGAACAACAGTGCAATACTGAGACTGTGGGACTATGAGGCAGAGTAGAAGCTAGCTTGCTGGCCCACAGAAGCAGAAGCCAGAGACCAAGTGGCTGAGGGGCTAAGGACTGAAGGGAGACTTAACTACTGGTATAGGAGAAATGCTGTTGTGGCCAATGGCTGAATCCTTACTGTTTACTAATCCTGGCCGGTGGTAACCTGTGAACTCTCCCAATAAGCTCCCAATCATTGTGAGTATTGCCTGTGAATTTTGTGTGGCCACTGCAATGAATTATTGAACCCAGCACAGAAGCTAAGTGTCGTAGAGAGAATAGTTGGCATGAGAATAGGGTCAAGGATGGCGTGTAGAGGTATATCTGACTTCTGTCTCAAGGCAACAAGGAAGCCAGAGAAGGTCAAATATAGACCTTGTATATTATTTATTTCACTCATGCCTACTATATTAAGTGCACCAGTATTATGACATTGTCCCACTGTCCTAGAAAAAAAAAACAAACAAATCTGGCTGGGGTCTTAACAATTTGTTCCTTAAAACAGTAAGTAGAATGCCATATTTTATTATTTTAGAATGTCATTTTTGAGGATAATAAATGGCACAGACATCCAGAATTAAAGCACACTATCTACTAAGCAATTAGCAAAGAAAACACATTTCACCCTATTACCTTTGTGTTTTTCTCCAGAGAATAGCTGACGGTGGTAGTAGAGAGTGGAATGTGAATATTAATGTGAACTGTAGACTGTAAAGAAGGCCATGAAGTTGATAGTCCATTTTGATATTTCCAATCTGCAGGTCTTGCTGAACTCTTTAGTAGTGAGAAAGGATGAAAAGCAAAAATATGATATGGTTTAGATAAAATGCATGGATCAATAATATATACAAAACAACAACAACCTCCGCCAATATGTTTTGTCATATTCATTGATCAAAGGGCTACAGATTAGAAATAAATAAAATGAGGCATATATAAGTTCAGCACAATCCAGGTAACCCCTGACCTCACTCTTCCCAAGAGAAGTAGGCAGAAAAAAGGTCAGAAATTTCATGCCTAAAAATCTGACAAAGTCCCCTGGTCCTCTATTTCTCAATTCCAGCTTCAAAAGGGTCAATTCTGAAGCTTCTGATGTGAACAAATATCCACTGTGTGAACTCATAGGTGCCAGCTCTTCATATTCCTGTTCCATCCTTGCTAACAAACTATGTGAGGTAACCATGGCAGTATATTTAAATTAGGTAATCAGGTGCATACTTAGGTTGAGTATGTGTAGCCAGATTCAGATATGCTCTTCTTGTTTCTCCTTGATAAACTGTGTATTTAGTTTATGAAACGAAATCGTTACAAAGTACTTTTTCAAAATCTAAGTATGGGTTCCACTTAATACAGACAGTTCAATTATAGGCACTGTAGCTACCAAAGGACTCAGGTATTTTTAATATCAGTCTCTCAAAGAAAAAACTAAGTAAGATAGAAAGAGCCTACTGGAAATACTCTAGCAATTAAAATAGTATGACTTCTTTACATCCACTATTGTCTCTAATAAGATTAATTAAAAATTTAATTAAATAACGAACACAAGGGGTTGTGAAGATCAATAGGAAGTATTAGAACTCAAAATTATTTAAACTAATTATAAAATAAATTTTACTTAAAAATTTGCAGCTCAAAATATATATTTAAAGAGCAATTTTTCTTACCTTTGGATCACACACATCAAAAGTTCGACACAATATTCTTTACAAGTTAAGGGCAGAAACAACCAAAATGAAAAAAAACAACAAACCCGCATTGAAAGTAAAAACAAAACAAATGCATACATGTTTTTACAAGATCATACTTTATATACTTAAACGTACATACATATACTAATTACATATGAAGATGCTTCAAAAATACTCAGAGTTGTATTATCTTTTAATTCCATTTTCCATAAGATTTCTGGAGCCTCATGTATATGTATGTATTAATACATATGTATATATACACACATACATGCTCTACCTATACCAAGGGTTTTCAAATTATTTGGCCTTTCAACCACTTTTCAGAAAAAGAATTACTCGCACTCCCCCCTACCCCTTGTCAATTAACTTGTGTACGACAGCCCACAATCCTAGTTAATGTGTGGGTATCTGCTTTTGCAGCCCTCCTGGATTGTTCCAGTGCCCCCCAGGGTGTGGTATCACCCACTTTGGGATATATTGACCCATAATACCATTATACTTGAAAATGATTTGTTTTTTCCCTATAAAGGCTGCTAACAGAAAAAGCCTAAGAATATTTATTCTAGTTGAAGGCTTTTGGGGTAAACTCCTGGCCCAGGGGCCTCCTCCTCCTCCCTCAGCTCCCTTTGTTATTTGTGGACCTCTTCCTCAAAGCTCTGAGATAGGAGCATTAGTCCTTGTCCAGGGCTGTGGAGGGAGAGGACTAGTCTTATCAACTCTGTCCCCTCTCCCCCACTGGCACATCACAGGACTCTTCCCTATACCCTTCCTTGTCTTTATTTTTGACTTGTAACTGGGTGTTTACGGAATAAAGAAGACTGGAAAGAAGCTTTAAAAAAAAAAGAGGTGACTCAATTAAATTTTGGAAAAAATACTACAGGAGAATTCTTTTGATAAGAACCCCAGATTTTAGCCAATAAACACACCCAAATAAAAGATACTTCTTTGTAGAGGAGCAAATATGAAGTGCCACTCGTTCTGAGACCTCATCTTCTGTGAAACTCCATAGTCTCTTTTTATTCACAGACTTTTCCACAGCAAAGACTAGCTGAAGGAGGGAAAAACACACATCAACTCAAAGCACAATGAAAAGTGAGGCAGGAAAAATACAATTGTAATGTCTCCAAACCCCATCTAGCTTTAAAGTTTCACTGTGAATTCCATGTTTAGAAATACGTACTAATAAGCTTTAGGAAGGAAACTATAATTTGTTCTTATTAGGGATCAACTATACATACAGAAAGTTATTTTTAGATCATTAACATTTAAATAAAGTATAGAACAATTGTCTTAATTAGGATGAGAAAGGACAAGTAATTTTAGCCCACAAAAATGAAGCATGTTAACCTTTTAGGATTTCTTGTTTAAATGGCCCAAGAGACTTAGGTTATATATAAGGATAAATTAGTAATAACATACACTAAAAGTGAAAAAAATTAAAAGTGACATAAATTTGTATCAGAAATGAGAATGATGAAAATGCACACTTGGTATTAGGGAGAGAGGATCATAATTTCACTCCACGCTTTCTAACAATGGCTGAAAACAACACAGATCGGAAAAGCTGTAATTTTCTTGATTAATGACATCCAAAAGGATTTCCTTCCATGAAGGTAATACCATGAGCAAGGATCTTAATTAAGCTTATGAGAGACACTGACAATGTCGATAAGGTGCTTCTTAAAGTGCCCTTCAATGTAGACCAATAGCAACAAAGTTAGGCAATTGAAATGTACCACTTTTTGTGGCATGGCATTTAAAAAGATACAAAGTAATTTTAAAAAGAGCATCTGTCTTTAGCTCTCTAACACATACTCTCCCGCCATTCAAGCCAGGGGGAAGACAAAAGGATGCACAATGATTCCTTTAAACACAGAGATTTATTTACATTACATCATAAAAAGTCAAAGAAGACCAACACTTGTGAACGATGTGCATTTATGGAAAATGAAAAACTTGGCAGAAGATTGGGCAAGTGACTAAGGAAGGCAAGTATATCAATTTTCGTGCCTCACTCCCTTAGGCACAGATATCAAAGCCTGAGGATAAGCATTTGAAAGAGAATGCTTAAAAACCAAAAGAATCTATGGAACTTAGAGCTCTTGTTCTTTTTTACTCAACAACAATTTTGGGGGGATTTTGTGATGTTTGTGCTTCTCAAGATTCTTTGGCCTCTTTCTTTCTTGGGCTGTGGAATACCCTTGCTATAAAAGGAATATCCTGGCTTAAAGGCCATGGGGATTTTAAAAACTAGAAGGTGAAAGCTAGCTGCTCAAAGATGCCTTTAAGTTTAAGCTTAAGGGAGAACAGCTTATAGGTCTTCTTATTTTGTTTTGGCTGTGTTACTCAATTCACTGCCATAGGAATAAAATTTACACTAAACAATGGGGTTCAGGACAAATACTCTGTCCAGGAATAAAGAATAAGTATTTGATTATTCTCTATGTTTCATCTTGAGAGAACTGAGCAGACAGTGAATAATCTCAACACCTACTGATTTCACATTACAGCAATGGCTTGGTACTACATGGAAGGTCTAGCAGAACATTGCTACTACAATAGAAAAAAAAAACCCTCCTATAATTTGTTTCATAATAGTAAACATTTTCTTAAAAATAAAGACAAGATATGGAAGGCACTTCAAAGTTTCTGGAAAAAATCCATTATATTTCAATTCAATTTTTTTTCACAAACTTCTTGAAGGCCAATCCTATAAAGTTTTCATTGAAAATATAAATATTTAGATGTACTGCACTCAAAATACTCAAAGAATTAAGTGGAAAGTTTTTTCGATATAATCACACTATCTGAGCACACTTAAATAACCAAACTAAAAACACTAGAATCATTGTGTTATATGTAATCTCAATTAAAATAACACATTACTGTCATCATATTAAGAATTTGGGGGCAGATCATACTTACTCTGCGTAACGCACTTTGAAAATCATTTGCCAGTTCTAACGTCGTAATGATAAATACTCCAAGAATTATAAGTCCTCCTGGGAGCATTCTGGAAACCTAAAAGTAGAAATATAATATTAGCTAACAGAAGTATTTAACATTATTTAGCATTATTTCTGTTTGAGAATTCAAACCAGCAAAAAGTTATGGAGTACCAATTATATGCATAAAGTTGACACAGTGCTTTAAAAAACTAATACTAAGAAGAACAGGTGGTAACCAAGATTAATGGTTAAGTTTACCATATGTTAAGTTTCACCAAAATATGCTTTGCAAACTACAAAGACTTGAATTTAGGGGTGTGCAAAGGATGGAATGTCTGAATTATGCCCCTTCCCCAAATATGCACTGCAAATCCTAACCTTTATGCCTGTGGTTATAATCCTAGCTGGGAATGGGAGGACTTTTGTTATGCTAATAATTCAGGATATATCTTGAGTCAGATATGAAAGAAACAAGGGAAATGGTATGACAAACCACACGAAGAACTCCCTGGAACAGAAGCTCAGACACAGGACTTTCCTCCAGAGACAGAGGGATCTGTCCGTCAGAGCCAACCCCATTTCCAAGGAGTCCATTCAGACCCAGATGACCCGTAAGGGTGAGTGAACTGCGTTAGGGTTCCAATACAGTAAATCTTCATGAGAGCATACTGCCTCCTCTCTCCCCCAGGGAGTAGCTAGCTTGGTAGGTTTGAACTGCTGACCTTATGGTTAGCAGCCCAACATGTAACCCACCACACCACCAGGGCTTGGACTTCTGGTCTCCTAAATGGTAAAAAAATAAATTTTTGTTTCTGAAAATAAAAAGTACCCATTTTTTGGTATTCCTATTATAGCAGTATTAGTCCATTAAAACACACAGAACTACTTTAAAGATAGAACCACTGAATAATGACAGCCTTTAGCAACATCATTTAATAAACTCATTTTTTATAAGATAAAGGACTATAATAGCTTCTAATTTTTCCCTATTCATTCATCTGTTAGCTTGTCCTACTGTAGTGACCTGCATATTGTTGTGATATTGGAAGCTAAGTAACCAGCATTTCAAAGACCACAGGGCCATCCATAGTGGCCAAGTTTCAATGGAGCTTCCAGAGTAAGACAGAATAGGAAGAAGGACCAGGTAATCTTCTTTAAAAAAACTTTTTTTTAAGTCAGTAAAAACCTTATGAATTGCAGTGGGACAATCTTTGATATAGTCCTGGAAGATGAGCTCCTCTGATTGAAAATACAATGGAAGAGCTGCCTCCTCAAAGGAAAGCTGACCTTAAAGATGCAGGAGATCAAAACATTGGGACCTTGGTTTGCTGGTGGTGCACAACTCAGAAGAAGAAACCACTGCAATTGCACATTAATAATAAGGGTAAAGAATCTATAATGTATGAATCCAAGAAAATTGGAAATTTAAAAAAATTAAAAATGGACACATATAGATTGACATCCTACATTATTGAGCTAAAATCTACTAGTTGGTACTTTTAATTAGAAAATCTATCCTGAAGTACAACGCTGGCCATGATAGGATACGGGGAAGACCAGGTAATAAACACCATTATTCTCATTTACACACAGAAAACTAATTGATGACTTCTGCCAATTCTAAACCCTGAACTTAATTATGCAGTCAAGATGCACTGATAATTACTGGTGATTGGAACATGAAATCTGGAAATAAAGGAGGAGGATTCAAAAAACTAAACATGCTGCTGCCAAGTCAATTCTGACTCATAGCAGCCTTACTGGACAAAGTAAAACTGCCCGTCCGGGTTTCTGAGACTGTAACTCTTTATAGAAACAGAAAGCCTCACACACACACACACACACACACACTGGCCCATGGAATAGTTAGTGGTTTAGAACTGCACAGCTTACAATTAGCAGCTCAATGTGTAACACACTACACCACCTGGGTGCCTTAGGAGAGTCAGTAGTTGGAGATCCTGTGATAGAACTTTGTGAGACCAATGATACATTCATGGTAAATACCCGTTTTAATAACACAAATGGCAATTATATATGTGGACTTGCTAAATGAAATACACAAAATCATTCAGATTACAGCTGTGGAAAGATAGAATGGAAAAGTGGCACTATCATCAGTCAGTAGAAGACCAGGGGTAGACTGTAGAGCAGATTACCAATTGTTAATATGCAATTTCCAATTGATTCTGAAGAAAATTAATACAAGTCCACAAGACCCAAAGTATGGCTTGGGTAAATTTGTGTTAGTCCAGGTTGACCAGAGAAACAAATCCAGAGACACTCACATATGTGTATGAGATAATTTTATATCAAGAAGTAAGTATGCATCAATGAAACATCCCAGCCCAGTCAAGTCCATAAGTTTGATATTAGCTCTTAAATTCGATATTAGCTTTTATGTCCAATATTAGCCTATGAATTCCTCTTCACTCATGGAGCACATGCAATGATGCTGAATGCGGGAAGATCACAGGCTGGTGCATGGAAAGAGCTGTGGGTCCAATGGCAGTGGAAACAACTCTAGGGCTCTAGCTGCCATCAGCATGGCTCCATGTGGCTTGTCAACAGCAATGCCAAGCTGAGAGTGTGTGGCCCTCCTTCAGGGAGAAAAGGAGGAAGTTCCTACAATCCTCATGAGAAGGCTACACCCACACAGAGGCATCACTGGCTATGACCTGATTGACAGGCTAGACTGCATCCCTTCACTCATAATATCTTCAAGCTGACACGCGAATATGTAACTACCATAATATTCCACCTGAATTTAGGGACTATCTCAATAATAGATTTAATTCATTAGACATAATTACTGAAGAAAAGACGGATGAGTTGTGGGATGATATCAAGGGCAACATACATGAAGCTAGCAGAATGTGATTAAAAAAAGAAGAGAGAAATAAAAGACCAAAATGCATGTCAGAAGAGACCCTGAAATTTGCTCTTGATCAGAGTAGTTAGCTAAAGTCATTGTAAGAAATAACAGGATTTCAATGGGTGGCTAGAGAAGACGGAGTATTATAATGAAATGTGCAAAGACTTGGAGCTAGAAAACCAAAAATGAAGAACATCCGTGACATTTCTAAATTTGAAAGGACTGAAGAAAAAAGTCAAGCCTTAGGTTGAAATATTGAAGAATTCTATGGGTGAAATAATGAATGATGTAGAAAACATCAACAGATGATAGAAAAACTAGACAGGAATCATTGCATCAAAGATAACTGGTCAACATTCAACCATTTCAGAAGGCAGCATAAGAGCAAGAACTGATGTCATGGAAGAAGTCCAAGTTACACTGAAGGTACTGTCACAAACCAAGGCTTTAGGAATTAATGGGCCACTAAGTGAGATGTTTCAACAAATGGATGCAATGCTCAACAAGTTCACTGGTCTGTAACAATATATTTGGAAGATAGCTACCTGGCCAACCAACTAGAAGAGATTCATATTTGTGTCCACTCCACAGAAAGTGAAAATTATATACACATGCATGTCAAATTCAACTAATGATAATTCAAAACCAGTTGTAGCAATACAATGAAGCAAAACCACCAGAAATTCAGGACAGATGCAGAAGGATGAGGAATGAGGGATATCATTGCTGATTTCAGATGGATTTTGGCTCAGAGAATACTAGAAAGATGTATGCTCCCCCCAGGGCCACACAAGAAGGATGTGGCATGGAAGTTTAACTAAACGAGCTGGGCCCTACCTCAAAACTACTTAAACCTTTGGACTTATGACTGAAAAAACCCTGATAGGAGAGATGCAAGGGATGGCCTCCACAAGACTATGAAAATGGCAGTTTTTGGACAGTGGTTGTCCAATGAAAGGAGAGCCAGAATCACCATTTGTCTGGTGTCGCAATGTTTCCCTTGCGCTTGTAAGAGGTGATGCAGGAAAAGTTCCCTCAGCACCAAACCCCATGCTTAATGTAAACAGAGCTCAATCAATTAAGAAATCAATCTGTACAAAGCAACACAGTATTGCAGCTCACAGTTGGACTATACTCCCAGAACTCCCTCATATCAACAGTTGCTTAAATTCTATGTCACTGGATAAGTTACTGATGTTATTCATGCAACTGCCTTATACCCTAAGGAGATGTTTGACAATGCTTTTATTTTTTGTTTCTCTTGGGATTTTTGAAGCTTAGTTTGTTTTTGGTGCTGTTGTTGATCTTGCTGGTTCTGGCTTTGTTTATTGTTTTTGTCATAATATGACTGCCAACATAAACCAGTCATTCATAACCCTGAGACAAGTAGAGGGATTCTGGGTTCCCAGGTAATTTTAGCCTAAATCCAAGAAGAGTTAGTTCTTATAACATGGCCCTTGCTCCATACTCACCTTCACAAAGAGATCACTGAAGATAAGGGTGCTACAGCAAAGTGTGCAAAAAAAGCGATGGTGGTCGGCTATCAATTGGAATAATGTTGTGAGTGTTAAAGGCTTCTATTAAAACAACACAGAGATCGAAGTGAAGCATCACTAAGTCCACAAAGTAGAAGCACACCAGCCTTTTTCCCCAAAGATGACAATCACAAAATTGAAACATGATGAAGGGAAAAGTATCAGAGCTTAAATTGTGATCATCCAATTTGCAGAAGGCTATGGAGGACAGTGGGAACCCAAAATCCATCTGCAGACTATCTAGTCAGATTATGCCTCTAGCAGATCGTTTCCAGCCACAGGAGAGGGGCTCAATAGTATCAGACAGATCACTGCAAACTTGATTACAGTGAATCGAACCACAGTATATGATACTTGGTTAGTTGATCTCTCTTGAACCAACCTGAATTTGCTTTATGCTCATATATTTCTCAATTGTTCCAAGACAGAAATTTCTTCTCTGGCTTTTAAAATATTTTTGGTGGTTTTTCTTTCTTATTCTTTATTTTTATCTTTTCATTATTATTTGCCTTTCTGTTTCATTTTTTTGTTTCTTATTGTTTCTGTTAGGTCTCCCAGTTTATGAAGCACAGAAAGAGGGGATGCATAGTGACAATAACGGATGCAATGGTTTATCAGGAAGGAGTGGGGGAGGAGAATCAGGGAATGACCAGTGGGTACAGGAGGGGGTTGGGAGCATAAGAGTTGATTGTGATGATATATATACAATTCTTTTTAGAAGCTTAACTATGGAAGTGTACAATACGTGACTATCACATAAAGAAATCACTAAAAAAAAAGAAAAGAAAACAACCATGATTACTGTGGGTGAAGGAGAAAAAAATGTGCTTAGCGGGCACTGCCTTCATTTCAATGGTGGTGGAGCGATTTGGAGAGGAATAAGAAAAATGGCAGCACAACACGAAGGGCATAATCAATGGCACTGAATTATACATGTAGAAGTTGTTGAATTGGTGAATAATTTGTTGTGTATCTTTTTGCCAAAATGGAAAAAAAATACACGAATAACAATGAGTTTTGGGGAAAAAGAAGATTCTAAAATTGACTGTGGGAAAGATTGTGTAAGACTTCTTGATATGGTTGAACTAGGATTATATGATATGTGGACGGATGCCAATAAAACGGTTTGGTTTTGTTTTTACAGATGTTTGTGTCTTATTAACTACACAAAGGCATTTTAATTATGGAAAACATTGCAAAGAATTGGAATTCCAGCTTTCCCCCTCCATGTATAGCTGCCAGCCCTGCACGTCTGTGGCGAGCCAAGTGGCCATGGTGACTTGAGTCAGGTAAAGCCTGTGTGAGTGGAGCTTTTGGTATCTTCATCTACTGATGGGACATGTAAGATAAGGAGAAACAGCTGCCAAAAGCTGCTAATGATTGGAACTGATAAAAAACGAAATGGAATGCACAAAGGTCAACACCCTAGGTATTAGGGAGCTGGAATGGACTGCTGTTAGCCACTTCACACAAATCAGGAAATCACATGATTGACTATGCTGGGATTAAACAATCAAGAGGAATGGCATGGCATTTATTGTCAAAAAGAACATTGTAAAACCAATCATCAAGTACAACGCTGTCTGTGATAAGATTATATCTATTTGCCTTCAACAAAATCTAATCCATATAACTATTACTCAAATTGAGGCACCCACCACAAAAGCTAGTGATGAAGAAATTGAAGACTTTTAACAATGACTTCAATCAGGAAATGATCAAACATGCAATCAAGATGCATTGATAATTGTTGGTGAGTAGAATGCAAAGTTAGAGATGCTGCGGAAGGAGTAGTAGTTGGAAAGCATGGCGATAATGATAGAAATGAAGCTGGAGATCACATAAAAGAATTCCGCAAAATCAACAACTTGCTCACAGCAAATACCATTTTTTAATAACACAAAGGTGACTGTCTTCATAAACTTCTCCAGATGGAATAGAGAAATCAAATTGACTATAGATGTAGAAAGGTCCGATGGAGCTCAGTATCAGCAGGTAAAACCAGACCAAGGGATGACTATGGAACAGACCACCAAAGGCTCATAGGTAAGTTTGAGGTAAAGCTAAAGAAAAGTAAAACAAGTCCACAAGGACAGAATGCAACCTAGAGTCCATGCCACAAATTTTGAGACCATCTTAAGAACAGATTTAATGCATTGAACACTAATGACAGAAGACATGATGAGTTGTGGGAGGACATCAAGACCATCGTTCATGAAGCAAGCAAAAGGTCACTAAAAGGACAAGAAAGAGAGAAATGATCAAAGTGGATGTCAGAAGAGACTTCACACTTGCTCTGAATCGTAGACTAACTAAAGCAAATGGAAGAAATATTACAATGAAATGGGGAAAAGATCTAGAATTAGAAAACCAAAAGAACACGATCAGCACACACCTCTGAAACTTAGAGAACTGAAGAAAAACTCAAGCCTTGAGTTGCAGTCTTGAAAAATTCAATTGGCAAGAATATTGAATGATGCAGGAAGCATCAAGAGAAGGTTGAAAGAATACACAGGCACTGTACCACTGACTTTCCAACATTTCAGGAGGTAGCTTATGAGCAAGAACCAGGGTAAAGAAAAAAGCTCATGTTGCACTGAAAGCATTATCCAAAAACAAATTTCCAGGAACTGTTAGAATACAAATGGAAATGTTTCAGTAAGCTGATGATGGTAAAAGTCAGGAAATTTGGAAGATAGGTACTTAGCCCACTGACTGGAAGATATCCATATCTGTGCCTATTCCAAAGAAAGGTGACCTAATAGAATGCACAAACTATGGAATGATATCATTGATATCGCGCATGTAAAATTTTGCTGAAGATCATCCAATAACGATTGCAGCAGGATAGGGAACAGCAAGAAGTTCAGACTGGATTCAGAAGAGGATGTGGAACAAGAGATATCATTGCTCATGTCAGATGGATCTTGACTCAAAGCAGACTATCAGAAAATTGTTTACTTGTGTTTGATTGACTGTGGGAAGGCATTCGACTGAGTGGACCATAATAAACTATGGATAACCTTGAGAAGAATGGGAATCCCAAACACATCTTTGGGTTTGCGCGGAATTTGTACATGTATCAAGAGGCAGTTTTTCAAACATACGGAATACTGCTTGCTTTAAAATCAGGAAAGGTGTGTGTCAGGTTTGTATTCTCTCACCATATTTGTTTGATCTGTATGCTGCTCAAATTATCAGAGAAGCTAGATTTTGTGAAGAATGGAAGGCTTTTTAACAATCTGAGATCTGCAGATGACACAATCTTGCTTTCTGAAAGTGAGGATTTGAAGCATTTGCTGATGAAAATCAAGGATTATAGCCTTCAGTATGGATTACAACCAATGTGAACAAGGCCAAAGTTCTCACAATTGAGCCAATAGGTAACATCATAATAAACAGAGAAAAAGTTGAAGTTGTCTTACTTGGATCCATGATCAATGTTCACGGCACCAGCACACAAGAGATCAAAACACATGTTGGATCAGGTAAATCTACTACACAAACTCTCTTTAGAGTATTGGAAAGCAAGGATGTTACTTCGAGGACTAAGGTATGCCTGACCCAAGCCATGGTATTCTCACTGTATCATACGCATGTGAATGTCAGACAGTGAATAAGGAAGACTGCAGAAGAATCGATGCCTTTGAATTGTGGTGCTAGAGAAATTCTGCAAGTACTATGGACTGCTGAAAAGACAAACCGATATGTCTTGGAAGAAGTATGGCCACGTGCTTCTTAGTAATGATAGCAAGACTGCAGATTACATCCCTTGGGCTGATTGTCAGGAGACCAGCCCTGGAGAAGAACATCATGATTGGTAAAGTGGAGGGGTAGTGAAAAAGAGGAAGGCCCTCAAGGACATAGATTGATACAGGGACTGCAACAATGGGCTACTGCATAAGAACACCTGTGAGAGAAAAAAAAAAAGAACAACTGTGAGTATGGTATAGGACCACGCAACGCTTCCTCCTGCTGTTCATACGGTTGCTATGGGTCAGAACCAACTCGATGGCACCTAACAACAACAGCTATAAGCACCCTCTTTTCTGTTGTCCCTCGTATCTATACACTGCACAATACCATAAAAATTATGTTCTAAATTATTGGTCAAGATATGAAGGTGTTTCAAGAAATTCGTAGAAAACTTGTTGCCTTCCAATTCCATTTTTCAAGAAACTTTTGGAAGTTCCCATGTAGGGAGCACTGAAAAGGTCTATAATAGAGCTACTGTTTACCATCAATTCATATTCTTTCAGACTGAACTGGTGGTTCCTTTCCATTTTATGTCATTATATTCTTTTAAGTTTTTCTACCCACACGTGTGCATGCGCACACATGCGTGCGCACACACATACATCACACAGTAGTAACATTTTCCTGATAGAAATTTATGGACTTGTAATTTGCTTTCTTTCAGTTGGGTTATTTATCCAATTTCTTGTGTACACATAAAGTATTACTACTATTTTTCTCTTCTTCTAACAGCTTTACTGAGCTGAAATTCAGTGGTATTTATAATGTAATGTTCACCGTCTTAATGTCTATACCTTAAGGAACCTCAATAATATATGCACAACTGTGCATTCATCACCAATTTCTCATTTGAAAACATTGTAATCACCCTGCAAAGAAACTGAATACCCATTAACAGACTGCCTGTCCTCCTTTCCTCACCACATGAATCATATTTATAAGTAAGGAAACGCTTTTTAAAAACTAGAAACAAGAAGTCAATAAAATATATAAGCATGGATTAATCAGAGTATAAAATATTTCTACTCTTTAAATACTATGTATGCTTTAGCAAGCTCGGTAAGCTTAGTGGATCCTGCGTTGGGCCGTACCCCAAAGCCCAGCAGTTCCATTACACCAGCTGCTCTGCTCTTCTTCTAGTAAAGATTTAGACTCAGAAACCCTAGGGAGCAGTTCTCACCTGCCCTACAGGGTCTTCGTGAGTCAGAAATGACTTGATGGTAGTTTGTTTTCTTAACTCAAGTTTTAATAACTTCAAAATGAGTACCCTAGTAAATCTAGTTCAGTAGCTGGAGGATAAAATGCTACTATCCTGTTAATAAAATAAATATAAATATAACTATATAAAAAGCTATACAATGAGAAAAAAAGCAATACAATGACCTGGTTGGCATGCTCTGAGGTCCATTCTTCGTCCACATTGTCTGGCTTAGCTCTGGGATGATTGAGGTTCTCATTTTGTTCCTCTTTGGGTGGTGTTCTAGTGGCAAGAATCACATAATCCTTTTGTGATGAACACTTTAAAAAAATTAGAAATGCTATTAGTGTGATATCTAATTGAAGAATGTATAGCTCTTGTGGCATGCATCAGATGAGTTATATTTGTTAACAGGCATTTGGTAATACCAGTATAATGGAAGGGGCCGCAGTGGCACAAATTGCTGAGTGCTTGGCAGCTAACCCAAAGATTGGTGGTTTGAACCCACGCAGAGAAAAATGCTGAAATAAAGAGGAAGGCGAATCATGTACTCAGCTTGAAGGAATGAAAAGGCAGTAGGAAGAAACACTACATGGAAGGTCTTAAATTTTAAGAGACTTATTTTTAAGAGTTTGCTGAGCTTTAGGAACAGCTTCTTCTCAATAAAGCAAACATAGAAAATGAATTTTCTCCCTGACTTTTTACCTTGCTAACCACATGTTACTCTTAATTTTCTTCTTAACTTTAATTTTTTTAAACAAGTCAAACAATATAAATAAAAAGTTCCTATGGAGAACAGCCACATCGTAAAAGCCAAGTAACTAATCTAGAAGTGTAGACTGTTGCCAAGAGAAGCTGCTTGACTGTTTACAGAGAACTCCAGGGAGTGGAACACCTAAATGAATAGCGTTTTTTGTATCCCAAGCCAGGCAATCAGATTTGTGAGAGTTCTGAGACTGAATCCTTCTCCGGAAGCTGATGTGTTAATAACTAAGCTCATTCAGAATGAGGTAGGACAACAAGAAAACAGCTGAGGCATCCCAGTTTCTTTATAAGAAGGTAACGTGGTGGTACAACATGATAAAACGTCAATTGAGAATGTGAATATTAACAAAACATTTAATAAACAGTTTAGATGTTCTAAGGTATCAGGTATAGGCACAAAGAATATTGTCACAGTAAGGTTTATTTGCTATTAGTTCTTAAAATTAAGCCCCTAGGTCACAGTGCACGCTCCCTCCCTCTAAACTGCTTGAACCAGTGTAGACAATTTGCTTATGAGACTGTTTTTCTTCTTTTTACTACTGACCAGTTAGTCCTCCCTAAGGATTAAGTCAGGAAAGGTGTGTCTCAGGGTTATAGACTTTCACCATACTTACTCAATCTTTATGCTGAACAAATCATCAGAGAAGCTGAACTATATGAAGAAGATCACAGATTCAGGATTGGAGGAAGGCTTATTAACAGCCTTTGATAAGCAGATGATACCACCTTGCTAGCTCAAAGTGAGGATGTTTTGAAGCACTTGTTTTTGAAAATCAAAGAATGCTGCCTTTAATATGAATTACAACTCAATGTAAGAAAAAAATTCTTCACAATTGGACCAATAAGTAAAATCATGATAAACAGAGAAAGATTGAATTTTTCGAGGATTTCACCATGTTTGGATCCACAACCAATGCTCAGGGAAGCAGTAGTCAAGAGATCAAATGACATATTGCACTGGGTAAATCTGTTGACCAAGACCTACTGAAAGTGTTGAAAAGCAAGGATGGTACTCTGAGGTCTAAGGTGCTTCTGACCCAAGCCTTGGTATCTTCAATGGCCTCAGATTATGCATGTGAAAGTTGGACAGGGAATAAGGAAGACCAAAGAAGAATCCATTCATTTGAACTATGGTGTTTGGCAAAGAACATTCAAAGTACCAAGGACCGCCAAGAGAACAAACAAATCTGTCTTAGAAGAACTGTAGCAGAAGGCTCCTTAGAAGCAAGGATGGTGAGGCTTCATCTCACAAACTTTGGATGTGTTATCAGGAGAGAGCAGTCCTTGGAAAAAGACACCATGCTCAGGAAAGTAGAGGCAGTGAAAGAGAGACAGACTCTGGACAAGATGAACCGACGCAGTGGCTCAACAATGGGCTCAAACATAAGAACGATTGTGAGCATTGTCCAACACTGTGCAGTGTTTCCTTATTTTGTACAAAAGGTTGTTATCAGTCAGAACCGATTGACAGTATTTACTAACAATGGTTTTCACAAGGAGACCTGGTGGCATAGTGAGTTATACACTATGCTGCTAACTAAAAGGTCAACAATTCAAACCCACTAGTAGTTTTGAAGTAGAAAGATGAGAATTACTGTTCTCATAAAGATTTACAGCCACAGAAATCCAAAAAGGTAGTTCTACTCTGTCCTACAGGATTACGGTGAATCAGAATTGACTCAATGGCAACGAGTTTGGTTTTAGAGTGAGTGATTAATATATTTTTCCTTCAATTATAATACACTAGTAGGTGCTTCTGCTTTTAAAAGTAATTTCCTAAATCTCTGGTCTACTTTGTGATTTAAAAAAAATCAGTTTATTGGGGACTTGTAAAGCTCGTATCACAGTCCAAACATATATCCAGTGTCAAGCACATTTGTACATATGTTGCCATTAACATTTTCAAAATATTTTCTTTCTACTTGAGCCCTTGGTATCACTCATTTTCCCCGTTCCACCCTCCCTCCCTCATGAACCCTTGATAATTTATATATATCTTTTTTTTTCCACGTCTTACACTGACCGATGTCTCCCTTCACCCACTTTTCTGTTGCCTGTCCCCCTGGGAGGGGGTTACATGTAGATCATTGAAATCAGTTCCCCCTAGATCCCCCTACCTTACCCTTACCCTCCTGGTATCGCTCCTCTCATTATTGGTCCTGAGGGGGTTATCTGTCTTAGAGTCCCTGTGTTTTCATGCTCTTATCTGTACCAGAGTACATGCTCTGGTCTAGCCTGATTTGTAAGATAGAATTGGGGTCATGATAGTGGGGGAGAGGAAGCATTAAACTAGAGAAAAGTTGTATGTTTCATCGGTGCTATACGGCATCCTGGCTGCTTATTTATCTTCAAACCTTTAAGACCCCAGGCGCTATATCTTTTGATAGTCATACCATCAGCTTTCTTCAGCACATTTGCTTATGCACCCACTTTGTCTTCAGTATTCGTGTCAGGAAGGTGAACATCACAGAATGCCAGGTTATTAGAACAAAGTGTTTTTGCGTTGAGGGAGTTACTTGAGTTGAGGCCCAATGTCTGTCTGTTACCTTAATACTTAGCATATACATATATGTACATAGATCTATTTCCCTATCATTATATATAAATATATTTGCATATGTACATGCCTTTAGTTAGACCTCTATAAATGTCCTTTGCCTCCTAGTTCTTCCCTATTTCCTTTTTGTGCTGATTTTTAAGGATTACTTCTAAGAGCGAGATTTAATTTGCCTACTTCTCAAATTGATCCTATTCCTCTAAAGTCATAGGTTGAATTGCATGCACCTAAAATATGTGTCAGTTTCATTGGGCCATGATTCTCAGTGGGCTGCTCTCTTATGATGTTACATGCCAATGGGTGTCATGTTCTTAATACTGTCACAATCTGAATCCCAAGTATGAGGACTTTCCCCGGGGTGTGGCTGCAACAACCTTTACATTGCAAACTCAGACTCAATGCCATCCAGTCGATGCCGACTTACAGAGGCCCTACAGGACAGGGCAGAACTGCCCCTGTGGGCTTCTGAGACTGTGACTCTTTCCAGGAACAGAAAGTTCCCGCATTCTCTTTTGGGGGGGGGTTGGTGCTTTCAAACTGCTGAGCTTGTAGTTAGCAGCCCAGATCATAATCATAAACCACCAGGGTTCCTATCTTTTACCTCACAAGAAGGTAAAGAAGAGGGAAGGGAATAAAGAGACCTATTACCATCAAGAAAAACAAGCAAGAGGGGAATACATCTTTTGGACCTAGATTCCCACACAGGATTCCAAGACAGATAGAGATCTCCAAGAATGCTGAGCCTATAACATTTGAAAGGAAGCACAGGCCTTCCTCCTAAATTATGAACCCAGAGAGAGAAAACCTTTCCCCAGAGCTGGTGCACTAGCCTCCGAACTAGGAGAGAATTAGTGTTTGTGAACGCCATCCACTTAATGATATTTTTTTTGATAACAACACTAGGTAAGATAACTCCCTTTTCTTCCTATTAAACCAACATTTCAAAATGTACAAAGAAAACAAAAAAGGAGGTACTATAGCACATGTAACAAAAAATTACCACTGTCATAACAACAAACTAGAATCGGAATAAAATTATCAAAAGCTACTTTCTTAGATATTTGGATAGCCAAGAATTTAGAAAGCATAGAAGAGCAAACAACATGCTATGGAAAGACAAAATAGCACAAATGAATGGTTAAAGACCTAATTTTGGAGTTTTTACGTTCCTCATTTTGGATATGGTACCAGAAGGGAACAGACACTAAAAAAAAAAAAAAAAAAAAGACACCAAGTTTGGTAAAATAGAAGCTCCACAAAAAAGAGGGAAGCCCTTAATAAGGATTGACATAGTGGCTGCAACAACGGGTGCAAACTTTACAATTGTGAAGATGGCTCGTGGCCTGCCAGTGTTTCATTCTGTTATATGTTAGAGAGTGCGCCTACAGGGACCTAACAATAGAAACCACAACAATATCATAAATGACTTTGACTTTGACAAAAAAGAAATGTGTTCTGATTCCAGTAAACCTAGAGTAGGTCTGTCCTACTTCTTCATGTTTTTCCTCAAGTATCTACTTTGTATTTACTGTTTTTCCGTAACTGGTTCCTCCATCCCAACCTCGAGTTTACATTGAGTGGAATATTGTAACTCTTAATAAGCAAGTAATGTATTGTATCAATAAACATAGAATAGAAGATACATACCTGTCCTATTAAAAGACCAGAAACAAAAGTCTTTCCTTGGAGATCAAGGTTTGAAAGATATTGCCCAACAGCCTCTTCTACAATGTAGGTTCTTCCCATTATCAAAACTTAACACAATGTTCTAAATTAAAAGAAAAAATATATAGCATTTTGTGGTAAAAATAAAATTGCAATGAAAAATGATCATCCTGGGGGGCAGTATGCTGAGAGAAGTGGCATACTATATATCATTCTACCTCATTCCATGCAGCAATTGTATAATACTTTGTTGCATAGTTTAAATGTATCTTCAGAATTCTCAATGGTGCTGCAGGAAACAAATGCCCATCAATTGGAGTTGGCATGAGATATCTAAACTATTTTCTATACCTGGGGATACAGAAACCCTAGTAACTGGTTACATGCTGGGTTACAAACCTCCAGGTCATTAGTTTGAAACCAACAGACACTACACAGGAGAAAGATGAGGCTTTCTACTCCCATAAAATGCTGAGTCTCAGAAACCCACAAGGTTATAACTTGAGTCAGCTGAGTCTGGTGATAGGGGAAAGACACTAGACTAGATGTCAGCACATCCATAGGTTGAGTTCTAATTTCAGAGCTACTGCTCCTTACATGTTGAACAACCTAACAGTGAGCCCCATTGTTCTCATTGCATAAATTGGAAAAAATGTTTCTGAGTATCTAACTCATTACAAAGTAGAGGGAATTTTTACCCAATAAGCATATGCTGAAGAACTATTATATGCTAGAAATTGCATCATCTGAGATGGGACAAGGCTTGGTCGTTGTTTCTAAACAACTTATAGTATATAAGTGTCATACATTTTAGTCATCACTAAGAGTAACTCCTGTTATGCTCTTTTTCCACTTTGGAAATGGGAATTATTACATTCACTCTATCAGTTTACATGCTTTTGATTTGAGTTTCTGTAACTTAAAACCAATGACTTTGACTTAAAGAGCTAAGTTATTATGAGCTATACTCTCAAGGAATTCACATATGATGGGGCCAGGGTAAGTAGATATGCATATATATTTTTCTTAAGCTTTAAAATAGACATAAACATAGAAACTTTAGGAACACCGTTTTAGTATTTTGATGAATGTGTTCCAATGTACTTTTCCCTGAGAAGTTAAATCACTGAAGGGTCTATAAATAATTTACATCTTATTCAGTACCCCACAGTCAAGACTGATTTCAATGCGGTAAGGTAAAACTGCTAAACTGATAGTTTGTTACTCTGAAACTAAAAGAACAGTTTAAGACTTAATGAACCACACTGCTCTATTAGCTTGCTCATGGTCAACATTTGTTTCCCTTGGTTACCATTAACGGTAGCTAATGTAAAACGGTTATATGCGACTCCCCAAAGTGCAAATCCCAACACCAATTTGCAGTTATAGTCTCGCTGGTAAACCTTCTAAATAAAATCCTTTTCTGACTTTGAGTGGGGATATTGGCTGCAAGGCGTCAAGGCAAAATACCTGCATTTCAAGTGGCAAAAGGGTTATCTCTTGCTTTCTTTAAATGTTCTTCCTGAGAAAATTAATCGGACCCCTTACATTTATGAATTACTCAGCAGCAATCAATCAATAGCAGCTAGGTACACTGTTTCAAATGAGTTTGTCAGAGGTGGATTTGGGTTTGTACTACGTCCGTCCATATGTTTCTTACACTTAATCCCCTCCTTTCTCCCTAAAAGAGAAGATCGCTACCTAGGCGGTAGATACAAATTAATTTGGCTGATGGGTAAGGCAATATATATTGAAGTTAAAAAATAAAAGAGGGGGGAGCTTTCTGTATCTAAGTGCGTAAACACAAACCTAAACACATGTATTACACTAACTCACCTGTACTCAGAAAGTGCACGCGTAGCAATCAAACCGTGGACACGTCAAGTCAGTGGTAGTATGAGCTCAGGGCAATTTTTTTATTCCCCAAGGTTCGGTTTCCTGTCCAGTTCCCCACTCCGTGAATGCATCACTAAGCGACCAACTTCCCACGCCTCACTTCCACCGTAAAGGCGAGATCTCGGGATTCGTTGGCGCAGCCTGATGACGTCCCCGCCCCACCTCCCAACTCTGCAGGGCTTCTGCCAAAGCAACTGCGGTCGCCACCCCGCCCCCTTCCGGGCGCCATTGAGAGCGTGGCGGTAGCCTGGCACCCGCTGTCCGGCCTTGCTGGGACCGATGCCCTCTAGTGGCTTAGTGTCTAGAAACCGCCAAAGAGGACGACCCATGACGTCCCGAGGCTACGAAGGTAAGGTCCCCTCGTTCTTCAAGGAGGGGCGCGCGTCGACGATGCTCGCCCGTAGCGCCATCGCGCGGACAGCGGTGTCCTACCAGACGGTTACAGTTTGGGGGGCGGGGAGAGAGGAGGAAGCCGAACGAAAATGGAGCTCATTGAAGGGAATGCAGAAAACACTACGTTTCCCACAGGCCTATTTACCTGAAGCGCGTGGTCGGGGAAACCGGAAATTGGATGGGGGACCTGGGGGCGGGGCTGTCTGGCGCCATCTCCAGCCTCGAGTTCCCAGAGTTCATAGCCTCTGGCGGCTGCGTGCGCACGTCGGACGCGGCCCCTGAGCTGCTGCTGGTGCCACTGCTAGCGGAGGGCTCCATTTCCCAGGGTCTCGCCGCGGGAGTCTGAGGCGGGCAGGCTCCCGGGAGCTCCAGGGTGAAGCGACGGAGACAGCGGCGCTGCCTTCTGGGTTCGCCTGGCCCTCGTCTTGCTTCAGTGCTGCCTCAACGGCTGCTGCGGCCCCCGGCCCGGCTGACATGGCGGCGGTGTTGCAGCAAGTCCTGGAGCGCACGGAGCTGAATAAATTGCCTAAATCGGTCCAGAACAAGCTTGAGAAGTTCCTTGCTGACCAGCAGTCCGAGATCGATGGCCTGAAAGGGCGGCACGAGAAATTCAAGGTGGAGAGCGGTAAGTGCGCCGCTCTTCCCGCCCCGTGTCCCCTGAGGGATTCCCAGCGGCTACAGGCGGGCGTCCTGGCCGGCGAGCGCCCTTTTTCTGCACGCCCCTGGCCCCTGGCACCGTCCCGGGCTCCTAGGCACCCAGGCCGCCTCTGCCCTTCTCCTGTCACCGCTGATAGTGCGTCTTGCTCATTTCCCATCTGAATCTCACAGAACTTCTTTCTCTGCATTTTGCGCTTCGTGGACACACTTGCCCGAGATTTTTTTTTTTTAACCGCCCTTCAGGTACCGCTTTACCCTTTGTTCCTCACCAAGTACCCTAGTTTCCTTACCTCTGCAGCCCTGTTTTCTTGGCACGCGAAGTGGTGGTGATTGATCGATTCATTGACTTGCTTGTTTATTTTCGAATCACCTGCATTCCACGTCCTTTGTCACCCGGAACACATTCTTTTTTTTCTTGCAAGAAAGTGCCATTATCTCATAGAATTAATGTTGTAAATTAGTACTCAGCATCCCCAAATCAACATAATACATTGCATTTTCTGTTCTTTCTGTACTCAGTGAGTATCGAGTATCACCTCTGCATTTGATGTTTTGCTAAATTAATCCCAGTCCCTCCTCCCCTATGAAAACGTCCATGTTTATTTTGATATAAACTTCATAATTTATTAATACTAATAATATTGTAATATTAACATTCGAAAGCACTTTTTAGGTAAACAGCTTTCTTGTGTATAAGTATGTCTGATGTATAGGTATATACCTGTGTGGATGTGTATCATAACGTATATGTATGCATGTGCACATATATGTATATTTAGTTTTGCCCATGTTAATCTACTGATAAATGTCGAAGAAACCTTGCTTTCAGTCAAGGTGTTTATAAATTTTGTGGACGTATGAAATATTTTGTAAAGGCACTTTAGGCCTTATTTTCTTTCATCATATAAATCCATTGGAAGTATTAAATAACATTCTATTCAAGGCATAATTTATCTCTACTCAGATCTTTCCATTTGGTGTGTAATTCAAGTACCCATCTCTTACTGTATACTAAATTCTAAAGTTAACATTATTGAAACTGAATGGCAGTGTTTAAAATATGTGTATGTGTGTGCTTGATTTTCTTTCTTGTAGAACAACAGTATTTTGAGATAGAGAAGAGACTATCCCACAGTCAAGAGAGGCTTGTGAATGAAACTCAAGAATGTCAGAACTTGCGACTTGAACTAGAAAAACTTAGTAAGTATTGAATGTCATGTTTTTATAAGTATTCTTGGATATTGTGATCTTCAAACACGTCTGTGTGTGCTTTGGAAATATATTGTGCATGTGGAAATACAGATCACCACATACATTATTTCATTTATATGTGTTGTTTTGCCCACAAACTAGATAATTTTTCACAAGTGCTAAGGACTAGTAGCCAGGGCCGTGGGCTGTAATTCTGACTTTGCTATGAACAGTTATTCTGCCATATGCACATTTTACCAGTGTCCTGTTACTATAAAATGGCTCAGCCTTCACTTACACAGCCTTAACGACTGTGATACATTTGAAAACAAAGTAGTGATTTTTATGACAACGGGTAAAGCATATTGATTCCATTATTGATACATTGTGTTTTCTTTTGTTGTAATTTTCATACACATCTGTGAAGCTTTAAGGCTCATTTGTAATGAACAGATTGACTTTGGTGTTTTATTTTCTTGCCATTATCTTCTATGGTGGTTTACAAGATTTTAGCTAAAGGTCCTGACATTTCCTGGGAGGATGGTATACCTCAGGCTTTGGATTCAACTGGAAAAAAGCAAATGTTAGTACTTTTCTAGAGCACATATAAAATACTTAATTTCACTTAGATGTAAATAGATTTTATTTTCATTTCTGGGAAAGGAAGACAGGTGGCTGCTAACTAGACAAGGAAGCTGTTAACCCATCCTTTCTTAACAGATCCGTGCCATTGTCTGCATCATCTGGGTTATAACTTTTTAGCTGATTTTGCCACTGTTGAAAATAGCTAACTTAAAATCCTAATGTATGTATATGACAGAGTGAATATGTTTGTGGTAGGACATAAATACATCTGTTCATAACTTTTTCTTCGCAGCGGTGCTAAAGAATTTCAGGAAAATGGTTGATTACAGCATATTATGACATTTGTGGGAAGGGTAAAAGTTAGGGATAAAACTAAATTGATGATGATGAGTATCAACAGTATACCTCCCTGTAGGTGAAGGATGTTTGTATTTTTAGTTTCCGGTTCAAATCTGCATGACTGAAAAGCAATAAAATTCATTAGAATAAAATAGAAAACTTAGACTTTTTTTTTAATGAAGCAATTGTTTATGTAGAAGTTAAGATCAAAAGTAGTAGAAGTAATAGTTTATTAAGTTGCCAGAATATAACACTGATAGGGTTTGATAAAAGAACAGTTGTTTTTTTTTAAAAATCTGCAAGTGTTTGGAGGCAAACCACGTATAAGGAAAGAGTGCTCACAATGAAAGGAGATTGAAGAATTAATCAGGTAGTATCATCCATAGTTTTCTTTCCTTCAAGCTAAAGGGCTCTGGTGGTGTCGTGAGTTATGTTAGGCTGCTAACTGCAAGGTCAGCAGTTCAAAACCACCAGCAGCTCCACAGGAGAAAGATGAGGCTTTCTGCACCCATAAAAATTCACAGTCCCAAAATTCACAGAGGCCAGTTCTACTCTGTCCTATAGGGTGAATTAAGGTAGAATCAACCTCATGGTGTTGAGTGTAAAGGTTCTCTTTAGGGTGATAAAAAATGAATTATAAATACCTATTGCAGTTTGCTGTATACGTAATATAATCTTGGTATTGTAATTACTCTCTTAATCTGATTTTTTTTAACTTAGTTTTCCAATTTTTATATATATAATATTAGCCTTGATGGCACACGCCAACGGGCAAGTGCTTGGCTGTTAACCAAAAAATCAGCTGTTAGAACTTACCTGCTCTTTCTTAAGAGAAATGCGGCATTCTGTGTCCTTAAAGATGGCAGGCTTGAAAAACTAGGGCAGTTTATGCTCTCTTGTATGCCACTTTGAGTCAGAATTAACACAGTGGCAGTGGGTTTGGTTTGGTACACATAATTCACTATTTCTTATAGTCTAAGATTCCACTGAAAATTAAGGAATTTGCTGATTGCAGATGTTGGCTCGAACTATTGGATTATATAATTTTGGAGACAAAGAATTTTGGTTTAAAAAATCAGTGAATTTCAATTGTGTTCATACTTTTGGAATATAATATTGTGCGGCTCATTCTTCTTGAGCCGTCTTCATTTTTATAATGTCTTTTGTTGACAATTAGATAAAGTACATAGTGTAATTTGTAAGCTAATGCATCCATAGTTATAAAATTTCTTTTATGCAGACACTCAGCTGAAGACACTAACTGAGAAAAACAAAGACCTTGAAATTGTCAATGATCGCAATATTACCTTTCAGGTAAAAGTGTTATTCTTGTGGATAAAGCTAAGTGGAACAAAGTGCTAGAGAGCATTTCTGTTCTGATGTATTTATCATTTATTTAATCAATGTAAAAATGAAAAACATGTCCTACTAGGGAAAGCTGCCAACAAAAACACGTAAATTTATTAGTTGGATCTTTATATATTTTATTAATAGGACATTGCTTTTACTCACTAAAGTATATCTGATATATTCTCTAGATAACCCTTGAGTTGTGAAATTTTGAAATCTCACTAAAGGTAAAGTGTTATAGAGCTTTCAATAGGGTACATTTATAGGGATCCATCTCTTATCTACCTAAATCAGCTTGCCTACCTAGTTTCCTCTCTTCTTTTCTTTTATTAATCTTCTAAATGCTTGAATGGTTTAGATCTTTTGGTAAAATTGGGTTTTTTAGGTGATTCTACATTTCTAACCATTTTTTTAATCAGTGATCAGAATTATAATTTTTTTAAATTAATTTTGAAAGTAAAAGATATTTAGCATTGAACAAAACAATTTCTTCAAATATGTAAACAAGAAAAGTTCTGCTCACAGAATCTGAGAATACTAGGCTCATATTATAACTAGAAATAACTTTTATTCGAAGTTACTTATTTTTAAAGATGCAGATAGTACTTAAAATTTGATTCACAATTTACATTATTGAATGCATAGTCGATTATCTAAAATGTAAAGCCTACCTAATTTAAAATTAAATTGTTTTAAAAAGTATATAAAATTGATGTAACAGCATAGAAAATTGTAGAACCAAATAATCAAAAAGTAAAACCAAATCTATTAGACATTATTTTGTTGTTGTTGTTTTGGTGGGAGGGGTGTGTGGATTGTGGTACATTTCACCTAGATGTGCATTTTGGTAAAAAATATGTGTATTCATACACATGAAAAATTTCAGATTCTTAGGGTGGAATCCAAAATTCTTGAAAATACATATTGCAAATAAGTAGAAATAACTCAAAACACTTCAGTGTGTTTAGATTTATTTTACCAATTTTGTAGAATTGCCACATGGGAAGAATGGAAATAGAATACCAAGATAGATCGGGATCTTATACTAACCCAAATAATTTCAAGTTTAAATTAAAAATGTTAAAAAAGGAAATACGAAGCAGCTAGAAAATACTGTAACTCATTTGACTGCTGTCTTGAGAAAGGATTTCTAAGCAATAAGACAAGTGTTGGAACTTTATGATAAGTAATAATTTATCCAATAAAAATTTAAACTGCATTAGAAAAACTAAAATGCAAGCAAATGATATGAAATTTTTAAAAATAAAATTTATGGCTGTTTATTCTCATTAATATGAAGAAATTTAAAGTGTTTATGGAAAAATAAATGACAACGTAATGGACTTTTTCCACTAAGTTTAAAGCACCCTTGTACATATTTTCAAAATGTAAGAATATTATTCAAAGGGGATTAAAAAACTAAAGTTAATTCAGAGAGCTACACAAATAGCCAGTGGCAATATAAAAGTTGCTATACTAAAGTTTTACTAAGAAAAAAGCAGGTAGAAATAATTTTCACATCTCCAAAGTAGCAGCAATTTCTTTTACTTTCTTGCATATGTTCATTAATAGTAATCTTTAGGTTTGGCATGGTTGACTTGGTATTTGCATAAGTGACGGAAATACATATAAATTCAGATTCCTATTGTGCTGAAGGCAATTTGGCAAGATATACTAAGAATTTTAAATCATTTTCTAGGAAATTTTGATGTAAATTAATTAGAATCAAAATCTAATTCCAGTTCTTGAAATACCATAAGAGCAAAAAATTAAATGTTCACTCAAGACATTTAATTGACACATGTCCTTAAAATAAGAGTGACATTGGAATAGTTAACAAGCGTAAGGAAAAAAACAATAGAATATCCAGAGTATGAACAAAATTGTTGAGGTTATAGCTAATTTATAAACTTTTAATAAATATGATGTAAGGGAGAGAAAACCAACCATTTTTAAACTGACGCCATTATAAACTAAAGTGAGAATTCTTTGTTGGTGTTTCTATATTGGTTGACTCAATTATGTAAATGTTCACTCTTCATTGTATCACAGACTCAATTTACAAGAACTAAGGAAGAATTAGAAGCTGAGAAAAGAGATTTAATTAGAACCAATGAGAGACTATCTCAAGAACTTGAATATTTAACAGGTATGAAGAATAAATACTTTAATCTCCAGCCTTGGTTTTTGTTCTATTGTAACAGGGCTAGGAATGAATCCTAGTCCATTTCTGTTGTTCTTTTAACATGTGTTAGGATGAAGCTCAGAATAATCTACTTTTTCTCCAACTCTACTGTACAAATGAAAAAGTTAGGTCATTTTGAGTCCAGGGTTTACTTGTAATGTTATAACACAGTGTTTTTTAGGTTACGTAACTGGAAACAGTTCACTTGTAAAGGTTGAATTTTTGCCTTATGCAAATACCATTATTCGTAAGCGTTCAGTATAAAACCTAAAATGATTGACCATTTTAACAAGTTAGGCTTAAGGGGTTCAGAAGCAGGAATATAAAATATGTGTGGAATATAAAAAACACATAATGTAATGTACAGTACAGCTGATGAATTTAAGTGCACTTGATTTTTAATGGTTTACCTAGGGACATTAAGTTTCCTTTGGTTTCTTTTTACAGGGTGTTTAAAATTTATAGAATAAAAGGGAAAACTTCTAGATATTTATGTTACTATACAGTATTTAATTATAATTCCGGTTGTAGGTAAGGTTACTTTGGAATTTTTGTTGATGTTCAACTCATGAGTTGAATAAAAGTAATTTTTTCATGTTAAGGATTATAAAGAAATTTAAACATGTTTTGGTTGCCACAAAGTACAGGTTTTAAGGAAAATTAAAATGTCGAATATTAAGGTGCTGCATTTAAAGTAATTGATATTGGTCATGTGTTTGATTGAATACACAACTTTGCATGCTCTATAACCAATTGGTTAAAATCATATTGGTAATTGAGTATAGCACATGAAAGTTAAAATGGGGATATTGAGAACAACTGACTTTGTATTGAATGTTTTTATCTTCGGAGATGAAGTGATGAAGTTTTTACAAACTTGTTCACTGTTTTCAATTATAGAGGATGTTAAACGTCTGCATGAAAAACTTAAAGATAGCACGACGACGAAGGGTGAGCTTCAGTTAAGATTAGATGAACTTCAAGCTTCTGATGTTTCTGTTAAGGCAAGTAACAAATTCTAATGCATAAAATACTGGTTTAACCAAATTAAAATTTAAACATAGACAAGCCAGTTACGTGTTAAACCAAACTCACTGTCATCAAGTCAGTGCTGACTCATGGTGACACCTATGGGGCTCTGAGAGTGTTATCTGTTTAAATGAGTAGAAAGCCCAGTCTTTCATGCAGAGCTGCTGGCGGTTTTAAACTGCCCATCATGCGGATTGCAGCCCAACTCATAACCACAACACTGCTGATGAAGGTAGATAAAAGCTGTGCTCCGTTAGTCTTGTCAGTGAAGTCCACATTAAGCCAATCTGGATTGAACTCTTTTGCTTATTTGAAGTTTAATTTTGTTGTACTTATGTGATAGATTGTGTTTCCAGTTAATATATGCAAGTATTTATTTCTATTTTAAAATAAAATATTTCTTGTATTCCTTAACTGTAGACATAACAGTTCTGTGTAACTAAATATCTTGGATTTCTGTAGTATCGTGAAAAACGTTTGGAGCAAGAAAAGGAGTTACTACATAATCAGAATACATGGTTGAATACAGAGTTGAAAACCAAAACTGATGAACTGCTGGCTCTTGGTAGAGAAAAAGGAAATGAGATTCTAGAGCTTAAATCTAATCTTGAAAACAAAAAGGAAGAGGTAAATAATCAAAAATTGTCATCTTTTTCCACATAGGTTATCATCATGTATGCCAGTTAAAAACTCATTCAATCATGTCTTAAGTGTATTCTAAGATCGGGGTTCAAATTTGGAAATGATCATTTATAATCCAGGAAATCAAAATTTCATTTAAATTAAAAAGTTACGTTTTTTTTAATGAACTGATATTCTATTGTATGATTTATTTTTCTTGAAACATGTTTAAAAAGTAGTGGTATTTTTGTGACATATACGTTGTTACATTATTGTGGTTTCATAAATGCACGTTTCGCATAATTTTTCCTTATGCACTCATTTTGCTTTTGCTGAGCAACGTAAGTTTTATGTGAAATTAATTCCACTTAATACCACATACTTCCCTACTTTGCTTATCTTTCTAGGTTTCTAGAATGGAAGAACAGATGAATGGCTTGAAAACTTCAAATGAGCATCTTCAAAAGCATGTAGAAGATCTGTTAATCAAATTGAAAGAGGTATAGATGTTACTTTAAGCTATTATTTACAAAAATATATAAGCATTGATGAAGCTATTTATGATACGATTTTATGTTTTAAACTGTTCCTGACACTTTAACACCAACAGACTAAATGTAGCTAAACTAAAATAGCTAGAATCAGGAATAGCAGTTATGTGCTATCACCAAAACACTGTTTAAAAATTCAGTATGGGTTAATTTTGGTATCATTTAATGATTCCACTTTAGGAATATTTTCTTCTCCAGGTGATTCATCTTTTGTCTGGTGAGCTGATTATAATTTTATTGTTTTTATTTCTTGGAGAAAGATTAAATTGAATTATTTGTTTCCTTGATATTTGGTAAACATTCCAAATTCTGGTCAAACTAGACTCTTAAAATTGGGCTACTTTTTTCAGGCCAAGGAACAACAGGCCAGTATGGAAGAGAAGTTCCACAATGAATTGAATGCTCACATAAAGCTCTCTAATCTGTACAAGGTAAATATCCCATTAGGTGTTTGATGTCATATTGATGCATTCATGGCTGTTAACGTAACACTTTAATTTGTAGAGTGCTGCTGATGACTCAGAAGCAAAGAGCAGTGAATTGACCGGAGCAGTGGAAGAACTACACAAACTTTTGAAAGAAGCTGGAGAAGGTGAGTTTTAAAATATGGTAAGAATATCTTGTTTTTAAATAGGTTACTTTTCTTTACCTTTCAATATTGGTTGTTGGATATAGAAGTCAGACTAACAATTATCAGGGACAAGACTGGTATAGAAGAAAGATCATTGGATTCAGAAACTTGTGGATGCAAACCTGCATTTGAAAATATGGACAGCTGTTCCATTTCTTTCCTTTAAGTAGCCTTGTATGTATCATTCTGATTTCTAATGGGAACATTTCTTCCATTTTTGAGGCATTTTCTTTGCTTAATGTATATAGATTGATTATTTGGGCATCTTTAACTCATAAGTAAATCTTAGTTTTTATGTTGTCAGTATGATATTGCAAAGCTCTAGATGTTCTTAAATTCATGCTTTCGTTTATTGTAAGCTCTTTAATTTATTTTGCAAACTTATGATCAAAATTAAAACAAAAAATATGCTCATAGTATTTTTTTTTTATCAACCGATATCTTTATGTTCCTCCCTGGATTAAAAAAAGCAAAATGGAAGGCGTATTTATTAGGTAATGTTGCTTGAGAAATTCTAAGCATAATGACAGTTTCAGCTAGTAATGTCAACCAACATTTCTAGAATCTAATGTCTCAAATGCTACATTTTGTAAGCAAAATCATAATTCTTTGGTATTTTATCTTCAAACATGCATCTAGCCAGCAAAGCAATACAAGATCATCTTCTGGAGGTGGAAGAATCTAAAGATCAAATGGAAAAAGAAATGCTTGAGAAAATAGGGAAATTAGAGAAGGAACTGGAAAATGCAAATGACTTGCTTTCTGCTACAAAACGTAAAGGTGTGAATAATATATTTTTATTAGTGATTTAAGATACTAGGATTCCCTTATGCTGTAGTCATTTAATAGTATTTCTTATGCTTTGATTTAATTAATTGCATTAAGTTACATCCTTAAAATGTTTTGTTTTAAATTTACTATTTTTAACCATATCTTATGGCATTATCAGTTAAGTACCAATTGATTACAAAAGTATATATCAGTTTCCAGGGTACTTTTAATGTGAAGAAGCTTCAAAACGTTGGTGGGAAAATTCTAAAATCTTTTAATTCCATTTTTTCCTTAAAACTTTTTGAAACCTCTCATGTAACTGTTTGGTGCCTAGGTTTATCATCCATGCAGTAAATAGCAAGTCCCAGAACATGTGATTTGTAAGGGTCCAGAGATAAGCTTAGCCCACACACACACAGTTAAGCCTCAGTTTTATTTAAAGTAATAGAGCTACTTCTTAAGAAATGAAGCTGGTCCTTCCCTCCAGGTGAGAAAGACACCTTAACCATAGACAAGCTAAACTTCGATCTAGAGTTCCCTCTCATGAGTTGAGAAGGGACTTGTCTAGGGGAACACTTCTACTTTTTATATGGCAGTTTCAAAGAGTAAGTCAACTCAGAGCTTTACAGATGGTCAAACAATTTCCTAATTAGTTCAATTCGTCCTTGAGTCTCTTGCTCCCTTTCGTTCAACTTTATCTTGCCTGTGGCTCTAGGTCAGCATGTTTGAGAACATTGTAGAATTATCTCCAAGTAGAGTCTGTCAAAATATTCACTAGGGCCTGACTTCAAGGATCAAGTGTTTTCCAAGCCTTTTGTCACAGTGACCTTTGTTCACAACTTGTTCTCACAGGGTCCTTTGTTCATTCCCTTAGGCAGAGCAGAATTCCCTGTTCTGTCCCTAACAATAATTACCATGTGATTATTTTGAAAGAATTGGCTTGTATTACATGGCTAATATGTCTAAATTTTCATAGGAATCCATGTGTAATGTGCAGAGATGTCAGAATTGTTTTTAAATAAATGATCATGGATTTTAGTTAGCAATTTAATGAAAATGTATTAAACTTGTATTTCTGGCACAGGAGCCATTTTATCTGAAGAAGAACTTGCTGCCATGTCTCCTACTGCAGCAGCTGTTGCTAAGATAGTGAAACCTGGCATGAAATTAACTGAGGTAAGGATGATAATAAATCTTGCTATTTTTCTTCAGCATTAATGTTCAGAACTCTCAGAAAAGTTATTCTTACATCATCTGATTGATCATACTAGGAAAATATTTTCTTATTTCCTGGGGCTGTCGAATGTTAACACATCCATCTTGGAAAGCTGCTAAAAAAAAAGTATTTGGGTTGACTTTAGATCGGTTACATGCTTTTATCATGCTTAGGGTGAAAAGATCCCTCTTCTGTTTTCAGTTGTATAATGCCTATGTGGAAACACAGGACCAGTTGCTTCTGGAAAAACTGGAGAACAAAAGAATTAATAAGTATTTAGATGAAATAGTGAAAGAAGTTGAAGCCAAAGCACCGATTTTAAAACGACAACGTGAAGAGTATGAACGTGCACAGAAAGCTGTGGCAAGTTTATCTGTTAAGCTTGAACAAGCTATGAAGGTTCGTGCCATTCCCAAATTTTAGCTCTGGGGGAAGAAAAGTATAGATTAACTAGTTCCTTGATAATTGTAAACTGTGAAACCTCTCATTATATTGGTAGAGTTTAAAATCACAAGAAGTTCTACTGATAGTCAATTGAAACGATGAGAGCCTTTTACATTTTTAAAGCTGTTCACTCTTGTTCTCCTTAGATTCTCTCTTAGAGGGTATATATCCAAATCACCTTGGGATTATCTTCAAATTATAATAAAAATCTCTTTGTATTAGAATTTTCTCAAATTTAGGTTGTCATTCTTTGTCAAACAGGATGATCCATTTAGAAAAGATGCTGTTTGATCATAGGACTCCATTTTTTAATTCTTTCACAATTTGGCAAATCTATATGCATTTTACTGTTTATTGGGAGTGCCAAGTAAATGCATAATTATCTTTTATTGAGATAATTAATCATTGTGAGAGTGCTTATACTCCATTTTTTTTTAATTTTAGGATACTATTAGTAAATTACTAAGGAGCTATGTAAGCTATTAAATTTATTTAGTCAGTTCAGGCCAATCAGATTGTGTCAATTCTAAACGGATAACTTTCTCTTTTTGAAGATAATTTTATCTTTTCAATTAGAAATTAAACCTCTACTGTTGCTACTATTGCAGTTTATAATTTATGGGTCATCCTAAATTCAATTAGATTATATGTAATGGGAACCTAACCAATTGATGTGCTGTTTAGCAGTTTTTAGAGTTTTATCAGTTTTGTACAAACCTTTTGCAACCCCCTTCCTTATTACATGATCTTTGTGTTCTCATTGGTATCACTAGGGTTCATTACAGGTTTTTATTGTATGTTTTCCAAATTGTTTTCTTTCTTTAAGGTTCCAAGTGTGTTAGAAAATATTCCCCTTTTATCTGCTTGTTTGTCAAAGAATGGTAGAGCAGCTTAAGAATCAATAACTATTCACTGAAGGGGAAAAAAACTTTTATTTCTCCATTAATATATAGTAAGAATAATAAAAATCCGTGGAGTTATATCTATTTATTTACTTATTTATTGCAACTGCTGAGGGATTTAATTTCCACAGCTTTTGCCAGGAGTCCTTCCGTCTACATTTTCTCATAGTCATTTGTTAGGTGGGCTCTTTTGATTTCGTGACCCGGTTGTTTCCTTACTTGGACATACTAATCCCATCTAGAGATTTGTACCATTGCTGATTCATGGATATTAGCCAACTTTATTTTTAATTATTTTCGTTTTTACTGGAATTGGGTAGGAATACCTTTAAGCTAGTCTGCTCAAAGATACCTGAACCAGAAGGGTAAATCTGATCTATCACTTCTATTAAAAACATTTTTATTGAAAATAATATATTAAGATGCAAAATTTGCATGCATTTGAAACCAAATATTAAAGATTATAAGGATACTATGTCTTTATAGTAATGTTCGTAAAGCATTGCCATTAAACCATCCAGTAAAATATTGTATATCCTATATATTTTTTTTAAATAGGCTTGTGTGATATAATTGCTGTATCTTAAATAATTCTGAGTGTCACCTTTATAAACTGACTTTTATGAAGCTCATCCAAAGTTTTATAATTGTCTCTTTTTTACTTTTAAGGCTTATTTTGGTGGCCTTTGTAATGATTGTTAATGCAATGTAGTGCTATACTTTTGCCTTCGTAAAAAATTCTTGTAAGGATTTTTGTGGTATCATTTGATACCCTATGAGTTTGATCTGGCAGTAAGATTCTAACTGACAGTGATTATGGTGAAGGCTAAATTCCCATGATTATCATTTAGAGAATGAGCACTGTTGTAGTAAGAAATAATATATGTTCATATTTATGTAGAATTTCTCATTTCTAGAACCAGCTATGTTATTTAAGAAGCCCTGGTGACGAGGGGAAAAATCAGGACCTAATGCCGGGGGTTTAAGTGGAAAGAAAATGTTTTCAGAATGATGAGGGCAATGAATGTGCAAATGTGCTTTACACAATTGATGTGTGTATGGATTGTGATAAGAGTTGTATGAGCCCCTAATAAAATGAGAAGAAAAAAAAGAAGAAGCCCTGGGGGCATAGTGAGTTACACATTAGGCTACTAACCATAGGTCAGCAGTTTAAAACCACCAGCTGCTCCTTTGGGAGAAAAATGAGGCTTTCTTTTCCTATAAAGATATACAACCTTAGAAACCCAAAGGTACAATAGTACTCTGTCCTCACTGTAGGCTTGCTATGAGTGGAATTGACTCAAGTGTAATGAATTTTTTTAACATTGTATAAGATGCTTTCATTTATAAGTTGATTATTATGGTATTTGAGCGCTGTACATTTTTATTATTTGTATGTCTGAGTAAATCTAGCCAGGAAATACAGAATATTCACTTAAAATTTTATTGCAAATTTAAAGGAGATTCAGCGAATGAGGGAAGATACTGATAAAGCAAACAAACATTCTTCTGTTCTTGAAAGAGATAATCAAAGAATGGAAATACAAATAAAAGATCTTTCACAACAGGTTAGAATGTTTTTGTGTGTATGTTCTGTTCATTTGCTTGTGGGTGTCTCTCATTTTTTTAAACTGCCTGCCCAATACCATTGTCATACTGTTTTTTTACCCATGATCCTTAGTAAAGGGAAATCTGTGTAGGAGTATGTAAGATAGAACTGCCACATATGAAATTCAAATTACAACTCTCCACTTATTTTCCCTAAAATACTTAATATCAATTCTCAAGTTTTAAGAAATGAAATATTTTTTTAAAAGTCTTCTTTTACTATTATAGCCTCTGATGGGGTCACCAAGTTAACAGACTGCAATATATTTGGAATGCTTTCTTAATATACATACAAATGAACATAAGCAAATATTTGCATGAATAAGTGTTGATAGTTTTAACTAAAATAGTATCATACCATGTTTATTACTATGCCACTTGGTATTTTTTAATAAGCACAAGTCATTTTTGTGTTAATAACAAAATTCTTTAAAGTATTTGTGATACCATTTGATAACACATTTGTATTTTTCCCCCTTTTCTAACATTTTTATTGGCTTAGATTTTATTATTTTTTGTGCACACACAAATAACACATGCATAAAATTTTTATTTAAATGTCTTGATACATACTTTTATCTGAAAATCTATTTTCTATGCCCCCCCCCCACGCTCCCCTCTGTCATGTAATACATATGTAAGTACATACAGAGGTAATATATAAGGGACCTTCAAAAAAGTATATGAAAAAATAGAATGAAAGAAAACAATTTTTTGATGAACTTTTCAAAGCTCCTTAACATACCTACTTGGGTATATACATTGTTTTATAAAAATGGGACCACATGTTGAAATTATAGTTTGTCTACATTTTTTTTAGAGTGTAAAACCTTCATTATATACTTCTCTAGAACTTTAAATTAATTTTATTTCATTAAGTTTTTCTAAGATTATTTAAATTCTAATACCTAAAATAAGAAAGGTTGATGGCTCTGATTTTTAGGTTAAAATTTAAGTTAATGATAATTGAAACTTTTCTAAGTAATAATTTCCATTTTTTCAAATCTTCAGAATTAAAGCCAATTCTATTTTATAACATAAGTCTTCATTTACTTTTTAGATTAGAGTGCTTTTGATGGAACTTGAAGAAGCAAGGGGTAACCATGTAATTCGTGATGAGGAAGTAAGCTCTGCTGATATAAGTAGCTCATCTGAAGTAATATCACAGCACCTAGTTTCGTACAGAAATATTGAAGAGCTTCAACAACAGAATCAGCGTCTTTTAGTGGCTCTTAGGGAACTTGGAGAAACTAAAGAAAGAGAAGAAAAAGAATCAACTTCATCCAAGTAAGCGGTTGACTAATAAACAATGAATTTTGTTTGTTCGGTAAACATTGAATACTAGTTTTCAGCTCTCGTGTAATGTGATTGTTATAAATGAAAAGGAACAGAGAAAAAGTCTCTTTGTATGAACATTTTTATAGCAGTGCAGAACCCAGCTCAGATTCAGAGAATCTATCAAACTTCTAGGTACTGAGTATTGAAGGATTTATAAGGACTGCCCTAACAAAGCAAAATCAAAATGCTTTTTGTTTTTAATTGGTGTTAGAGGAGAACGAATGGCTGTGAAAGAAAATTGAGTTTGGACTGAATAGAATTTATAAGAGATTTTTTGCAAACAATTTTTTTCGGATAGCATCGACAGAAGTTTAAAAAGTGATTCTCAAAATAATAGCTGAAGGGGGGAAAACGATTAAAGAAAGTGAATATTGTATTTTTAATGCCTAGTTAATTTATAAGAGAAGTTACAATCATAAAATCTCAATCTTAAGTTTTGAAATAGACTGGTTTTATTTCCTATATAGAATCACTGAACTTCAACTCAAACTTGAGAATGCTCTCACTGAATTGGAACATCTTCGTGAGTCCCGACAGCAACAGGCGCATCTTGCCGATTCCATAGTTCGTCAGCGTGACATGTACCGTATTTTGTTGTCACAAACAACAGGAGTTGTCATCCCATTACAAAGTAGGTTTTTATATGCTATTTTACTAGTTTCTTATTATTCCTGAAATGTGTAATGAGGAACTGATTTTGCTACCTAAATAATAACTACCCCAATGGTGATTGCTTCACGTTTGACTGCCTTATTTCATTGAACATCAATTCCCAGGCATAATTTCATTGAACTTCAATTCTCGGGCATCGCTCAGTTTTTTACATAAAATGGGAAACACCCAGCGTTTTATGAAAACTGAGAAAGTCTTCACCACTGTTGAAAAATGTACTAGTTGTCCAAAAGTTCTTAGAAAAAAGGAGTTAAAAGATAATGGCGTTTGTCTCATGAAATTTTAGAAGGGCCTGTTATACCTTAGAATAGACTATTATACTTATTTTTAATTTCCTTAGAATTTATTACTATATTTTTAATTTTTTAGTTTGATGCATTTAAACATTGTAAACATTAAACAGATAGACTTCATGTTTTATAACTCCACTCATCTCCAGTTTAACTCTTTCTTGCTGATTTTGATAATGATGTGGTCACATAGAAATCTTAGATTAAACTGGTTTATCAAAGCTGATAATGCATTTTATCTTTTTATTTTCTTAAAGCTTCAAATTTAGAAGATATCTCTCTTCTGTCAACTCCAAAACGTGCAAGTACATCACAAACTGTTTCCACTCCCGCTCCAGTGCCTGTTACTGAGTCAACAGAGGCTATAGAAGCTAAGGCTGCCCTTAAACAGGTAAACATCATTCTGTATCTTTGGATTAAATTCTTAGAGAATACAATCTCATCTTCTGATAATTTTTTTAGTTACAGGAAATTTTTGAGAATTACAAGAAAGAAAAGACAGATAATGAAAAGATACAAAATGAGCATCTTGAGAAGCTTCAAGAACAAGTTACGGAACTGCGATCACAAAATACCAAAATTTCTACTCAGCTAGATTTTGCTTCCAAACGGTAAATATACTCTTATTCGAAGGCTAACAAAGTTGTGGAAAATTAAAGTCAAAAGAAATAAAAACAATTGATTTTCTTCCTTTCCGGTTTTATTGACATAGTTCCCATCCACACAATTAATTGTTTTTAATATGTTAAAAAGAATTGTGAAGTCATCACAACAATCAGTGGAGCATTTTGTTAATTTTCTCCTCAGTGTTCTTAGTTCCTCTCCAAAAATTATTTTCATAATTTACAGTTTATGCTTGTTAGCTTTCTTTTTTGATCTTAAAGGGTCTAGCGTTTTCTCAGGCCAAAATTATTTGTAACTGCAGTAGAGTAAGATAAACTCAGCAAATTTTATTCACCCTTTTTTATTCTAGGTATAAGATAGAGCTGGGTAATTTGGGGGAAAATTCACTTTCTTAGGCATTTAGAAATAAAGCACCTTTTTTGCTTTTTGATAAATCCTTAGTCTTAACTTCCCAAGGGAATAAGATCGAGGATTAATTATGCCAAGGAAAAAGGATTGGCAAAAGTGCATCACTAGCCATCCAAGAACTGTCTTACATTACATACCTCATGGTGATTAATGATTCCTGAATCAGTATTATAAAAATAAAGTTTGGTGTTTGATAGTATTGACATTATTTTTCATGTAATTAGGATTTTTTTAAAAGTTATTCAACGTAAAATAGGTATTTACATGGAACTTCAACCACTCCATAGGTGTATAGCTTGGAAGGAAGAATGAAAGTTTTACTTAATCACATAAAATTGAACATCTGTTGTGTAATTTTCAAGGAACTAACTAGGGGGTGGTGGTAATACAATTATTTATAGAAATTATTTTTCTTTTTATACAAGTTATGAAATGCTACAAGATAATGTTGAAGGATACCGTCGGGAAATAACATCCCTACATGAGAGAAATCAGAAACTCACGGGAACAACTCAAAAACAGGAACAGATCATCAATACTATGACTCAAGATTTGAGAGGAGCAAATGAAAAGCTAGCTGTTGCAGAAGTGAGACCAATTTCCCCCATTTGGTTTGCATAATCAATTGTTTTTGACATTTCCATTTTAGTTATTACAGTTGGCCCTCTGTATCCATGGGTTCCATATCTAGGGATTTAACTGATTGCGGATCTAAAATATTCTTGGTGGCTAGGGATTAATTAATGACGTAATTAAATTATGAAATAAGTATATAAGAGGATATGAATAGGTTGTATGCAATACTACACCAACTGTATATGGGGCCTTAGGCATCCATGGGTTTCAGCATTCTCAAGGAATCAGGCTCCCACGATACAGAGGGATACCGAATTTTATTCTTACTGATTGATATAACTTAGATATTTGAGAGGTTTGTTGATCACAGGTTCTTACAGTTTCCTAATAGCCAGTTGTGCATAAGTAGAATGATTATTTCTTTTAAGATTGAAACAGGAAGATGGAAGGAAGTTCATTTTCTGCTAAACCAAGATTTTCTTATGTCTTCCATTTTAAAATGAGTTTGCCAGTCAATATTCTATAATTAAAGAAAGGTCAATATCTTGTGCACTTTTAATAAAGCAATGTATAAATTTGCATTAAAAATTAAAAATAAAAATTTCTGAACTTCAAAATAATATTGAAGTCAGGATATTTGACCTGGTTCCTATGATGACAGAATTGTCATATTTTACTTTTAGAAAATGTTATTTCTCACATCTTTTTTGATAATTTTCTGTTAGGTAGGAACCAGGCATTGTTTTTCCCTGTTTTACTTTTAGAGGCACTGAAACTTAAGGCCTAAGTCATTTGCTCTTTTTAGACAATCATGAAAATATGCATTAGTTGAGACATAAGGTCATGTACTCTAATTATGTTAGCTATATTGCATTTTTAATGTACTCCTACTCCATTGTGGTGGGTGGTCAAGGGCACTTGCTCTAACCAGTAAGCTTTATAATTGGTAAGTTTATCTGACTTATGTGTATAAAAACTTTGAGAATACCGATTTTGAGTGCACTGGTCCCCTGTACTCTGTATGAACAAAAAGTTTACATTTAAAATGGACTGGTCAGCACCCTCAAACAGGTCCTTAGGAACCACGCTTAGATAGTAAAACTTGGATAATAAATATTATACAGGTCAGACGGTATAGCATAGGTATTTATGCTTTTTGTTGTTGTTTACTCCAACAGTTTAGTTTTTTTCTTGCTTTTTAATTGTTTGAAAGTCTGGGTAAGTATTAAGGAAAAGAATAATGAGTAATTGTAATTTTAAAAAAAATTTCTTTATTAGTATTCCCATTTTTGCTTAATAATTCATAATGAAACACTAAAGAATTGTACTTTTTCGTATATTGAAAACCCTTTAATTAGTATTAGGAACTACATAGTAAAGAGAGGATTGTTTTCGCTATCATCTTAATGGGTTAACTGTATTCGCTATCATCTTTCACTTGTATCCGACACAAGGTAAGAGCTGAAAATTTGAAGAAGGAAAAGGAGATGCTTAAGTTATCAGAAGTTCGTCTTTCTCAGCAGAGAGAGTCTTTGTTAGCGGAGCAACGCGGGCAAAACTTGTTGCTAACTAATCTGCAAACAATTCAGGTAATTTTTTTTTTAAGTTGTAGGAAAAGGGATTATATAAGCTAAGTTTAAACAGTTTTATCCCATTACAGTTTCTCAGTTTTTTTAAGTAGTAAACTCATTTGTCCCCTGTCACTGATGATATTTGAGTTTGCGATTTTAAGGTATTTTTTCCATATTCTAAGTTAAAAACATTGAATTGATTGAAACTAGCATCATTAGGTTTACATTTATAGGTTCTAGCACTAGTAGCCCCATGAATTCCGCATTGGACTGCTAGCTGCAAGGTCAGCAGTGTAAACTCTTGTATGAGCTACTCCACAGAAGTTTGAGGTGCTTGCTCCCACAGCGATTTAGTATCTGAAACCCTAATGAACAGTTCTACTTTGTTAGGGTTGCTAGGAGTCAGAATCAGTTTGATGGCAATGGACGGTGGTTGGTTGTTTCTTGCTTTGGTTAGTTGAAATATTAAATCTTTGATCTTAATTTTTCCTTAAGACCTCTAAAGGTCAATATTATAAAGTGTTTCTTTTGTCTAACAAGTAGTGTGTTAGGCCATATTGACTACAGCAACAAACCCAGGGACATTCGTATGTGTGTAAGAGAGAATTTTATATCAAGAAGTAATTATGTATCATTAAGACATCCCAGCCCAGTACAGATCAAGTCCTTAAGTCCAGTATTACCCCATCCATGTATGTCTTATACTAGTCTATAAATTCCTCTGCAATGATACTGAATGCAGGACGATCAAAGTCCAGTAGGTGGAAAGTCTTGTGGATTCAGTGGCAGTGGAAGCATTTGTAGGGCTCTGGCTGCCATCAAAGTGGCTCCACGTAGCTTGACAATAGGAAGGTATAGCAGAGAGGGAGAGCGTGCCCTCCCTCCAGGAACGAAGGGAGAAAACTCCCAGAATTCTCAGGAGAAGGTCATACCCACAAGAAGTCAGCAATCAGACTGTGACATGATTGATAGATTGGACTCCACCCAATTAACTATTTATCGGGTTGCCATGAAATCATATGTAACTACCACAAGTAGATATTTTAATAAGAAAAGATAAAGTTCTTTCATTGTTAAAATATTTCATATCTTCACGTAGAAATGAGTTGGGTTTACATGAAGCCTTTTATTTTCTTGATATTTCTTAGTTGGTTATTTTCTCAAACCCAACCAAAAATCTTGTCTTTAACTTAGGGAATACTAGAGCGCTCTGAAACTGAAAGCAAACAGAGGCTGAGTAGCCAGATAGAAAAACTGGAACATGAGATATCTCATCTAAAGAAGAAGTTGGAAAATGAAGTGGAACAAAGGCATACCCTTACTAGAAATCTGGATGTAAGTCTATCAGAGCACTACATTTCTGTAATTCATTTCTGTTCAGTTTATTTAGCTACATGGGAACACCATATCATCTGAACTGTAGGTAATTTGAAGAGACTAATTATAAACTACAAGTTGTCCTTGCCTTTTTGTATGCCTTCTTTATAATTTTTGATTGGGTGTCAAGACATGTCTGATTTTCCTTTGTTGGATATTTGTATGCAGTTTTTCTGGAGTTTTGATCTGAGATGCCCCAAAGTTACATGTAAATATGCTTTGGAACCATACTTTTTTTATGATTTATTAGGCAGACTTATATCCATGCTCAGTCTAGATTCCATTGCTGAGAACTGTACTCGGTGTCCCATGAATTAAGTCTGCCTGCTGACTCCTGGGAATGACTGAGTGTTAAGCACTCTTCACTATAATCTCTTCGGAGGGTTCTTGGCCCTGTCGGAGGTCATTTCAAATGCATTCTCTGATCAGTTCTCTGCTGAATGTTCGAGGGGCAACCTCTGCAGATTCCTACAGTTCTCTTAACATTGGACCCCTCCTCTTGGGTATTCTCTCCTATAAAATCAACCTGTTTAGGCTTCCCTGGACTCTCAGATCTATATTCTCAGCTTATAGGACTACTGGGTTGTACCTCAGTTCCCTTTTTCTTCACCTGGAAATTCTCTCAAGTCAGTTAACTACGGGAATCATAGGGCTCACCTTGTCTCAGAGACCATTATTCCTCATTTCCTATGTCCAATGACTTAAATTGTTGTTAAATGTGTTTTTGTTAATTTTTTATTTTTTTAATTGCTAAGGGTAAATTCAAGTTCCTATTAACTCCATCTTGAACACAGTTTTAAGGGCCTGCCTAAAAGAAGGAAAATTTGAGCCACTAGTTAAATATAGGAACCTGGGGTACTATTTGCAGGGTTATTTCATATATCTATATATATTTCCTTTTTTTATAGGTTCAGCTTTTGGATACAAAGAGGCAGCTGGATACTGAGTCAAATCTTCATCTTAACACTAAAGAACTACTAAAAAATGCTCAAAAGGAAAATGCTGCAATGAAACAACACCTCAGTAATATAGAAGCCCAACTTGCTTCTCAGTCCTCACAAAAAACTGGGAAAGGTAAATAAATCAACCAAAAAGGCATATTGCATTATAAATAAAATAATTTCTAAGTAAGTAGCTTTCAGTCTTGTAAAGGGTAAAAAAATGTCACTTCGAATATCATAAAACTCATGATTTTAACTCAGTAGATACACAGCAATTTTGAGTGTCTCTGTAAGGAACTATATGTGGCCTCCTCCCTGGGGGACGGACAGCAGAAAAGTGGGTGAAAGGAGACGTCAACAGAAAATTGGGTGAAGGGAGACGTCGGGCAGGGCAAGATATGACAAAATAACAATTTATAAACTACCAAGGGCTCATGAGGGAGGGGAAAAATGAGGACCTAATGCCGGGGGTTTAAGTGGAGAGAAAATATTTTGAGAATGATGAGGGCAATGAATGTACAAATGCGCTTTACACATTTGATGTGTGTATGGATTGTGATGAGTTGTATGAGCCCCTATTAAAATGATTAAAAAAAATAAAAATTAAAAATAAAAACCTAAAAAATAAAAATTGTTAAGCGTTCTGCATGGCACTTGACCAAGTTGTAATCTTGATTTCCAATTGTTGAAATCATTGTATTGGTAATTTTAAAAGATTTCTAGAGGACGGAGGGACTACATTTGCATTTTTATCATAAGATTACTTAAATGTGTAAAGGCAATTTCTAAGAAGTACTTGATTTATTTTGTCTTTTTTAGAACAGTTTCTAGCCTTTCATCATTGGTATCCTCAGGTTAATAAAATATTTCATGACATTTTGCTGACTGCAGAGCATCCATTTTAAAATTCAAAGCCTTTTACATTAGGTAATGTTACTTACAAAACTTTTACTTGATTGTATTTCCTACTAGAAGGAATAAACATATACACATAATACATATAAGTATGTTGTAGGGAACTGTCAGTCAATTTCACCTCATGGCTAGTGACCCTATAGGACAAAGCTGCTCCCAAACTATACTCTTTATGAGACGAAATTGGTCAGACCTCTAGACAGACTGGAGAGGTTCACACTGCCAACATTTTGGTTAGCAGTTAAGCCAGTATGCCTCTAGGACTCTTTATAAGTATGTACAAGTATGTATGTATACTAACAAATGTGTTTGTGTGTATAAAATGCATTATTGTTCTGTAATCCTTTCTATCTGATTGATAGGAAAAACATTCTTTTGGACTTGTGCCTCGTCTTCCTTTGCATTTTAAAAAGAACAAAAGTTGAGCTAAATTATATAAGATTGATGTTTTACTGTAATAGTAATGTTTAGGTAATTAACAATTCTATGATTTCAATTAGCTACCTCATTTTACTGGAAATATTTAAATTTTTCTTTGTGTTAAATTTTGTAACAACAGATTTCAAATATTTGTATTTTTGAAGAGTATGAATGAAAAAATACTTAATTTATATTTTGATATCTATGAATTGAAGGAAACAACTTCATTTGATTTTTAATTTCATAATCCATTCGATAACTTACATTTTAATAATTTTAATAGTACTGTTGTATTTTTAGGTCAGGCTATTGACAAAGAAGATGCAGATGAACTTCGGAGTCAGCTAAGACAAACAGAAGAACAGGTGAATGATTTGAGGGAGAGACTAAAAACAAGTACTAGTAATGTGGAACAGTACCGAGCAATGGTTACTAGTTTAGAAGAATCCCTCAACAAGGAAAAACAGGTATGTATAATTCTGAATTCAGTTCAAACAGGGCTATTAACATTGTTGCTTTCTATTTTCTTCATTAGGACCCTACTATATATAGCGAGTTCTTGGGCATTGTAAGTTAGGTGTTGACTTGCTAACTACACAGCCTGTGGTACAAACCCATCTGTTCTGAGGGGGGAAAAGATGGAACTGTCTGCGCATGTAAAAATGTGTATCTTCAGAAACACTATAGAGGTTTGGATTAAGTTGGAATCAACTGAATGGCAGTGAGTTTTATATGGAAGGCATTGTGGTAAATATGAATGAGACAGATGTTGTTACCCTTGTCTCTTAAGAATGTATGACTCTCACAAACCCAGGGATAAGGGAACAATGAGTGATCGAAATCGGTGGTGAGGAGGGCGTAGAAGGCCTGGTAGGGCGTGATCGAGGGTAAAGTAACCAAGAGGAATTACTGAAACCCAAATGAAGGCTGAGCATGATAGTGGGACAAGAGGAAAGTCAAAGGAAATAGAGGGAAAAGCTTGGGGGCAAAGGGCATTTATAGAGGTCTAAATAAAGGCATGTACATGTGCAAATATGTATATTAGGTTGGGGAAATAGATCTATGTGCATGTATTTATAAGTTTAGTATTAAGGTAGCAGAAGGACATTGGGTCTTCAAGTACTCCCTCAATGCAAGAATATTTTCTTCTGTTGGCATTCTGTGATGTTCACCTTCCCAACACAACTGCTGAAGACAAAGTGGGTGAGTAAACAAACGTGGTGAAGAAAGCTGATGGAGCCCAGCTATCAAAAGATATAGCATCTGGGGTCTTAAAAGCTTGAAGGTAAACAAGCGACCATCTAGCTCAGAAGCAACAAAGCCCACATGGACGAAGCACGCCAGCCTGTGTGATCAGGAGGTGCAGAAGGGATCAATTATCAGGCATCAAAGAACAAAAATTCATATCATTGCGTGCTCACCTCCCTGATACAATCGCTGATTACAAATGGGTGCATAAGCAAATGTGGCAAAGAAAGCTGACGATGCCCGGCTATCAAAAGCTCTAGTATCTGGCGTCTCAAGGGCTTGAAGGTAAACAAGCGACCATCTAGCTCAGAAGCAACAAAGCCCACATGGAAGAAGTACACCAGTTTGTGTGATCACAAGGTGTCGAAGGGATCAGGTATCAGGCATCATCAGAACCAAAAATCTTACCATAGTGAATGAGGGGGGAGTGGAGACCCAAAACCCATTTGTAGGCCACTGAACATCCCCTTGCAGAAGGGTCTCGGGGAGGAGACGAGCCAATCAGGGTGCAATGTAGCAACGATGAAAAATACAACTTTCCTCTAGTTCTTAAATGCTTCCTCCCCAACACTATCATAATCCCAATTCTACCTTACAAATCTGGCTAGACCAGAGGACGTACACTGGTACAGATAACAACTGGAAACGTAGGGAGTCCAGCGCGGATGATTCCTTCAGGACCAGTGGTGTGAGTGGCAATACTGGGAGGGTAGAGGGAGGGTGGATTGGAAATGGGGGACCAATTACAACATGTGACTTCCTCTTTGGGGGATGGACAACAGAGAAGTATGACAAAAGTAAAATCGAGCTCATGAGGGAGGGGGGAGCGGGGAGGGAGGGGGAAAATTATCTGATGCAAGGGCTTAGGTGGAGAGCAAATGTTTTGAGAATGATGAGGGTGATGAATGTACAAATGTGCTTTACACAATTGATGTATGTATAGATTGTGATAAGAGTTGTATGAACCCCTAATGATTTTTTTAAAAAAGAATGTATGACTCATAAGCCAGATAAATTAAGCACACCCAAAATAGAAACTAAAGGTATGGGTATAATTGCTATAATAAAGGTACAGATCAAATGGTGAGAATGAGAGGGTAAATGATAATTTGTCTCTTGGGAAAGAATGACTACCGAAAGAAGTCATTTGTGTCCAACCTTGAGGGAAGGGAACATTTTGATAATTCATAGTAAAAAGACATTGCATGTAGTAGGAAGACTCTGCCAAAGTGCAAAGCTGCAGGTGAGGACAGTTTGACTTGCATACTGAATTACATGACGTCATGAGGGGTACAATTTAGAAATCAATTGAGAAGCAAACAAAGATTTTGAATATCATAATTTTGAATGACTAGTTGTAATAGGAATTTATTTAATTTAGGAAGAATAATGTTGTGCATAAAAATACATTTTATTTTAGAAGTAGCTATAGCCTGTGGTCAAAGCAGTGGAAATAACAGTACATGGAAAAGAATTTCTGCAGTAGATTAGACATATTTAGCAAGTACATGTGAGAATTGAGGCAGATATGAAAAAATTGGACATTTTACATCAGAAAGAAGCCAAGTTGAAAGAGAAATTGTGCTTGGAATTCTGAATGGAGTGTTGTTTTTTCCTGCTGCTTTGTCTTTTAGCATTTGGTTGGTTTTTGTTAAAGTAAGGCAAATGTTAGTTTAAATATCACTTCTCAAATTTAATTTACGTAGGTTTGGAGAAATTTAGAATTGCATAATTTTTAATATGTACAATTTTTGTATCTTGTTTTCATATCGTGAAGGTTACAGAAGAAGTACGCAAGAACATTGAAGTTCGTTTAAAAGAGTCAGCCGAGTTTCAAACACAATTGGAAAAGAAATTAATGGAAGTAGAAAAGGAAAAACAAGAACTTCAGGATGACAAGAGAAAAGCCATAGAGAGCATGGAACAACAGGTCAATCTAGTTATTAACTTATTTTTATTTAAGGTTTTGAGTTTTTTTCTAAGTAATTACTATTCTGTTTATCAATAATTATTCATTGAACACATGCACAAATTTTAGTTTATTGTGTTGTTCTGCTTTATAGTTATTTTCTTTTGAAATTTTTGCACCATTGTATGGCAGTAGGCATCAATTGGCTTTTTTTTTTAAGAAGCCTTTGCCTGAGTCTTGTCTTTGGCAAAGTTAATTGATTGTGTTAGAACATTTTGGTTATAACTACTTTAAATTTACTTCATTAAATTTAGTTCATAGTCCTTTGGACTAAAGGCATGTTTTAAAATTAAGCATCAGTGTTTTAAAAATAAATTGTAATTAACCCTAGTTTTAATTTTCTTTTTATTTAGTTATCTGAGTTAAAGAAAACATTGTCGAATGTTCAGAGTGAAGTTCAGGAAGCCCTTCAAAGAGCAAGTGCAGCTTTGAGTAATGAGCAGCAAGCCAGACGCGACTGTCAAGAACAAGTGAGTATTGAACTCTTCATGTAAATCACTGAGAAATAAGCCTTGAGCCTCTTAAGAACTCTTAAGACTGTGTGACTGGATTTGGGAGTCTGAGTAGACCTTACAAAATACAAAACTATTTCTGCTCTCATGGAGCAAAAGGTAATTTAAAAAGAAAGATGATTGCTAAAACTGAATGGTGCTCTATTAAAATAGTCTTGGAGAATTGGAAAAGACCACCCTAGGTGAAATAGTCAAAGGTATCACACCGCAGCAAAAGAAAGGAGCTCTGGGTAAGGTTATTTTATTTCATTGATGAGTTTGCACCGATATCCTAGCCATGCCACCTCAAAAAGCCAATTTGGTATGTTGTTTCACAGAGTAGTATCGAGTGAAAAATCTATAATGCTACGCAATGATGCAGATGAGTAGTTCAGTCATTATAGTGTTGAGTGAAAAAAACGTAAAAAGACTAGATTACTTTTTCTAAAATTTTGAAAAAGCACATCATGACATACTGTGCATACGTACATCTGTACATATAATGAAATGTTTTATATCTATGAATAAGAAGTGATAAAATGATTCAAGAGCTCGGAGGTTGTTGAAATGATAGGATTAGAAATTAACATGTAGGAATATTAGTAATGTTACAATTTTCAAGTTGAGTATTTTAAGAGCTATTGATTAGATTATTAGTTATTGCTTATATATGAGGCAACTTTAAAAAGTGTGTAGGAAAATGTAAAGATAGAGACATTTTTCAAGTTTTTTGATGCTTATATATATGACATTTATCACCTTCGTGGTGTGTAAGTTATGCATTAGCCTACTAACCACAAGGTCAAGAGTTCAAAATCACCAGCTTCTCAATGAGAGGAAGACGAGGTTCTGTCCTCCTATAAAGACGGTGTTTCTGCGCTGTTTTATAGTCGCTGAAGTCACTGACTTGATCGCAGTGAGTTTGGTTTTGATTTACATAACATCTTGCATGTATATAAAGTTTTTGCAATGTTTCAAAGGCAAAAATGGGTTATTGGCATATTGCCCAGTAACGTAACAGTAGAAATTAAAATTAATATGCAAATTCTTTTCATTTTTTGTTCTGTGTGTGTGTGCGCACATGTACAGTCAGCCTTCTGTATCCACTTGTCTTGGATCTGCAGATTCAAACAAGTGGATTGAAAATAATATGGGGGGAGGAGGGGTTAATTGGCAGCACAATCCCTCAAAGGCTAAGAAGAAGCATTAAGCGCTGTTACGTAGCATTTTCATTGTATTAATTATGACAAATAATGTGTAAGTTATTTGCCAAACCACCATTTTATTGAAAGGATACGAGCATCCAAGGATTGTGGTTTCCATGGCTGGTGCCAGAACGGGGCACTAGTCCCCTGCATTACCAACGGGCAGCTGTATGTACATACAGAATTACCATTGTATGCGTTTCACAAAACTGCTAGTGCTAATTTTTTGTTTCACAAAATGTACTCACGATTACTACCATTTTTTGTTGTTGAAAAGCTCTAATAGGTATCTTTACAGAATTTTAATCTTTTATGACAATGATGGGACAATATAATATTTTCCAGGCTAAAATTGCTGTGGAATCTCAGAATAAATATGAAAGAGAATTAATGCTACATGCTGCTGATGTTGAAGCTCTACAAGCTGCCAAGGAACAGGTTTCAAAAATGGCATCAGTCCGTCAGCATTTGGAAGAAACAACGCAGAAAGCAGAATCACAGTTGTTAGAGAGTAAAGCATCTTGGGAGGAGAGAGAAAGAGTGTTAAAGGTATTGCTGTAGATCATGGTAGAATATTCTCAGAGCTAATTGGGTTTTACATTTGTATATGTGTTGGAAATTAAGCTGTTAACGGTAGACTCTTGTTTTATAGGATGAAGTTTCCAAGAGTGTGTCACGCTGTGACGATCTAGAGAAACAAAACCGATTACTTCATGATCAGATTGAAAAGTTGAGTGACAAGGTAGTTGCCTCTATGAAGGAAGGTGCACAAGGCTCCTTAAATGTATCCTTTAGTGAAGAAGGAAAATCTCAAGAACAAATTTTAGAAATTCTCAGGTAAATCTATTATGTTCTGAAAAGTACTTTTTTACCACCACAAATGAAAGGGGTGGCATATCGTTTATGTATAAAGCTTATTCTGTGTCTTATTGGTTAACATACTGACCACCACTAAAGTAGTGGTTACTTTTGAAAATTAGACATACATCAAATGAAACAAATGACTTAATGTTGATTCTGATATTGGTAAAAACTTCAGGTCTCCTTAAAAAACTTCAATGCTTTTCCCATCACATTTCTAATGTGACGGTCCCAATATTTCTCCCAAATTGTTATTTGTTTTTAATAAAAGTATTACTGGTAAAAATATCTGCTGGAGTGGATCCTTTTTATCTTAAGTTATTTACGTTTTGAATGTTGCACTATTGGCATTATTTTAATCGAGTAAAATTTTATGTTGTAGATTTATACGGAGAGAAAAAGAAATTGCCGAAACTAGGTTTGAAGTGGCTCAAGTTGAGAGTCTGCGTTATCGACAAAGGGTGGAACTTTTAGAAAGAGAGCTTCAGGAACTGCAGGATAGTCTCAATGCTGAAAGGGAGAAAGTGCAGGTATGTATTTAAGAAACCAGTTAATTTGAAAGGGAAGATGTCATTTTAGTTTCTAATACTTATTTTGAAATAAACATTAATACAATGTAATAGCTCAATAATCAGACTACACCATTTCCAGTTCTTTTGCTCCATTAGCTAACTCTCCCAATATGCTCATATAAGCTGATACACCTAATTTTACCACAAAAAGCTGGGGGGCTTTTTCGGCATTAAAAAATGTGCTGAAAGAACTCGGCTTATAGTGAGTATATACGGTAAGCTGTTTAAATTCTCTCACTTCTCTCATCCTTAATATCGGAGTAATAGTAGTGAATGGTATGTGGAGGTAGTGCATATGAAAGCAGTAGAACTATGCATGGTATATAGTGAATGCTTATAAATTTCAACTATCTTAATTTTTTATTATGCTTGTCATTGTGTAGACATCGAGTAGTCATTCTAGGTTAAAGTAGTAGCTTAAAATTGTCTGGAAAGAGCAAACTTCAGTCAAATCTAAAAACCAAAAAAGAAAAATGAAGATGCTTTAGGGGATTGGATAGTCATAGCACACGTTCAACTTGGTAATCTACTTTGTTACCTAATATCTCCCACATCTGGAGGGAAGTATCAGTAACACCTTTAATGATGACTTATCTTTTAACTGAGAGATAGTAGGTGAAATGACTGCCAATATAAAATACTAAATCATTTCCATTTTGTCAGATGGATTACAAATTATTTTCTTCTTAGCTCAAGACATATATGCTGGTTGGAGAAAACAGTCCTTGATTTAAACTGCCTATTATTAGATATTGATGTACATATGTGCTTGTGACCTTTAGGTAACTGCAAAAACAATGGCCCAGCATGAAGAACTGATGAAGAAAACAGAAACCATGAATGTGGTTATGGAGACCAATAAAATGCTAAGAGAAGAAAAGGAAAGACTGGAACAGGATCTACAACAGATGCAAGCAAAGGTTTGTGATTTAGTAGTAAAAAGTAGAGGCATGCTATCGTCTTGACTAGTGATTAAATTTTTACATTTTGATGTTAAAATACTGGCGCTATTTTCAGGTGAGGAAACTGGAGTTAGATATTTTACCTTTACAAGAAGCAAATGCTGAGCTGAGTGAGAAAAGTGGTATGTTGCAGGCAGAGAAGAAGTTACTAGAAGAAGATGTTAAACGTTGGAAAGCACGTAACCAGGTAAGGACAAATGAAATAATTCCAAACTTAGGAACATGTTATTATTTTTTTTAATGATTTTATTGGGGACTCTCATAGCTCTTATCACAATCCATCCATCCATTATGTCAAGCACATTTGTACATTTGGTGCCATCATCATTTTCAAAACATTTTCTTTCTACTTGAACACTCGGTATCAACTCATTTCTCTCCACCCCCACCCCCAATAATCAATCCCTTGATTTATAATTTTATGTCTATACCAACCGCTGTCTTCCTATACCCACTTTTCTGTTGTCCATCTCCCTGGGAGGAGGTGATACATTGATCATTGTGATCAGTTGCCCCTTTCTTCCTTCCACACCTTCCCCTTCCCCTCCTAATATTGCTACTCTCATTTTTTGTACCAGTATTCTTGCTCTGATCTAGCTGAATTTGTAAGGTAGAATTGGAGTCATGATAGTGAGGGTTAGGAATCATTAAATAACTATAGGAAAGTTGTGTGTTTTGTCATTGATTTTAAATGATAGTGTAAAATGAGGTAGATAAGTATATTTACAGAACCTAGTAGAAATGATTGTTTACCAGTAAAAGTCTTAATATGTTATCTGTATGGGACAAATGTTAAATTTACAACTCAGTTTTTACCTTTTACAGAATTAACATGTAACAGGATATTTTTTCCAGCAATTTAGATTGAGAAAAAATTGTGCATAGTTTTTTAGCTAAGTACTAGTTTACATGACTGGATAGTTTTAGTCTTTCAGATATATGGAGTTTTTCATTTTAAAATGTGACTATAATAACATTGTACCATAAAAGCCAAATAATAAATGTAAAACTGTGCTTGATCATTTTGCTTGTAGGACACCTAGTATACTTAGATATACTATTTTATTAGTTTGTTTCATAAAGTGTAAACTATGCATTTTTGCTGTTTTAGCATCTAGTAAGTCAACAAAAAGATCCAGATACAGAGGAATATCGGAAGCTGCTTTCTGAAAAGGAAGTTCACACCAAGCGTATTCAGCAGCTAACAGAAGAAATTGGAAAACTTAAAGCTGAAATTGCAAGGTGTGTAGAAAAAAGCCCTAAGTTGTATATATGAAATCTTAAGTTTGATATCTGTTCTTTATATATAAAGTCCAACAATACTTCCTGATCCTAGGAAGCATGGAAAATTCTGGATCCTTAACATGTAGCCTTCTTTAATTTCCATATAGAACTACAAGGAGTAATTTAATGTTATACCTTCACATGTGACACTGTTACTTTTTTAAAAAACTTAACACACTTTGTGACTAAATCTAAATTAATTTGTTTTCTAAACAGTCAAACTTTTACAGATAAGTTTTTCTTTTGCTTGGCAATTCATGAATATCTTGAGAAGTTTTAGTAAAGGAAGTTATTTAAATTGTGGTAAATATTCTTTTAATGAGCTGACAGTGAAGTACCATTTCTTTACACATAAGAATTAAATATTAAGGTTAAGGTTTTAGTGTCATTTCTCCGTGTCCCAGGCCTTGTAGAATGCTTTAAAACTTAAGAATTTTTGTCATATACAGTATCATAATTAATAACAGTAGTCTGGTAAGTAATAGAAGAGATTAGTCCTTAACCTTAAAGTGACGAGCTTGCCTGTGAAGGTTATGGAACTGTTAGTGGTGGTAGTGGTCAGTGCCATTGAGTCAGCTCCGACCCATAGTGACCCTATGCACTACAGAATGAAACATTGCCCAGTCTTGCTCCATCCTCACGATTTTCACGTATGCTTGAGCAGATTGTTGAAGCCACTGTGTCAATCCATCTTGTCCAAGGTCGTCTTCTTTCACTGCTCCTCTAACTTTACCAAGCATGGAATCCTCCTTCAGTGACTGGTCTCTTCTGACAATGTGTCCAAAGTATGTGGGATGAAATTTTGCCATCTTTGCCTGAGGAGAATTCTGCTGTACTTAAAAGACTGATTAGTTTGTTTTTATTACAATCAATGATACTTTGAATATTTTTTTGCCAGCATCATAATTCAAATGATTGATTCTTTGGTCTTCCTTATTTAATGTCCAACTTTCACATGCATATCAGGTGATTGAACAGACCATGACTTGAGTCAGGTAGTTTCACAGAAACATCTTTGCCTTTCAGCAAAGATATCTTGTGTAGCAGATATCACAGTGTGTTGTGTGATCTAGACTGCTGCTTTCATTAGCATTGATTATAGATCCAAATAAGACAAAATCCTTTACAACTTCAATATTTTCTCTTTCATTGGCAAACTGTGGCTCACAAGCCAGGTCTGGCTCCTGACTTGGTTTTGTATAATTTATAACCCTAGGAAGATTTTGTTTACATTTAGGTTCGTTAATAAACACAACAGCAGCACAGTAACAAAAACTATGGTCTGTAAGGCTTAACATTTATTGGTCCTTTGTGGAAGAAGTTTGGCAGCACTTGATAAATAGAAAGAGTATAGACATTGCTGTCAAGCATGCCTGGTTTTAAAACAAGAGTGCTGCCATTTATGTTTTAGTTTTCTCACCTGTGATATGAATATATATGCCTAGGTTCTAAAGTTATTTCTAAGTAGCCCTGATGGCACAATGGTTAAGCACTCAGATGTTATCTGAAAGGTCAGGAGTTAAAGTTATTTCTAAAAGACTATGAATTTATAAATTAAGGAATGATTGTTAAAAGTATATTTTGTAGTATTTTTTAATGTTAATAAAGCAAAATAATATAAACTTAAGGTATTTTACATTTTGAACACTATCATATACTTATTCTCTATTCTTTTTTTATAAGATCAAATGCATCTTTGACAAATAACCAGAATTTAATCCAGAGTCTAAGGGAAGATTTAAATAAACTCAGAACAGAAAAGGAAAACATTCAGAAGGACTTGGATGCAAAAATAGTTGATATCCAAGAAAAGGTTAAAACTATTACTCAAGTCAAGAAAATTGGGCGTAGGTACAAGACTCAATATGAAGAACTTAAAGCACAACAGGATAAGGTATTTTGAGAAAATTTTAATGTTAATTTTTTTTATCTTAAATTTAAGTGTAAGCTTAGTTGATCTCTCCTTTTTCACTTTAGATTCTCCCTTTAAGGTGTCCCAGATGCCTTTATAAGCTCAAGGGAACTTTGTAAAATCTAGGTATTTTAGTCTTATTTTCTAATTTAAAACAACTGCTTTTTTAAAGTTTATTATTATTGTTGTTCTTGTTATGTCCTGTGGACTCCATTCTGACTCATAGCAACCCTGTATACAAAACAAAACACTGCCTGATCCTGTGCTATCCTCGTAATTGTTCTTGTGTTTTATTGTTGTGATTATACTCAAGATTTTCAAATTTATTATTAATTAGAATTGGTATATTAAAAATGGCAGTTTCATTATAATTAAGTTTTATATTTAAGTAAGTTTTAATTAGCTTTAAAAACAATATATATTTCATTTTGAATCTAAATCTTGGTGTTAATTTCCAAAGGTACTTAAATATATGCTTATTACACGTTGAAGCAAAAAGTGCATTTAAAAATTTTCAAAAGGTCTCTCCTTAAGTTCAGACCATGGTTAATACTTTAGCATGTGTATCTTTACATGAGGCTAATATATTTTCCCCTAGGTATGATATCATTGTGTATGTACTTTTGTAAACTGCTTTTTGTGGGCTGGGTGCTATGAGTTGTACATAACTTGATGGCATGCATGAGTTTGGCTTAGAGTTTCTGACTTGATTTGTATTGTGAAAGTAAAATTTCTGTATCTGATGTCCACTTAGCTGAGTAATATCCAATGAAAGGGCAAACATGTTGCTTATTTAAAGATACTTATTCTCGATGAAGGTCAGAGGTGGGATTTTTGAATATGCCATTGATCTGTCATCTTAGGTCGTAGAGACCTCGGCTCAGTCTTCTGGAGATCATCAGGAGCAGCATATCTCAGTCCAGGAAATCCAGGAGCTCAAAGAAACCCTCAACCAAGCTGAGACTAAAACAAAATCACTGGAGAATCAAGTAGAAAATCTTCAGAAGGTAGGAAAATGAGAGCACTGAAAGGAGTGAGTGTATCTAATTCTCTTTTTGGTGAATATGTAAAGAACCTAAGTGTTAGATACTGGCAGTAATTTATCTGTTATGTGGACATGTAATGTATTTATCCATTTCACTTTGAGTGGCATGTATTAGTAAATAATAGTTATCCTCTGAAAAAGCCTTGGCGGTGCAATAATTTAGCCTCTAGCTTGTAACCAAAGGGTCAGTGGTTTAAACATAGCAGCAGCGCTGTTGGAGACCTGCTCCCGTAAACATTTACAGCCTGAGAAACACATTGGGACAGTTGTACTCTGTGATGAATAAAGCATTGTTTTGCATTAGAATTGACTTGATGGCACACATTACTACTAATCCTCAACTGTCCACTTCCTTGGTTTGGCCACGATTTTTATGATTATGCTTTCATTTAATTTAAAAAGTCTGTAGGACATGCAACATGTAATAATTTGATTTATGTGGTAAATGCTTTGGTTTCTTTTAAAAGACATTATCTGAAAAAGAAGTGGAAGTAAAAAATCTTCAAGAACAAACTGTGCAACTACAATCTGAACTCTCACGACTTCGTCAGGATCTTCAAGATAGAACCACACAGGAGGAGCAGCTAAGACAACAGATAACGGAAAAGGAAGAAAAAACAAGAAAGGCTATTGTAGCAGCAAAATCAAAAATTGCACACTTAGCTGGTAAATTTTTTTATAAAGGTTTAAACTTGATAGCGAAAGTTCATTATTTTATGTAAGCACGAAATTAATGGGAAGAGGAAAGTACCAGTACTATAAAGTAATTGCTTTGTGTTTTGAAAGTGGATTTACTGTATTAGATAATTTAGAGCAATCTGTTTTCAAGTGATGAGTATGTCTTTTATTTATGTAAGTAACTATGTTTTTGGTAGAAGCTTATACTGCAAGGTGGTTTCCTGTTTCTTAATTACTGTACATCTTGTTCAGAGTCATTGGTTACATATTTCAGTGCTTCAACTTTTTCCTAATGAAATTCCTTCCTGGGCATTTTGCTAATGAGGCATATATATAAATAAATCATTTTATTGGGGGTCTCGAACAACTCTTACCACAATCCATTCATCCATCCATGGTGTCAAGAACATTTGTACATTTGTTGCCATCATCATTCTCAAAACATTTGCTTTCTACTTGAGCCCTTGGTACCAGCTCCTCATTTTCCCCACTCCCTCCCCGCGACCCCCTCCTTCACGAACCCTAGATAACTTATAAATTATTATTATTATTTAAATTAGATACTGCTATCCTTTGTCTAGAGGATGCCTGATGGTGTAGTTGATTATGCATTGTGCTCTTACCAGCCAATCCAAGGGGGAAAGATGAAGCTTTTTACTCCCATCAAGAGTTACAGTATCAGAAACCTAGTGGGACAGTTCTACTCTGTAGTATAGGGTCACTGTGAATTGGAATTGGCTTGATGGCAGTGGGTTTGGTTTTGAGTGGATTTTTTGGTTTTAAAACTAAAAACTCACTGCCATTGAGCTGTTGCTGACTCATAGTGACCTTTTGGGACAGGGTAGAACTGTTCCTGTGAGCTACCTAGACTGTTTTCAAGAGTACAAACCCCTGTTTTTCGACCAGGTAGCCTCTGGTGGTTTTGAACTGCCAACCTTGTGGTTAGCAGCCCAACTCATAACCACGGTCACCAGGACTCCGTTGGTTTCAGAGTATAACTATTGCTACCTTTTGACAGATGCTTTGAGCCAAAACTATGCTACCCAGAGGATTTTTTTAAGTTTTTAGACGACATTGGATCTTAATAGTGCAGGGGTTTTTCTTTACCTCATTAGCCTAAGGGCCCTTCTTACCCTTCAGGGAGAATACTGCATCAGATTTCTGAGGAGCCCAGTGCTGCAAAGTTCAGGGCCCAAATGAAATTTTCACTGTCAATCTGCTCAGTAAATAAAAGGTTAAATCAGTTAGGTTTGTGAACATTATTTTAATGATCTCTACGAGAATAGTAAAAAATTTTAATTTATAAAATGTTAATAGTTTTGGAGTATTGCTATAGATTATATGAAATGAAAATGTTTCAAACCATAACATTTATATTTTTAATTCATTTAAATAATGTTTTTAAGATCATATCACAGGGTTCTGCTTAGTACAATTTATTATGGATTCTTTTAACTTTATGAGATCTTCAGGAAAGTTAAAATACTTTTGTCTTTGTGTTAGTCTGGGTAGACTAGAGAAATAATGTCATAGACAAATGTATATAAGAAAGAGCTTTATATAAAACAGCAATTGAATATTGAGAAATCATCCCAGCCAAGCCCGTATCAAGTCCATAAGTCTGATATTAGCCCATATATCTGGTACCAGTGTCTTTGTAACACTCACACAACACATACAATACAATGATGCCAAATGCAGGAATATCACAGGCCAGTGGGTGGAAAGTCTTGTGGATCCAGTGGCAGCAAAAGCATCTCCACAGTGGCAGGGGTCTCCACGTGGCTCCTTCAGCTCCAGGGTTCTAGCATAGCTCCATGTGTCTTCTCACCTGGAATATCTTGTAGGGAGTGGGTCTGTGTCCTGCTTCCAGTGAGCTATTTATCTCCTTGGTGACTCCAAATAAGGTCATCAAGCTACAATCTGATTGACAGGCTAAACTCCACCCCTTCACTCGTCTCAAATTGACAACAGATTATGTAACTACCACCGTCTTAGAGGAAGAAAATAGCATGTTTACAACTTTGCTTATTGAGAAGTATGTTGTAGCAGAATTTCTATACATTTTAAGGTACAGTAGTGAAATCTGACCCGACCCTTATGCATCCTTTAAGCACATGAATGAATATCCTTTACCTTTAATGTTTGGTTCGAATAATAAAATCGCCTGGTTACCTCTTTAGGTGTAAAAGATCAGCTAACTAAAGAAAATGAGGAGCTTAAACAAAGAAATGGAGCCTTAGATCAGCAGAAAGATGAATTGGATGTACGTATGACTGCTCTTAAGTCCCAGTATGAAGGTCGAATTAGTCGTTTGGAAAGAGAACTTAGAGAACATCAAGAGAGACACCTGGAGCAAAGAGATGAACCGCAAGAACCTACTAATAAGGTGATTAACTAATTCAGATTAAATAATAACTTTTTTCTTTGTACATTTTGAATAAAAGTACCCTGCAGTGTTTTTTTTTTTGTTTGTTTTTAATCATTTTATTAGGGGGCTCTTACAAATAAAACAATTCATAAATCAATTGTATCAAGCAAACTTTTTCATGTTGCCATCATTTTCAAAACATCTTTCTACTTGACCCCCTTATTATTAGCTCCTCTTTCTTGCCTCCCCCACTCTTCTAACTTCATGAACACTTGATAAATTATATCTGTATACAGATATTTTTTTCCCATATCTTAAGCCATCCGCTGTATCCCTGCATTCATTTCTGTTATTCATCTCTGCCCAGTGTGGAGTGGGCAGTTATACGTCACTATCAGTTCTCCTTTTACCCTCCCCTAACCTCATGGTATCGCTGTTCCCATTACTGTTTCTGAAGGGTGTACATATTCTGGCTTCTGTGTGTTGAAAGCTCTTATCTGTACCAACGTACGTACTCTAGTTAGCAGGATGTGTGAGATAAATTGGGGTAATGAAAGTAAGTGGGAGAAGCTTTAAAGAATGTTGGTGTTTCATCCTTGCTATACTGCACCCTGCCTGAATTGTCCCTTCTATGTGACCTTTCTGTGAGGGAATATCTACTGTATATACTTGAGTATAAGCCGACCCTAAAATTTCAAAATGAAATACATAGCTCGTGTTGGGGCTGGCCCGCAGTCCTCTGTTAATGTGTTGCTCCTTGCCAGTATGTTACCCTGAAGGAGGCCACCAGAGGCGGTGGGGGGAGCCAAACGGACAGCAGGAGGGTGCCCAGGGTGCTGGGCTTGGGGAGAGAAGTTGTGCAGAGACAGCTGAGGGGGTCCAGGTGGGTCGAATACCAAGGTGGGTTTTTTTGCAGTTTTCTTCAGAGTTAAATTTATTAGAGTCCAAAATTTACTAAGGTAATCTGGGATCTTGTGGGGTTGGCAAATTTCATAAATACTTTTCTTTTTATAGGTCCCAGAACAACAGAGACAGATCACATTGAAAACCACTCCTGCTTCTGGTGAAAGAGGAATGTGAGTTTAGCTCCTTTACAATTTGCTATCTTGGAAATTTCTTTCACATTTCAATTTCTTTGAAAGTTCCAGGGAAGATCTAGATAGAAACAAATCTATATGATTAATAGACATATTCAAAGTAAAGAATACATACATTCATAGTGTTTTTTGTCCCCACAAACCTTTTTTTAACTCAGAACTCTACTCTTGCTTTCAGCAAATATATGATCCATATATTTGGTATGCGGTGCCTTTGAGTCAATGCTGACTCATAGTGACCCCTGTGGTTTCTGAGACTGTTTCCTGGAGTAGAAAGCCCAGTCTTTCTTCCACAGAGTGCTGGTGGTTTTGAACTTTTGTCCATTCTAATCACAGCCCAATGGGTAGAGCTGTGTAGACAGAGAAAAAAGTCATCATCTCTTAAAGTTTCTAGTTGGTTTACATCGAAAACAAAGTATAATTTCCTATGGTGCTGAGTTTAGTGATTCAGTATTGAATATATTCTTCGTTTTCTCAATGCCTTAATCCTAAAATTGTAGTATGTTGGGGAGACTTTCTACACAGTTTTTAATGCTTGAAAAATCAAAACCATTTTTAGGGATTTGAAGTATTTAGTAAAGTAAAACATATTGGGGACTTCCATTGTCTTTTAATTATATTTTCCACAAACATTTTTAAGCCCTTTGTATAGAACCATAACCAATATGTAGAATACATATATACTTAACTGCTGAAAATATTTTTTAAAATCTATCAGTAGCAATGTTAGGAAAACCAGTCTAAAAAATGTAAATTCATATTAAAGTCATCCTTGAATGTTGTAAGAGCCCCAAATAAAAAGATTTTTTTTTTAAGTCATCCCTGCTGTACATCTATTTTGAGAATCATGTGCTTCATTTGCTTTTACTACTATATACTTTCTAAGCAGTATTGGTAGTAATTTTTTATAAATCTCCTCTTGGATCTTCCCTTCTGCAAGTGCCAGCACATCAGAACCACCAACAGCCAATATCAAGCCAACTCCTGTTGTGTCTACCCCCAGCAAAGTAACTGCTGCAGCTATGGCTGGAAATAAGTCCACACCCAGGGCTAGTATACGCCCAATGGTTACACCTGCAACTGTTACAAACCCTACAACTACTCCAACGGCTACAGTGATGCCCACAACACAAGTGGAATCACAAGAAGGTAAGTGAAATTAATACAGATCTTAATGTATCTTATGTTTATCATGGGAACATGCCAGTGACCACAATGACTAATAAGGCCCACATAAAGCCAAAGGTACATCAAGAAATAAAGTGGGTGGTTAATGTTTCTAAGAGAATACCCCCTGGGATGCCTAGTAGTGCAACAAATTAACTTCCTTCTTCCCTCCCTCCTTCCCCATTCCCTGCTTCTCATCCTTTTATTGATGAAGCAGCGGGGAAATAAACCCATCTTAGTATATTCAAACGCAACTGTTATCAATATCGATGCTGACTCAGCAGCACCATAGAACAGAGTAGAAGCACCCTTATTGGTTTCTGAGACTCTTAATTCTTTACGGGAGTAAGAAGCCTCATCTTTAATGGCTGGTCTGGTGGTTTCCAACTGCTGTCCTTGTAATTAGCCCAATGCCTAACCATTATACCACCGGGGCTCCTTCGTTTTAGTATATGGTAAGTTTTTTTAGGGCTAAACTTAAATCCATGCAAAAGTGAAAACTCATGCTAAATTATTGGTTCAACTTGACCTTACTTTATCACAACATAGTCTATTTTCTTCACTTAGTTACTCATGGCAGGAAGTGCTTTCTATTTTATTCATTTGTGCTCATGCCTTTTTCCCCTCTGGATTAAGCTTAACAACAAGAATCATATTCTCAGTTGTTTAATTCCTTTCCCAACCCCAAAGTAGGTATTCAGCTTTGCTAAATGGATGAACATTTCCATACATTCTCATTTTAATAACTGTTTGATTGAATTTAGCAAATTACTGAAGCATTTAGAAATATATGGTATGTATATATTCTGTGAACGTATAGAATATTTTAACTGAGAAAAATGAGTATCAAACTGATACTAATATTAATTTTATGATATTTAAATAAATTCACCTTGAATTTGCATTGAGCCGCTAATTAAGCACAAGGACAGCAGTTGGAAAGAACCAGCCACTCTGCGGAGACACGTGGCCTTTCTGCTCCCATAGAGTTACAGTTTTAGAAACCTACCAGGGCATTTCTACTCTGCTCTATATGGTCACTTTGAGTCAGAATCAACCCCATGGCAGTGAGTTTGGTTTTTGTTTGTTTTAATTGATGCTATAATACCAATACCACTTCAGATCATTCAAATCAAAAATTTATTACAGGCTACCATACCAATCATAATCAGTAAGGAAAGGTATACCTTATATTTACCTATAGTATTTTGTTTAATGAGTGTTGAGATAAGTATGAAAGTAAACATGTAAAATGTGAAACAAACTACAGAATAGGGAAGCCTTGGTAACAATAGAAGACCTAAAGTCATGTGCATTGCATCTTTTTAAATTGCTTTGAAATTTTGCTAACTTACTGAAATAGAACCTTTTTTCGTTATTATTAAATCATTACTCTTATTTTTTTTAGCTATGCAGTCAGAAGGGCCTGTGGAACACGTTCCAGTTTTTGGAAGTACAAGTGGATCTGTTCGTTCTACTAGTCCTAACATCCAGCCTTCCATCTCTCAACCCATTTTAACTGTTCAGCAACAAACACAAGCTACGGCTTTTGTGCAACCTACTCAACAGAGTCATCCTCAGATTGAGCCTACAAATCCAGAGATCTCTGCAAACATAGTAGAAGTTGTTCAGAGTTCACCAATTGAGCGGCCTTCTACTTCCACAGCAGTTTTTGGCACTGGTAAACTATTTTTTAAATGAGTATAATACATATCTGGAGTATAATTTGAATGTACTTGTTTCCTCCCAGATATCAGAAGGTTTTATTTCTTTTTTTTTTTTTTACTAAAGTGTTGTCTCATGTTTATTATTAAGATCACACTTTCACTCTTGTTATATTTGGAAAGGTTTTAAAGGTGTTATGACCCATGACATTTATAACTTAATGAAGATCCTAAGTACCAAGACAAGGTCATATAACTCTCTTCAAATAGCATACATTATAAATTGTTTTATCCAAGAAATCCTAGGTTTTATAAACTGGCAAAGGCTCTCTGCTTTGTGAGTAACAATTATGTAAGGGGCCTTCACAAAGTTGTAGAGAAATGTAATTAAAATATAATGGAATTTTTCCATCATCTTTTTTGAATCTTCTCTGTATGGCACAATGAATCTGTTATATACTGTAAATGGTGCCTGCCTTCATGAAGCAAAAATGGGTTGATAACTGATGATTCAGCAAGGATAAGTTATGGTGATGAAAATTTTATCAAGGGCTTGATTGATTTTTATACAATTTAATATGTTGTCAGTTAAATAACCACACTAGTAAACAATTTTTTTTAATTATCTTTTATCTAAATTATCATTCTCTAATTCAAGATTTAAATGATCTCATTTCAAAGTTTCAGCAACCCCTAGTTCTTCTTTGCCAAAACGTACACGTGAAGAGGAGGAAGATAGTACCATAGAAACATCAGACCAAGTGTCTGATGATGCAGTGGAAATGCCTGTTTCAAAGAAACTGAAAAGTGTTACACCTGTAGGACCTGAGGTATGTAGAGTTTTTTTTGTTGTGATTGCTATTGTTGCTTGTTGTTACTTATACCAATACAATTAAGATATTCTCTATATTGACATTACTACAAGGTAAGTTAACCTGTTCGGGTAAACATTAATTATCTGGAAACTTGTTGAAATTACTACATTTCTACTCAGAACAGAGATGTTGTTGCTATTGGCAGCAAACTGTTTATATTTTTAGTATATAATTTTAATTGAATTTGTTCTCTTTTCAATTAAAATGTAATTACAAAATTTGAAATTACATTCTGCTTCAAAGGTATCTTATGCTTGCTTGGTTGGTTTTCATTTCAAAGAATAAGGGATATTATAGTCTTTTGAGCATTTTAAACTGTATCAGCTATGTGTTTTCAGCATACGTATATATGGGACTATATTACCCTTTTTGGAATCTAAATTGTAATGAATTAAGCTTTACTAATAAATGTTGAGACAATTACATTGGTTGTATTAGCATGCATTTATTAGTATTCAGAATTAGGCTTTGTATATAAAGAAGAACGTGATTTATTATATTTTATAAATGAGCTAATTTTTTATAGTTTCATAAAGTTATAGGTAAATATTTTATTAGCAAAACTGGTTATACAGATAAATCCTCACATGCAGTCATGAAAAAAAAATGACGTATTTTGATTCAGGAAGAAGTTATGGCAGAAGAAAGTACTGATGGAGAGGTCGAGACTCAAGTATACACCCAAGATTCACAAGATTCCATTGGAGAAGTAAGTAAAAACTTGCTTTTTATGTAACATTGTTGCTTTTGATGATTAGCTTGGCAAATTTAAACATAATTGGGGATTTTGTTTATTTATTACTGTTAATGATTAATGAAATAGTATTAGAATTGACCAGTAAAGGTTCTTTCTTGTTTATCATGAGTAAGGATTGTCAGCTGTTTTGATCATTTAGAAGGAAGGACAAAGTGATGTTAAGATGAACCGTGTGACTATAAGCAAATCGCTAACTCTCTAAACTTCTATTTTCTAACCTTTAGTAATAATAAAACTTGTGACTTTCTATTCTCTAAAAACTTGGACTCTTAACTCACAGGGCCAGTTTTAACTCTGTCTTATAGGGTCACTGTGAGTCAGAATTGACTCACTGGCAGTTTTGTGTTAGTTTTTAACAAGGGTTAATAAAAAGCATGCTGCCACTAGAGTTGCAGTCCCTACATGCATGGGTTCATTGAAATAGTATACGCTTGTTTTTGTGATTAGTGAATGGCTGCAGGCAATTTTCTTGTCTTAGTCTTTAAAAAAAAGTTTAATCAAACCCGAGGGGATTTGCCATATCAGTTAAATTCAGAGAAATGGATCATAAAGTTACAGTGACTATTGGTTAGAATTGCAAAAGGTGGTGGTCTTGAACCGTAGACCTTTTGTAGTTAGCATCCCAACTCATAGCCCACTATGCCACCAAGACTTCTTAACTCTTGCATGAACTGCCAAATATTACTACCAACATCACTTTGCCACAAGTCAGTTCCAACTCATGGCCACTGTGTCAGTAGAACTGTGCTCCATGAGTTTTGTTTTTGTTTTCGTTTCTTTTTCCAACAGTTTTAGTGGTACATAGTTTACATAGCCTACAATTCAGTAATTCAGTTGTTCATTCATATCAAGAATTATACAATCATTACCACATCCATTTTAGAACATCTCCCTCCTTACACCCCACCCCTCCTTCCTGGTTAAAATTCTTTAAAATGAGTTGTGCACTCAAAATCAGTTCTAATGCTCCCTCCCTATCACTTACCTCCCACCCCTACATTCCTTATAAACTCTTGTATTGGTTATTATCATTATGCATTCACTCCTGTGCTTCACAAACCAGGAACCCAAGAGAAATAATAATAATAAATAAATAAGGTGGTAATGAAAAAATAGTAATAATTTAAAGACAAAAGTACAAATAATGAGTAAGAGAGAAAAGATCCCCATCAACATTCAAGAAGCCAGGGAAGAAATTTTTTGTCCTGGAACAACTAAGAGATAATTGCACCCAGAACAAATTCAAGTTGGTTCTATAGGGAGGTCAACTGTCCAACTATCAAGTTCAATCCAGCATAATCAACTTAACAGTGGTCTCTGCCGGAAAGTAAGTCTGTTGGAGTCTCTGTGTAGTTTGCAATGGGTGTAGATTTTGGAAGTAAATCAAGGTTCCTCTGAGTAGACTCGTACCTCCCACTTGAAGTAGGAAAAAATTTCTATGGCTCAAAAATGCCATTTGGCTTTTCATTCCACCCTTCCAGCACTATCTGTTGAATGTATAACAGTTTCTGATAATGAAGCAGGTGTTCTTTATAAGTTGCTTCTTCTGAACTCTAAGCATGTCAATTTGATGCACTTTTTAAATTATTCCATTGTGGTAACATAATCTTTTATGAATAACTTAGTTCATACAGCATTGTTGTTGCCTTGTATAGAAAATAATTTATTGCTTGCTTAAGTCAAAAGCAGACATTTAACTATTTATAGACAAAAATCAGAAATAAGGTTAAAATTATAGTTTATCTCAGTAACTGAATAAAATTGCAAGCAATGATATTAATGAATTCTAATGTCTGGTAATTTTTATATGTAATTGAAGAAGCTATAAATAAAGTAAAATTTTATAGATAAATAAGTATTTTTAATAATTCAGTACCTAATCATAATTCTCTAGACCTCTGATCCAAGCAATATGCCTTTTAATTTTTTATTTTATGTGCAAGCAAAAGCACTTTTATAAATGTGTCTTGAATTTTTAAAACTGTATCTCCGCTTAAAAAACCAAACACCTCCTTTAATGCTGATGAGAAGTCAGTGAAAACTAGATATTTTGAAATAGATATAATATTATAACAATTTGGCTCTAGAGAGACTTCCCAAGACATGTTATAGACCTGGTTAGTATGATTAAAGGGATTGTTGGGCTTTGGAAAATGATGCCTTGTCATCTGACCTTAGCCTTTGGTGGCTATACAGACCCTGCATGGAAGCTAATCATATAGTTCTAAAATCTGATATCTTTAATGTATAAGATTTGAAAAACTCACTACCGAGTCAGTTCCTCTGCATAGCAGCCCAAAGGACAAGGGAGAACTACTCTGGGTTTCAGGGACTCTTAACTCGTTACGGAAGCAGAAAGCCTCATCTATCTCCTTCAGAGCAGTTGGTAGTTTTGAACTGCCTGTTTTGCAGTTATTACAGTACACAACCACTATGCCTCCAGGGTTCCAAATGTATAGGATAGTCATCCGTTTTGGTTAGTTTTTTTTTTAATATGTGTATGTAAGGAATGTTTTTTCATAGACAGTAATAATGATTTTTTTAACCATTTTATTGGGAACTAATACAGATACATCATTCCATAGTTCAGTCACATCAAGCAGTGTTGTACCATTGCTACAATCAGTTCCAAAACATTCTTTTTTTAAAGCTCCTTGATCGCATCTCCCCTTGACATCTTCCTCCCCTAATGTATCCCGTAGGAATCCTTATTCTATTTGTTGTCATTGTAGGTTTCATCAATCCCGGGTTTCATATACAGAAAAACATGTAACAAAAATTCAAGAGGGTTATCCCCAATGACAAAATGCATCAGAGATAAACCCCCCAACATCAAAAATAAAACACAAAAAATGTTAAAAACCAGATTGGGCCCAATGTGTATTAAAGGAGGGGTCAACTGACAAGGCTTTAACCGTTCAAGTCAGCTTTATCATTTTGATCGCCTATAGTTCTCTCTCTAATGCACTGTGTGGTAACCGGATTCTTCCCATGCTTCTCATATATTTATTATGGGTAGAGGGAACTCACCAGAGGCTCATTTCCTGTGTAGATCTCAGAAATGTATCTTGGGCTTCGACTGTCTTCCTTAGCCTTCTCCAAACCAGTATCTCGCAATTTAGGCTCTGATACTATTCCCTCCTTTGGCTTCGTGTTATGTGATTTACAATCCTTCAGTAATTTGTTTTATCTAATGTTTTGCAGATTATTTCTGGTTTAAGGGGAATTTTGTTTTAAACATGGTACAGGTTCAAGAGAATTATTTTTTCTGACTGATCTCCAACTATACTGTTTGCTAATCACATTGATTATTGAAAGCACTTGAAATAAAGCTAGTTTATATTGAGATCTTCTGTAAATGTGATATACACATCACATTTTAAAGACATGGGGGTGGGAGAAACCACAGTAAAACTTTTTGGTTATAATTTTGCATGTATTACGTATTTAAATTACATTTAGAATATATTGTCTAAGCCTATTAAAATTGAAATTTATTATACCAGCTTTTGTTTTTCCAATTAATTTTATTTCTGCGTATTTAATACTGATATTTCTCAGCTTTAAAAAATCTGGCTATTAGAAAATTTTAAAGTACTATGGAATTCACATTATGACTCAGTAATATTATCTGTTGTATTGAGCCACAATATCATCACAACTGGTTGTTTGAACACACAACAAGCTTCTGTGTGTGTGCTCACATCTCTTTTTATTGCACTATTACCCATATTGATTTATATCATTCTTCATGTCTTCTATGGGATATGTACTAATAAATCCCAATGTTTTATTTTCTTCAGCATATACTTTCAATTTCTACTTTTGAATACCAAATTTTTAGTAATAAAATGTTAGTAGCATATTCTTTAATCTTTTGATCTATGGCATGCTTAATATATATAGAATTATTTAATCGCAGTGAATTTTGGTTTTTTTATAAATACTTGCTTTTTTTTCTTTTCTAAAAGGGAGTCACTCAGGGAGATTACACTCCCATGGAAGACAGTGAAGAGACTTCTCAGTCCCTTCAGATAGATCTTGGAACCCTTCAATCAGATCAGCAAACAACTTCATCCCAGGATGGTCAAGGAAAGGGAGATGATGTCATTGTTATTGACAGTGATGATGAAGAAGAGGATGACGATGAAAATGATGGAGAACATGAGGTAAATTTTGTTTGAATCCAAATAATATTTTTTAAATGTTCGATGAAAATGCTCAGATTCCTGGGTCTAGTATAACATGATCCAGTAATTTCTGATTCCCTGTTAATTTAAATAGATTGTTTTGCTTTTCTGTTGTCTTGATTGATTCTGAAATTAAAATTTTATGAAATTGGAACATAAAGCTAGTAATGGAAAATCCTAGTTCTTTATTATGATTGCTAAGATCTTTAGGATTTATTCTGAAGTAAAATTAATGTTAGGTCTTATTGCTAAATGAACATGATTTTAATTGCCTCTGGAAATAAAAAAAATTAAATTTCTTTTTATTTGAGAATTGTCTTATCATCTCCTTGCAGTATATTTTAAGTGAAAATGTTCAGTTTAGTTTGGTGTTAACTTCTGAATTGGCTTCTCATTGTAGACCTTTCTTTTTTCCTCTTAAAAACTCCATTTACTGTCTTCACTTTTGCTTTGAAAATTTTTTTAAATGAACCATTTAATACTTAGAGTGCATTTAGGAGCTTTAACCTTTGAAAGCTGTCATGTAAACAAATTTCAGAATTGAATTGTAATTATCATTAAGCTTCACAGTTTTGATATCTGATGGGGCAGAACTAAATCCATGCTTTCAAGATAACTCCTCTGTCTGATCAATGCTGAGTCAATTCTCTTAAGTGTGATAACAAAACGTGCACATTTTGTGTACTATATCTTAGATCTTTACTTATATTTTTCTACTAGGATTATGAAGAGGATGAGGAAGAAGATGATGATGATGAAGATGACACAGGGATGGGGGATGAGGGTGAAGACAGTAATGAAGGAACTGGTAGTGCAGATGGTAATGATGGATATGAGGCTGATGATGCTGAGGTAACTGGCTAGGATTATCTTTTTTTTTTTCTTTTGCTGCGGTTTACTGGTCTGGCTTTTGAAGATAATCTATTTGCACTTACACATCACTTTTTTTTTCCCCCTTTAATTTAGGGTGGTGAAGGAACTGATCCTGGTACAGAAACAGAAGAAAGTTTGGGTGGAGGCGAAAGTAATCAGAGAGCTGCTGATTCTCAAAACAGTGGTAAGATTGTTTTAGTTTCCGGGGGAGGGGTTGGTTTTCTTTTGATATTTCTGATAATATGAAGTTGGTTTGCTTAACAACTGTCAATAAGAGATTGTCTCTTCTAGCTTTGTCACCATTCTCTGTTAAATAAAATTAAATCAGATGCCTAATAGCAGTAGCAGCATTTATAACCAGAAGAGGTCAGTCTAATCAAGCTTCATATTTCAAAACGTGTGCATGGTTGAGCTTTGCTGTGTTTTCATGGGGGTGGGTGTATTTTGATCAGTGCATCTTTCACACTTGACGTCAGCCAGAAAGCAGAGAAGCGCTTAGATTTTGCTGGGAACAGTCTTTTTTCTCCCCCCACTGAGCAGCGGTGGGTTTGAACTGCCAACCTTGCAGTTAGTGATCCAATGTGTAACCCACTTCACCACCAATGCTCCTCAATGTATCTTTTAATAAATATATGGAAAACGATAACCAGATGACCACCGAAAAGTTGCAGTCATTAATGGTTTATGAAAATCATAGAAAATGATTTCATTTTAGAAAATGGTTTTTAAATGTGTTTTAAATAATTAGTCACTATGTTGTAGAATGTCCTGGTTTTACAGATAACATTACATGTAACAATAATGGTAACAGATTAAAGCCAAATATGAGGGGATTTTAAAAATTTCATGGAAATAATGGAATTAAAAAATAATGGAAATGTTTACAAACTTTTTGAAACACCTTTTATACTTACTCTAATGGAAAAAGAGTACACCTAAGTTTCTAAGTAGGCAAGATATTAAAGGCATATGCTTACTTTTTTTAAAAAAGCACTAAATCATATAATAATAGTATTCTCCGATGTTAAGGGAGATAAAATAAGGGAAGAAGGAGATCGATAACATTTTGCATTTGAGTAATGATATTTTGTACATTTTTCTTTTAAACCATTTATGTACCCATGTAGTTGGAATATAGAGGGAGATATGTGCACGTGCTCACTCATGTAATTGTAATCATTAATTATTATCACTAAAAGTTAAAAGTCTTTTGAGGGGAAATGTTGCATAGCTATTTTTCCTAGATAATAGTGTATATTAGATGCACATGAAACTTGTTAAAGACTCATTTGGGGGGTGTATATGGGGAGAATCAACCAAAGATAAATTTAAATTGTGTAAGAATGTTGTGCTTGGCCAATAGCTACCAAAGGATTTTCTAAGCAATTTGCCTTGAATTACTCTGTTCTTAAAATAAATTTGTGAGGTATAGTGATGAGTTTTAGTTAAAAAAAAAAATTTACCAAAGATATAGTAACAAAAAGTGGTAGTGGTAAGATTTAATCTACTAAGCTCTGTGTGTTATCCTATTTAGTTTTTCATAAGACAGAATCTTTTCTTTCTTGTACATAATATAGAAGATCCAGGCCTCTGGGGGGACTATTAAAATTTTAAATTTAGGAAAATCAAATTTAAAAGTGTTAATCCAGGAAAATCAAATTTAAAAGTGTTAAGGCTTCTCCCCAATCTTCATTACTCGTTTAGATATTATAATGAGATACAAATGGTCTGACTGTAAGGTATTTTGCCTGCTTTATTAAGAATGAGTCATTATTTACTAAATGTTTATTTTATCTTGTATTGGGATAAGTGCTTTTAATCCATTATTTGAAATCTTTAGAAAAACCTTATTTGCTCTATAACCGGCCAAAAAAATAGACTCAAAAAGGTTTAAGGACTTGCCCCAAACCACTCTGCTTATTATGTGCAGACTCCCATTATTGCTGGGTCCAAAGCCCGTGTTCTTTCAGTCACACCTGCTATTTTCCTTTTGAAAATAATTATCACGGCAAGATTGTTATTTTTTGGTAAACTTAGTAGTTCAAATAAAGCATCTATTTTCCTATAGGTGATGGAAATTCAGGGACTGTAGAGTCTTCCTTTACTCAGGAGATTTCTAGAGAACAGCAGCCATCATCAGCATCCGAAAGACATGCCCCTCGAGCACCTCAATCACCAAGACGTCCACCACACCCACTTCCCCCACGACTGACCATTCACGCCCCACCTCAAGAATTGGGACCACCAGTTCAGGTAGTAGTCATTCTGAAAAGTGATCTCTAAAACATCTTGATTTTTCAGAGGCTAAGTGTACTTTTAATGTTTGGCATGTGTTTCTGTAATTATTAACACTGAAGCTAGTGCCCAGTTTCCTTTCCTTGGAAAATTAACTTTCATAAGCTGGAAAACCCTTAGAAAGACAAGGTTTTCCAGAGGTTGTATATGAAGTTGAATGAGTACAGTCATAGCCAATAAAAATATGGTCATTATATTTAAAGGTTAAAAGAAGAACGATTTTTTAGATTTCCGTTAAAGTAAAATGTATTTTAGCAGCTGCCCACCATCTACTTTTGCATGTCTCTAAGATGTACTTATTTGTTTTTTTAAAGAAGTGTACTTATCTTGCTTAAAAGAACATTTTTCTCATGTGCTCACAATCAATGTATGAGTATCCACTTTTAAAAGTAATAAGGCACGCATCTCCCAACATGTAGCATTCTCTTACTTAGAAGCTTTTGCAGGGAACGATACAAAGGCTGTTACTGTCTGCTGGTTTCTGAGCCTGTAACACCCTAATAGTTATTAAAACACAATTGGTGAAGATAACTTCATTTGAGAATATAAAACCCTAAGGAATTGTGTCTGTCTTACAAAATAATCCCAAACCATCATTTAAGAATCCTGTAAACTTTTGAAAATGTGGTAAAAGAAAGCTGATGCTGCCTGGTTATTAAAAGATATAGTGCCTGGGTTCTTAAAGGCTTGAAGATAAACAAGCAGGCATCTAGCTGAGAAGCAACAAAGCCCACATGGAAGAAGCACACAGCCTGTGTGACCACAAGGTGTCAACAGGATCAAGTATCAGATACTAAAGACACAGAGCAAAAAATCATAATGTGAATGAGGGGCCGACTGCGGAGTGGAAGCCCAAAGCCAATCTGTAGGCAGTTGGACATCCCCTTACAGAAGGACCATGGGGAGGAGATGAGCCAGTCAGGGTGTAGTATAGCAATGATGAAAAATACAACTTTCCTCTGGTTCTTTAATGCTTCTTCTACCCCCATTATCATGATCCTAATTCTGCCTTACAAATCCGGCTAGACCAGAGGATGTATGTACACTGGTACAGATAAGAACTGGAAACACAGGGAATCCAGGACAGATAAACCCCTCAGGACCAATAAGGAAAGTAGGGAAAGGTGGGGTAGAAAGGGGGAACCGATTACAGGGATATACATATAACCCCCTCCCTGGGGGATGGACAGCAGAAAAAGTGGGTGAAGGGAGATGTCTGACAGTGTAAGACATGACAAAATAATAATAATTTATAAATTATCAAGGGTTCATGAGGGAGGGGGGAGTGGGGAAAGAGGGGAAAAAATGAGTTGATACCAAGGGCTCAAGTAGAAAGCAGATGTTTTGAGAATGATGATGGCAACAAATGTACAAAATGTACTTGACAAATGGATGTACCTATGGATTGTGATGAGTTGTATGAGCCCCAATAAATGATCTTTAAAAGAAAAAAAAAGTCCTAAACTGAGAGACAGTTTAGAAAAAGTCATTACTGCTGATTGAGCTCTGAAAGATCATTAAACCTTAAAATTCAAAAGCATACTGGCTAACAGTTACGTAACAGGCAATAGAAATAAATAAGTTTATATACAGATAGGTTGGATCATACATACTATTGGTTTTAATTTATGTAGATTCTATAATAGTAAAATGTGTTAGTTTAAAGGTGACTTTTTTAAGCCAGATTGGTAAATTGCTTTTGTTAGCTAAGATGTAATTTTTCAGATGTGTGGGGAAATGGGCACTGTGGTAAACTCTTAGTAGGGTTGTCAGTTTGTTAAATCTCTTTGGAGAACAGTTGGCTGCAGCCATCAAAATATGAATTTGTGTAGATTCCTTTTCACACAATATTCCTTTTGATCATTTATTTGACAGGAAAACTTAAGCAAAAGAGCATGTCAACATTTATCATAGAGAAAATATTAAGTCGATCTTAAAAACTATATAAGCATGTTAAAAACTATGCAGTAAAATATAAGGTGACTGTAAAAACAATCAGATCTATAAATATGACCTAAAAAGTTTTTCACATATATATCATATGTGTTGCTTTGTTATTATGGTTTTGTTGTGTGTGTGTGTGTGTGTGTGTGTGTGTAGAAGTGGGGGAGAATACATAGTCATTTAAAGCAGAATTTACATTTACATATAAATATATGTGCAATGCTATGTATGTCGATGTGAATGATGGGCAAGGCAGCCTGGGAACCTAGGCTTCACCATGTGCTTCAATATTGGATTTTTGAGTGTGTCCTGTATCCTGAGTATTAGTTGTCTGCGTTTTCTGGTAACAGAGATTGTACATGGTCTTTAGCTAAGCTCAGTAATGGATTTTTTCTTAGAAATATCTTAATGATTACATATTAGAAGATATCAAAAATTTTGTGTAAAAATAGAATTAAAAGCTAATGAAATTTTTCTACAATGCCTTTTTAAGCCATCATAACATTTTAGTAATGTTATTACTAGCATAATAACCTACTTTTGTTAATAACTAGAATTTTTGTGCTTTGCTAATCCCTTAAAATTAACGTAATAATTTTCTTGGCATAGAGAATTCAGATGACTCGGAGGCAATCTGTGGGACGTGGGCTTCAGTTAACTCCAGGAATAGGTGGCATGGTAAGTACTTAGCTTTCATGAAAAAATGGTACATATTTCAGCAACTATTTGTATAATGCATACTTTTTTGTCTGCCATGATTATTGAGCTTTTGTTTTCTGCTTCAGCAGCAGCATTTTTTTGATGATGAAGATAGAACAGTGCCAAGTACCCCAACTCTTGTGGTGCCACATCGTACTGATGGATTTGCTGAAGCAATTCAGTAAGTTAAAGAGAAAGAAACATAGTGTGACTAATTTGATTCCTCCCATTTCCCTGCTAACTTAATGATTATTTGTTGACTTCTCTACTGTTTAGTAGAGGTATATAGCAGTTGGGGTAGAATGGAGGATGTATTCCTGGGGGAAATTATACAGAAGTTAATGAAATGCAATTACTTCATCAATAATTTAAAATTAAAAGGTAATATAGCCATGCATTTGAATTATGGTGCTGGCAAAGAATGTTGAAAGTACCATGGACTGCCAAAAGAACAAACAAATCAATCCTGAAAGAAGTACAGCCAGAATGCTACATAGAGGCAAGGATGGGCGAGCGTATTTTTTTAGGTTTTAAGGAACAATCCAAAATTGTGGACCTCCTATCCAGGAAATTTTAGGTATAGTTGAAGAGGGCTCAAGGATCTTCCTCAAGAGGAATGTTGTATGGGAATCGAGTTTTCAAGCAGCCCCCAAAGTGTAATCCCTTAACCCAAACTCACTGCTATTGAGTTGATTTTGACTCATCCTGTGTAGGGGTAAATATTTATGGCCTCATGTCTCCCGAGGAGCTTCTGATAGAATTGCTGTGTTTATCCCACAGCATCCCTGCAGCTCCTTCCTGAAAGTATGGAAACTTTACTAAAGTAGCATTGAAGACTTATTAGAGAAGTATATGGCCCATAAGGATTAGTAACTGTCTAGCTAAAAGAGGACAGGGTGAAGAGTGGCTAAAGAGGGAATTCTGAGTTTTGCATTCTAGATTGTGTGCAGGAAGATGGATGATAGTGTAGTTAAAACAAGAAAGGAATGAAAAATCAAGTTTCTAGCCATCATATCATTTTTGTAGGCCTTGGGAGTCATCATTTGAATTCATGAAATTATGCCAGCGAGGGGACAGGATTTGTTCATGATCAAACGGTTGAAAACTGAGACAAAGCTTTGTTAAGTTTCAGTTGTCTCCAGTATGTCTCTATAGAGATGGCTAACAAATACGCAGGAAATGTGAGCTATAGCATGCACATTATTTATGTGAACGTGTTGTTAAGTTTTCATGTAATGACTTCATCCCTCACCCCCAGTATCCATCAATGTTAAGTCTTCATCTTGGTGCCTTTTGAATTGGAGATTGCTTTCTAGCAACAGACCCTCACAAGCCAGCCCTTGAGCTTTTGAAGCGGTCTCTCCCTGCAGGCTTCCTTCCCTGCCCTGCAAACCACTTTCTCCAATGCAGGAAGAACTCAATGCCCCCTGCTCGGAACAGACCTTAGACCTCATCAAGGTGGCTAGTCTCAGCCCAGGAGATACATTGTGTGTCCGCACAAATTAGAGAGGCCAATTGAATGGATGAGTTGACTTAATGCACTCACAGCCAGCTGGTGCACCAAAGTGGTTAGACCATTTGAAACTCCCACTCATGCAGGCACCATAGCTCGGGTGTGAGAGCTATGGGTGCAAAGGGTGGTCATATATTCCTCAATCCGATGAGAGAAGTCAGACTAGCCCTATAGGGTTCTTGGGAGTGTCAGGATGTCCATACTGAGCCATTCTACTGCCTGGCTTTGCTTTTAGCTGGCACCACTAGACCCATTGCTTATGGGACCAGTAGCCTCCACCTGCCAGCAAATCAGCATGTTCTCCACACACAGCCCTCTGCCTGTCTCTAGCACAGTGTCCCTGGACACAGATCAGCTATAAGGAACTCACTCTACTCCCCTTCAGCCTGGCCATAATTTGACAGGAAAACTTAAGCAAAAGAGTGTGCGTCAACATTTATCATAGTGAAAATATTAAGTCAATCTTAGAAACTATATAAAGCATGTTATAAACTATACAGGAAGATATATAAATTACCTCAAAGCAAATGCACAATTTCAGGTGTTTAGATTCTTAATGTTGTGGTAATAACCAAACTTGATCTAAGATTTCTTAACCCTTGCTTACTTTCATTTCACAGATGTGCTCAAAAATCACATTTATACTTTATAAGGTTTTGTTGTATCTGTTTTACAAATGTCAAGAAGTTTGTGAAAAACTGAAGGTGTCTTCATATAGGCATGTACATTATGTGAACGTGCTTTTGGGGAGTGGAGATTTGGTAGACAGGGTAACTTTAAATTTTTATTCATTTAGTTCCCCACAAGTTGCTGGTGTTCCTAGATTCCGGTTTGGTCCCCCCGAAGATATGCCACAAACGAGTTCTAGTCACTCTGATCTCGGCCAGCTTGCTTCTCAAGGAGGTAAATTGCTAAGTAAACCCATAGATTGCCTAGGTTTATCTGCACTTAATATTGTTTCTCTGATGTTTTTTTGTTTAAGTAAATTACCAAATATGTAAACAGTAGTTTTAAAAGGTTATATGCAAAAATGTATCTGATACCTTATATACAATTTTGTAAACATTGTATACATCAAATAGTGTGTGGTAAGGAAAAGCAGATTCAGCATGTATGAAGCTGAAAGAACTGAAGAAAATAATCAAGGTTTGAGTTTTAATATTTAAGAATTCTGTGGGCAAAATATTGAATGACAACAGGAAGCATCAGAAAAAGATGGACTAGTATCTTTAAATCTTAAAAATGGCTAATAATACCTTTTGAATTTTATCTTAATTTTAGTGAAGAATAAAACTTAGAATAGTTGAATATTCCATAAAGATAGCTTATAAGAAACAACAAGGAGCCATTTTAGCTAATTTTTAAGGCTACCTTTATTATTGCTAGCACACTTAAATTTTTTTCAAATCATGTTGAAAGTTCGAGAAATTGCTTTTTGCTTGAAGGTCCAAATTGAGGACATCAAACTTGTATATCTCAGCAGTTAACTTTTTTAACTTTCTTTAGCTACCTGCTGAATTGACGGTCTTACGTTTTTCCATTTATTAATATTCAGCATTGTCTTTAGGTTTAGGAATGTATGAAACACCCCTCTTCCTTGCTCATGAAGAAGAGTCTGGTGGCCGAAGTGTCCCCACTACTCCTCTACAAGTAGCAGCCCCAGGTAGGTATAAAAGGCAGGCTCATGGACATTGTGTTTATTGTGTTTAAGTTGAGAACTATAAGACAACTTCTAGCTAAAAATTGGAGAAACTACAAAGTTAAATTTTTATTTACTTTTCTTGTCTTTTATTTTTGTAGTCACTGTGTTTACTGAGAGTGCGACTTCTGATGCTTCAGAACATGCCTCTCAGTCTGTCCCAATGGTGACAACTTCCACTGGCACTTCATCCACGACAAATGAAACAGCAGCAGGTGACGATGGAGATGAAGTATTTGTGGAGGCAGAATCTGAAGGGTAAGTGTTCATTTGGTAATTTGTGTTTGCTTTAGACTCAACGTTTTACATTTGTTTTTATTTAAGTTAGGAAAACTTTTCAGCTGTGTTTTCAGTACTGTACTGTTAAATAAAGCAAGACATTTGCTTTGAAAACTTTAGTTTTACATCTCGTAATATATTTTAGGCCTTAGAGATTATTACAAATATGGCTGCTTAATACTTTGTTAGAATTGAGAACTCGGTAACAGATTTGATTGAAAATATATTTCCAACTAAATTTGGGAGAAGTTCACTATTTTTTTATTTTCCTCACACCAAAACAAACTCACCTATTCTTATTCCAGATGACTTGTGCCTAATGAATAGTATACATGTCAGTATCATAGAAGACAGAATTTTAGAAACTGTTGTCTCCCTGAAAATTGCATGGTATAATCTAGAACAAAGTATTTCTGTAAAAGGATTGGTACTCTTCATCTAAAGTAGCTTCTTGAACTTTTTCTCCCACAAAGAAGCCTTTTGTGAATATTAGGAAATGACTCACTTTCCATTTAGTAGTGGACTTTCATGTGATCCTCACTCTATGTTTATGTGCACTTAGAGTTTGGTGTCTGAGAAACTGACTTCACAAAAATTAAGAGATTTTCCTAGTAGTTTCCAAGACACTGCTACGTTTTTAACTCAGCAATTAAAAAGAAAGCTTAACAAAATTCTTTCATCACACGTTTTCTGGATATTTTTCAATCAAAAGGAGGTGGAGTGATTCAGTGGAGAAAGACATTGGACAGTGGTCCAGAAGTTTTAACTTTAATGGTTAAGTTGAACCTAGATTTTCTAGAGAAAAATTCAAGAATTTTATTTTACTTAAGGTGCTTTTTTTTTAAAAAGAATAATTACAAGCCGGCTTTCTGTATCAGAAAAAAGAGAGAAGTGTGTTGTTATTCTCTAACATCAAAAGTGCAAAACTAAACTCTCTACCAGCTAGTCAATTCTCACTCATAGCAATTCTATAGGATAGGGTAGAGCAGCCCTTGTGGGTTTTCAAGACGTTAACTCTTTATGGTAGTAAAAGGCCTCATCTTTCTTCCTCAGAGCTGCTGGTGGTTTCAAATTACTAATCTTGAGGTTAGCAGTCCACTGATAAACCACGGATTCTTATTTTCTATCACATAATTACGGAGGCTGCATTCTATATATTGTTCATTTCTAACCTGAACCGTATTTCTAGAAAACATTATCTCCCCTTTACTAATGAGACCATTCATGGTAAAAACCAAGTTAAAATAACTTGCTAAGGGCACACTACCATTAACTGGCACAGCCTGGATTTGACTCTAAATAGTATTTGATTCCAAATTCTTTATACTTCACCCGTACTTCTTCACTTCAAAACACAGTTAAAGGAGGATGCAGGTTAGTTGTTAAAGCTGGAGCAGATCCAAATTATTATACTACTTACCTTTCTCACATGCTTTTTGATATGCTTTCTTGAATGAGAGAGAATAGAGTGGCATTTTAGCCAAAGGCCAGGAATTTCTCATAGAGCCTACCTCATCAGAACTTAGAGCTCATGGTGAGTTATTGGTGTACACAAAATAATTATGACTACTGTTTTTTACTCTGTCATAAAAAATCGGGGATTATCAATGTGTATATAATATACCTTCTGTGACTGTCAAGAATGAAAATTCTTTTTCAAAGGAGGGAAAAATAGTAGCCCAAAACAGAAAAACCAAAATTAGAACATCTAATGAGCATCAACATGAAATTATTTCTCCCCTGCCTCTTTAAAATTTTTTTGTAGTGTCAAAAGTCTGTAATTTTGAGTTGATGGGGAGATCTGGGTCATGTTAGTGATATAAGCTACTCCAAAAAGTTTGGGAACAACTTAGGAGATATTCTAGAATTCAGTTTTTTCTATTAATCTTTATTTTCCTTTTTTAGTATTAGTTCAGAGGCAGCCCTAGAAATCGATAGCCAACAGGAAGAAGAGCCTGTTCAGGCATCTGATGAATCGGATCTTCCCTCTACCAGCCAAGATCCCCCTTCCAGCTCTTCTGTAGGTAAGTTTTTCTGATTTTGGCTATAATACAACGTGGTTGCATCAAACTTGTTTACAAAGACATCGTTTTATTATTAACAATTAGTAAGACCTAGAATTTCTGGAGTGCTTTTTTGTAAAGGGGAGATTTGATGGTATTAAAAGGAGGGTAGAACAAGTACAACTTTGTACTTGGTTTTAGCAAGATAGGAAGCCCTAGGAGGCCTTCAAGCAGGTAAGTGGCATATCCTGACTTAAAGCTTAAAACTATCAGCTTGGCTACTTGTAGAAAAGAATTTGAAAAATAATCAATAGAGAACATTCCAAGACAACTGTAGTAGTGCAAGGTAGAGATAATGGTTACTTAGGCTTATAGAGTAGAGGTTGTGAGAAGTTTTCAGAATTAGGATGCTTCTGAATTAGAGTTGGCAGGAATTGCTAGCTAGTTGGATATGGAGTGTCTTTTTTATTTTTATTTATTTATTTTTTTTGAGTGTCTTTTTTAAAAGGAAGGTATATGACTCGTGTGAAGATGTAATTGGCTTGTTTTCTGGGGGACTTGGTGTTTTACCATTGTATTCCACAACACCAGATATATTGTAGGTACCAAGTAAATACTTATTAATAACAAGCTCAAGCACTTTTTCTTTAAAAAATATTTTTTTAAACTACTTTTTTGGGGGGATAGAGTGGGATGTTAAATATTTGTCATTGTTTAAAACAAAACACACTTAAATGCTAAAAGCAAATGGACACCTAGATTTTATTCAGGCTTTCATTTAGTTATTAGCTTTTGCCAGTACAACTACTTGTTTTTTAACTTGCTTTCTTGGTATCTCAATGAATTTTTTTCTTCTCAGATACTAGTAGTCAACCAAAGCCTTTCAGACGAGTAAGACTTCAGGCTGCACCAAGACAAGGTGTCCGTGGTCGTCACTTTAATAGGCAGCGAGGTAAATTTCTAAAAGACTGATTATTTCTGACACTGATTTCATAATAAGATGTGGGATAGTTATAAATGGACAAATTTTCAACTTGTACCTAGTTTTCAGAATAAATTACAAAGTGCAATAACAACTTCAGAGATTAGATGGGAAGCTGTAGAGGGTAGTGGATTTAAGTTAATGAAAGAGGAACAATTCAGAAAATGTTTCACCAATTGAATGATGTAATTTAAGTCACGAGTTATAAATAAATTGTTGGATTGTGTGTTTGCTGTATTTTTCTCAACAATAAAATTTATTCATTAAAAGATAATAGAATAAGTGTTAGGGTTGATTTATTAATTACAAGTTTACTAATCTATAAAGTTCTTGCAGACTTAAGTTATATTCATATGTCATATATAGGTGTTTGAATGTAATATTTATTGATTTCCTCTTGAATTCAGAGTAAAATCGGGAAGTCCAAAATGCTACAGTGCCATTTGTTTGTTATACCCTATGTATTGTCATATTTTAAAATACCTTTTTATACACTAGAATAAAATATGTATTGTCATATTTTAAAATACCTTTTTATACACTGTACTGGTTAAAAAATGTATAATTTCAGTATTTTTCTAATATAACCATTAGAGAGTACCTTCATGTTATAAAAATGTCACTATAATTGCTATATAATTCCACTGAAGATACGGAATATCTAACACAATTTTATATCCACAGTGCCTGGCACATTTTGATACTGAAAACAATTTTTATAATGAACTAGGGTAAGTGAATACCCTAGTTCTGAGTTAACTTCTTAAAAGATGCCTTAAGTTTGATTCTTTTTTCTCTTCCAGGTGTGAGCCATGCAATGGGAGGGAGAGGAGGAATAAATAGAGGAAATATTAATTAAATGTTCTATAAACTCTGGTAATTGTGAATAAGATTGTCAAATCTGTTTTAGTGTTGTCAAGTTTAAAAACATTTTGTATTTAAATTCGTTTGCTCATCTCAACATTCTTTATTAATAAAATGTATTTCAGTGTCAAAACGCCTTGTTTTCTTCATTTTAATTGGGCAGCTCCTCTTCTTCCTTTGCCCATGACTCTAAGGGCAGTTGTACCACACTTTGGATAATGTCTGCCCAGAACGAGTAGTAATTGCTCTGGCTGTTCTACTTGGCACGTCCATGTTATAGTATTGATCTAAATAAAAGAGAAATCGATCATTTTCTAATTAAAAGAGAAGCAAAAGTCTTCAACGTTAATAAAAGTACTTTATTGATATTGCTCAAGGGCAGTGCTTATTATTTTAGTATAAAATGTTTTTATTAGTTTGAATTTTTTGACACAAGCAGTTGCCTTAATGAACTCACTTTTCAAAACCTTCCAGTAATAATAAAAGGCGCAAGTCTCCCTTTCAAAGTAGTCAATTATCTTTTAAAATAATAACTACACTTTGTTTTATCCTTTTAAATAAATATTCTAACATCATTTAGCACTATGCAAAATAACTTAGATTTCTGAACTTTTTTTTCCCCTAAAGAGAAATCTCCTTGGTAATATAACTTAAGCATTAAAACTATATTCGCAGAAAACTAGTTTTATGGTGATAATGTGAACCAATAAAACTGGCATAAAGTATTACTGTTAAGTGTCACAGATAACAAGTAAGAATACTGTTTTCAGAAGCAATTATTACTCAAATAATTGAATGTTTACTTAAATGAACATTACCTCATGAAGATAGAATAGAACTAAATTACAAATTCATCCAGTAATTGAATGTAATTTCAAAAATCTAAGCGATCTCTTGTTTAAAGCAGTTAGAATGTTACGGTTTAAGCTTTCACATTTAGTGGCCACCAGGTGTTTCCTTGATTATATTTCAGAAAGGATCTCCTTCTTGGGAAGCTATTGAGATTTTATAACTTACCTTTAGAAAAGGCAAAGTAATCGAAGCCCTCCGGTTTTCTGGTGCTGGGCAGTGCTATAGCTGAGGTAACCACACTTGGGAGTCCTCCCCATAGTGCACTCACTGGAACTTCATTATGGAGAAATCCTGTGGATGACATTTATAATTAAAGGTTTCAGACTGGAAAGCAATAAACTATATTGGAAGAGCAATGTTTAGATTTAGATGTGGATTTTAGTCTCCTTTGTAGTGTTGAAACCTTGTGTGTGTGACTTTAATACCTCTGATTGGTTGTTTATCCTCTGACATTGCTATTTCTCTGACATAATTACCTTTTAGTATTGTTTGAAGGTTACAGAATTGTATTACTGCTTCTGGCTGGGTAAAATGTATCTATTCTAATCAATAAATCTGAATAATTGCATTGCTCATCCACAAAGACTAGTCGCTATATAAGGCAAAATGATGTTTTATACATCCATAACTTAAAATTTTTGGTCTACTTGATCAATAGTTATATTTAATAAGCTTGACTGTAGGAACCTGTAAGACTTCTTCATATGTGAAAACTTTTAAAAAGACAATTACCTTTGTCTTGATAAGTGACTCTGATGGGAGAATAGTGAATCCTGATGGTGTGTGTTTGAGAAGGTCGTATGGCTCGCTCAAAGCGACGGCGTCTGACCTGTGTCATCTCTCCATACACTGGATAATTGATAGCTGGTCTTCTCCCAGGGCACTTTCTGGTAGGTTCCTGTTTATAAGTATACTGCTGGATGCTGCCACCTATTATGTGTTAGGAAACCACATGTAATATGAACATTCGTTTTAATCCCCAAATAGGCTAAAAATAAATGTTTTGAGGTGAAGGAAAAGATCATTTTTGCCTGCTTTTTATAAAATGTTCATCTGGTTTTTTATTGGTTATTAAGGTATCACAAAAAATGAATACTAAGTCCTGAAATACTTCTGGAAAGATTGAATTCAAGCTACTGCATAGTTATATATATTTAACTTTATATGCTGGAAAGTAAATTAGACTGTTCTTTTTATTGATGACCTGAAATACTCAGATGAACTGTGATTTATTTGTGCAGAGATCTAAGTACTTACTGTCTTCAATTGTTTTTTCATTAAAAAAATTTGATTTAGCCATGTCTTGGTCCGTAAGTGCAATAGTAGTTGAAAATATTGAATAAATATTGCTTAGTAAGTCTTTCAATTTTGTCCATCATATGACACATACCTCTCTTGAAAAAATAGACAGATTCAGGCCGAGTTTGGTATTTGGCTATTGAAAGAGCTGCCACTATTTTTCCACTTAGTCCTCCAAATCCTTTTACAATTTGTTTGGGATACCCTGCATCTTTAATGTCATTGGTGAAACGCCAGTATTGAGAATCCTGGTAATTTTAAAGAAAAAAGTGATGTTAACATGCCTTAGGAAAATATTCATAGATTTAAGTATAGGTTAAAACTTTTAGCTCCATTTTTTTAATTTTGGTGATACTTTATTAAAATATGGAGACACATCTACCATGGAGGTTAAGCTGGTTTAGGTGGTCATAGTTGCTATGAGTTGGGATCAACAATAGCACCAAGGTTTCTTGGCTTTTAATATTTACCTCACAAGGATGATTTTCTTACCTTAAAGAAGAAGGTTTTTCCTTCACAGTTGCATCTAGTAAAAACAGTATCAATGGGAGAAGGAATACCCCAAACTTCAGTAATTCTACGAGGTGGAGAGGGTGGAGTGAATGGGTTTAACATCCAAAAATAATGACCTAAAATTAAAGAAGTAGAGTAACCAGCTTATGAGCCAAGAACTAAGACCCTCCCTGGAAGAAACTAAAATGAAAAAATTTCCCTGGCTTACCAAACAGGATGAATGTGTGAATAATTAACTAGAAGGTTGAGTTAATGCACTGAGTGTTAGAACAGAAAGTTGAATTTGAACATTTCTGAAATTAGATGCTTCTGAATTTAACATAATCTTAGAAATATTTTTTGTTTTCTCTGTTCTCTGGAAAGAGCTTCTAGCTTTGTGACTCTTGGAAAGTCACATATATATCTCTTGGTCATGAATCGTTTTGTCTTACAGAATTTTCCATTCAAGGACCACAAATCTCTAGGTATGAATCTGATTTGTTTCATTTTAGGTTGAATGTCTATAAGCTTTTGAAGAAGATTGGACTAGTAAACAGTATAGCTAAAAATTAAGAAACTTGAAATAATGGCATTCTATTACTCTCCTGTGGAGAAGGTAACACTTGAACACAGTACAATCAAAATGCTGTTTTCAAAGGAAACAAAATAGGCACTACAAATCTTGATGTTTCATATGATATGAAATAAAAATGTCAGCTACCTTTTAATTCCTAATGGAAAGAAAATTTTTGGCATAAAGTCAAGCTCTTTTGTTTCTTTAATATATGTGTTAATCCAGCATTTTGGTAATTACACTCAGCTTCTCGTATTCATGTGTGAGGAATTCATCCATCAGGTTCCCTTCCAGATTTGCTTCTCATAGTGGTGAAAATAAAAGAACGTGAACATAGCTCACCTCGGAATGCAACTAAGGTCCCATTGTGCAAAGTAGTCAGCCCATCCACTGGTTTACCATTGCATAAATTAGTCTCATCTAAAATAAAATTCAAAAAAGATGTGACCATTATAACAGTGTGAAAAGTATTTAGGTTCTTTTCAAATCTCCCAACCTTACAATTTCTATGTTTACATTTTCTTAAAACCTTGAAGGGCGGAGTGTAGTTTTAGGTGATAATGTTTTCATAGGTGAACGAGAAATGATACTGTTTAGAATTCAATTTTAATTAGAGTTGGTATTACACAGAAGGTTTTTAATTTTAAAATTCACTGCCACTGAGTCAATTATAACTTATAATGACCCTATAGGGGAGAGTAGTACCACCCCTTGGGGGTTTACCAGGCTGCAAATCTTTAGGGGAACAGAAAGCCTCATCTTTCTCCCCCAAAAGCAGCTGGTGGGTTCCAACTACTAACCTTGCAAGTAACAGCCCAAAGCATAATTCACAGAAGGTAGTAAATTTAAAAAAATTATTCTGAACAAGAATGCGTCTCGCGAGAAAAGACAGGACTTTTCTATTCCCACAAAGAGTTAGTCTTGGAAGCAGGCAGTTGTACCCTGCCCTGTAGGGTTACTGTAAATTGGCATCAGCTTGATGGCAGAGAAAATGAGTCAGGATACCATAATCTTCATGTAAATTAGACATTTAATAGGGGTTTTAGTTCAATGGTAAGTTGTGGTTTTTTTAGTTCTAATTGCCCTTTTCACTTGATTTGGAAAAGAATATTGCAAATTTTTTGCTTTGCTTTGTACTTTTTAAGGGTAGAATCCCAGATGTGTGTGTTTATGCCATATGCCATTTCAGCTTCTTACAGACATGCTAGCAGGGTATTAACTCAATTTTCAAATATAAAATGAGTTTGCTTCCATTACTCGCCTTTATACCCATAGACACGTAGGTCTTCACAACAAGCCCAGAGTTCTAGATCATACATCAAAGTAGAAAGATAATTAGGGCATATGGACTTGGGGGTGGGGGCAGTGTATGTGTGTGTTAATGTTAGCATCAAGTTGATTCCAACTCAAGATGGTCACCTGTGTTACAGAGCAGAACTGCCCCATGGAGTTTCCTTGGCTATAATCTAAAAGAAGTCCATCACTAGGTTTTTCTATCATGCCCTTCTTAGGCAAGCTTAAACTAATAGCCTGTGGAGTAGTAGTCAAGTGCAAACCATTTACATCCAGGGGCAATTTAACCAGTTTCAAAAATGAATGCAATTGGTTATTACCTGAAAACATAGGATTGGTGCTAATGCCTTGATGGGGTCCTCTCACTAAGGAATCCATGCCTGAAATAACAATAGGGCTTAATACAGGGGGGTTGGGCATCATGTTAGGTCTTCCTCCAGTAGCATCTGCATCTTCATTCTTGAGGCTTGCTTCGACTGTGTCTGAGTTTGGAGTTTGTTTAGAGCTGGTGGTAGCTATGGCTAACGAGGTAGGGCTCACTTCGGGCACTGTGGATGTCATCTTTGTCGGGGCTGGGCTTGTCTTTGGTTTTCTCACTCTAGATGTTGACTTTGGCTTTTTGGTAGACGTGGGCTTTTTGGGTGCTTTGGTTGGCTTTTGAGGTTTAGCAGTTGTCTCTTTAGAATTAGTAGCTGTACCTTTTGGTGTAGCTGTTGTTTCTTCAAGTTTCTTTGGAGGCGTCTCAGCCATAGTCTTTTTTGTTACAGTAGTTTCTTTGGGTGCAGTAGTTGTTGCTTTAAGAGTTGTTTTGGCTGAAGTTGTGGTATCTCGAATTGTTGTTACTTGAGTGCTTGAACTTCTTATTTTAGATTCAGTAGTCGTTTCTTCCACTGTAGTGGGAGGGGTCATTGTCATCTTTGGTGTAGCAGTTGTACTTTCAGGTGTAGTCATTTCAGGAGCCTTGGTTGTGGGCGCAGCAGGCTCCTTGGGACTCTTATTAGGAGATTTTGGTATGGGTTCTCCAGGTAACTCAGGAGTTGGCTTAGCAGGAAGCTTGGGAGTAGAAGGAAGTTCTGTGGTGGTAGTCGGAGCAGGTTCCTCAGGGTTGGTGGGAGTGAGCTCCTCAGGTTCGGTGGTCTCTGACTCCTCGGGTGTGGTGGGAGCTGGCTCCTCTGGGGTGGTGGGAGCCGGCTCCTCGGTGGTGGTAGGTGGGGACTTTGTGGTGGTGGTTGCCGGCTCTTTGGTGGTGGTAGGTGGGGACTTTGTGGTGGTGGTCGCCGGCTCTTTGGTGGTGGTGGTGCTGGTAGGTGGGGACTTTGTAGTGGTGGTCACCGGCTCTTTGGTGGTGGTAGTGGTAGGTGGGGATTTTGTGGTGGTGGTCGCTTTAGATGTTGGTTTAGCCGGCACTTGAGATGTGGATTCTAAATCTTTATCAGATTCTTTCTCTGCACTTCGTGTCTCTTTGGCTGAAGTAGTCTTCTCTTTTGTACTAGATGAGGTCTGTTCATTTGTTGTACTCTTCTCTTTAGTTTCTACAGTTGTCTCTTTATTGGTTGTTGAAGATGTCTCTTTGTTGCCTGTTGAAGATGTCTCTTTGTTGCCTGTTGAAGATGTCTCTTTGTTGGCTGTTGAAGATGTCTCTTTGTTGGCTGTTGAAGATGTCTCTTTAGATGTGACCTTATCCGCACTTGTATTAGGATTAGGTGGAAAACTGGGTTTAGGGCTTAATGGTTTTGCGGTTGTGATCTTGGGGGCTGTGGTGGCTGTAGTGCGCTGCGTGGGAGAAGTGTAAGGTGTGGGGGTGAGCTTGAGATCACCGTTATCCAGTCCGCTTCCAGCTTCCGCTGGTGCTTCTGGGGCGGTTGTCTTTTTTGGAGATCCTTTCTTCTTGTTCTCTTTTACTAGAGAAAAACAAAGCATTATGATGGGGTTTTGTCTTAGGCAAAGTTCCTTATCATTGACTAACTGCCTCTAAATAAATTGCGAACCTCTCATGTGTCCATTAATTATTATAAAATGGAAATACTAAACCTTTCTTAGTGGGTTTTCAAAAAATAGATGACATAAGGATGAAAGACCAAATAAAACTCTACATGCTTAAAGCATGGAAGCCAATGGCAACTTTCGAAATCAAACATGAATTCATCTGTTCATATTCTTGTTCTTTATACTTTGATCTCACCTCTTGTTCCTCATTACCCAGTGCCCCTCCCTCCTGGAAGTGTAGTTCTACCATCTCTTAAGTTGCCCTGTGCCAGTTGATTGTGAGGTTTCTACAACTACCCGATGGGCATCTATGTTAATCACCTCAACCCTTGCTCACATGGCTATTAGCTGCTCTCTTCCCTTTGCCCGCCCCAAAATGGCAGTGCCAGGGGAAGTAGAAGTAGACAGCAATGCCATGGCAGCAAGAAGACTATTTATTGGACTTTCCGTAGCAGCTGTACCATTAAATGACCTGAAAAGTCCATGGAACACATGGCTGAGGTGGCTTACATCCAGCAAACATGTCATGTTTCTATTCTGCATGACTTTGGGGCAACTCACAGACTAATTCCTAGCATGAGCTAGAGGGACTAACTGCTTCAGAGGAAGTCACAAACCACCTAGGAAATTGACCTCTCCTTATGTCCAATGTCATATTTCCTGGAAACAGTATATTTTAGAATTTCAGAAAATAAAAGCAGAACAAAGGAGATCTTTTTCAGGAGATAATAGCCTACCCATAGTACCTTATCTACGGGAGGGGGGGGGGCAGGTGGGGGGGGCAGGGATCAGATACGCAGTATAGGAAAACAATGAGGATCTGTGAAAGGTAGATTAAAAATGGAAGAGATTTATGAGAAACTATTATTTGTAAATCACCGCAAGCAGCATATAAATGTTTCTGAAATAGAATCAAAGAAAAGTGGGGAAGGGAAAATGAAAACATAAGGACGCTAGAGGGGGAAGAAAGAAGAATAACAAGTGGGGAGGGATTGTTAAACAGTGTAATCATCATCTCTGGTGGTATCCTGAGGTTCCACGGCCACTTCTACAGGATTCTCTCATCTTTGCTTTTAGGAATGGTGTTTAGTTTACATGAATTTCCTAGAGTATTTATTTGGTTATATACTAAGGTAATATTTATAGTTTTATACGATCCCCAAATATCGTAATACCCTGCGATGATTCTACCAATATCCATTGTTTTAAACTGTTATTTTTAACATGGCATTGATAATAGTCTCTGATCTTTATCAATGCTCAAACCTTTGGGTTTCTTCTTTAATTCTGAATTAGCAGCTGAATTTTTGGAAGACTTGACTTTCCGAATACTTGAAGAGGAAGAGGAGGAGGAGGAGGAGGACTCTTGATTTTCAGAAACAGAATGTTCTATAAATCAAATAAAAAGGTTGGTCACACGAACTGTGGTTTAAAACAGAAGAATCGCCAATCCAAATTTATATATAACAAGAATTGTTGTTTACTGATCTACAAATACCTGCTCTGCTATTAGTTTTTCAGCAAAATGATCAAGTGTCTTTTAACTCTACTTGGCAGTTAAAGCAAGGCCCTTGAGCTATTCCAGACACCAGCAGAATAACTTTCTCTTTCTCGACTTGTCTGTACCTCAAAGAATCTCTTCTGCAAAGAAAATCATGGACTTTGTTTATCATGACATTTGTCTCTACTGACAATTTTAACTTAAACTCACACTGACTTTACTAAATAAGGGGAGAGTATAATAAACGCCCAAGGTTTACAATTTGGCTTAAATTTTGATTTAAAGAAAGTAACTCTCTTAAAACAGCAGAAATAATAATGAGCTTTCATGGCTCATTACCCTGTTCTCTGAGAACAGCCTTACATAAGTAGTCCACCTACAGGTGAATTCCTCTAAGAAATCCTCTCTGCTACATCTGTCTTCTTCCTACCTTCTGTTATTTCTTCTGCTGCTATAACTTTCTTAGTCTTCTTCTTGTTTGGTGACTTAGGTGAACGTTTGGTGGTTGATTTGATGCTGTGAGATGCTGCTGGAACCGGAGGTACAGTCTTTGAAGATGATGGTGATATGGGAGTATGCACTGAGGCCAAGCAAGACAGTGGGTTAACAATCTTATTTATATTCATCAGCAAGTCTAGCTGTGAGAGACACAGAGGTTTCTGGCTTCAGGAATAGGTGCTGGTGAAAATAAGTGCAGGTGGACTATAGTCCAACACTTAAAACTCATTTAGACTCATTTCTCAAATTGTTATAAATTATGGTAGGGAGCAATGGCCCAAGAGTCCGAAGACCTTAAATTTCAATTTTAGAGGCCTGTGCAGTTTGAATCTATCATAAAAATGGCAAGGTAATCATGCTGTTAAGAAGAATATAGTAATTATATTTTCCTGTTTCCAAATTGTTTGATCAAATTATAGCAACTTGATTTTCACCTTATTACAAAAGTTCTACATAAATATATATTCATGTGAAAATTTTATACTGTCAGGTTTTTCCTCAAAATGTGCTGCCCTTCTCAAAAGACACTAGCTTGCTGTTTATCTTTTGAAACTTTTTGATTCAGTGGCAGTGAGGATTTTTTTTCCCTCCATTTTCATATCTATAAGAAAAGACAGGCATTTTTTTATATAATTAAGAACAACCCAAAAAGGAGAGGGACTTCTGGAAGATCAGAAAGCAGAGAACACTAATGGTTACTCCCTGGGTAAAGAATTGGGGTCAAGTCCTGCTGCCCCACCACGTATCTCTTAAGAACTCTACTGCTGTGGCCTTTAAGAACTGACAACTCTGCCTTTCCCTCACACAACAAATGCCAAGTACCACAATTTGAGAAATAGTTTTATTATATACTAGCAAGTGATGTGGGCAAAGCAACTCTTGGGCTCAGTTTCCTTACCCACACCCTGCAGAGATTGAACTACTTTGGTTCCTTCAACTGTTGACATCTTAGGATTGCGAGTTACATGCCTACAAGCAGTATTCAACAACACTGAAGCTACCAAGTGGTGAATCTCAACATAGTTTGGTGGCCTTTTTATTGATTCTAAAGTATTGATGCTCTGAGCAGTTCTTTTGTTTTCTGTTGGGGTCAGACCCTACGTTTAAACTCTGTAAATGAAGTTGCCTGGCATTGCCTTTCACCCCCCACCTCCACACCCCTTATTTAACATTAAAAATTCAGGTCTGTGATGCAACACTCACTAGCAGAATGCATTGTCTTTATTAAGGCACTCTCTTAAAGCTTCATCACTCTCTAAAGATTTTCCTTCCCCACCTGAACCCCTGTGTAAAATAAGTTTAACTTTTGTCTCATGGTCAAAACTACTATCAGGGAAATGAGTAAATATCTATCACCCATCCTGGCTCACTCTGGGAGCTTCAGGAATTCTGAGCTCTCAGGTTTTGATTACAAGGGTGTTGTCTCCACTTTTAAAATGCATTCCAATAACATGCAACAGTTAAACAGTATTGCTCAGCTATGCTGATTACTTTTTTCCACCCTTTCTCCGAGGTTCTAAAGACGCAAGAAGCAAAGACTTGCTTAAATAAAATGATACAATTATGCAAGTGATACTTATTTTTCACCTTTCCCTCCACAAATATTCTTACTTTAACAAAGCAGAGTTAGTTGGAGAACTATTAATTTTAAGTGACATGTCATTTTTCAGAATCTTTGTAAAGTCTGGACGGTTTTTGTTACACACTGAGTTACATTCAGAGCCTATAACCAGCTTCAAGGACTTTTAAAATGGGAACATACTTTTTAGCTGACTATAACACAGAATAAGGAACCCTGGTGGCTCAGAAGTGAAGTGCTTAGTGGCGAACTGAAGTCAGTGGTTCAAACCCACCACCACTCAGGGAGAGAAAGATGTGGCAGTCTGCCTTCAGAGGCTGATGGAGCAGTTCTCTCTTTTAGGGTTGCTGTGAAGCTGAATCAAATCAACGGCAATGACATGACATTCTACCATTAGAACAGAGACTACAGGGAGCACTTCAGTGATGAGAACAATATATATAAGTGAATTTATGAAATTACAGGTAAAATTACTAAATTGTATATATATACAATTAAATAAATACAATTTAGTAATTTTACCTGTAATTTCATAAATTCACTTGCCCAGAGCAGCTGACAGTATAGATTCTGCCCTTAAATATGTACTTTAATACATTGATACCAAACACACAGATAGCTCAAAGGATAGTTGACTGTGGAGTTGTCACTATTAGGATGAGACAAGAAATCACTAAGGAAGTGGATTACTAATGGTTTAACCTGAAATTGAACCCAATCAGAAGACTAAGCATACACACGCAACCCCTTTCCTCTCTGCCCCTCAGCCTGGGCCCTCGTGTGCTCTTGCTGCATAGGGACTGCTGTTGGAAGAGACTTCCTTCTTTCACCCATCTTTGTGAAATACAATTATTCTGAAATAGGTTAAATGTTAGTAAAAGCAAAGCCTTAGGTGGACTGCACATTAGACACTGTCAGCAAAGCTAAGGTAGTGCACAGATGTGCGCGTCCAGAGGGGCATCGATGATGCCGTGTTGCTTACCTTCTTCACAGAAGCTGTCGTAGTCAGGGCAGCACTTGTTGTACTTCTTACACTGTGAGTCACAGTCACATTCTCGCCCCCGGGCAAAGGACTCAAAGCAACGGCCTTTACAGGAAAGCTCTGCCCCGAGGAAAACAAAACAGCATGGCTTATTGAATGCACAGCAAAGTCCTTGTATGGGTAGCATTTCCCTAGCTGACTAGTGTTGCCAAAGTGCATCTCTGCATCTTTTCTTTGGACTTGGAATCACATTGTCTAGCCAAAACCAAATGGTATCCAAAGTGGAGACTCCAAGTCAGAAAGCTTTATGATGACTTAGGGACGTTTTCTTGTCCTTCAAGGTTCTAAGGGACAGCCCGATGCTCCCTGAGTCATTTATGAATATGAACAATAGAAAATTAAGTAATACTTAAAAGTGAAATATATGACAAATGGAACCCCTCCATCTTCTCTTTACACACTGCTTTTTTTTTTAAACATTTTATTGGGGGTATGTACAGTTCTTATCACAATCCATACATCCACTGTTAAATGCTGTTTTTTAATACATTACTTTTAACTATTACTGGAATGTTCAGGTCCTAGGACTATATATTCCAACAAGCTAGCTTAATACCAATGGGTCACTGTTCAGACTTGAAAATCCTTTATAATGCATTGACTTATTACAGCAAATCTGGCCAGGAGCTTGAAAGCTTTCAACCTAATCCCATGTCATGAACTATGTAAAAGTGACTCATTAAAAAAAAAAAAAATCCTGACAAAGAGATACAATAACTTTTAAAGCCCTATTTGAAAGGATTGTCTTACACAATATATTTAAATGGCTTTGCAGGCAAATTCTAAAACAAGTCTAACTTTTAAGAATTTTATAATTTTTACACCTTGAACATGACCATGTTTCTATGTTCATGAAAAAGTGGTTCCAGATGTGTTTGAAATATCACTCATAGTTTGAAATGTAGACCTTTGGGTTTTAACTGAAATACCTCCAAAGCCTAAATACTAATGCTTTATATATAATGATGATTTAGAAACATGTTATCAAAAAGTCAAATAGTAGACAAATTTATTGTGTATCTATGGATTCTTTTACTAAAAGACAGCAAGTAATTGAAAGGTCCACTACTAAGCAGTTGCCTCTGACAGGTAAATAATATCTCCTGAGTTACAGTATTTAAGACTGAAACAGTGCCCCTGGATAGTGAAATGAAAGAGTTATAATGTACTCTCAGTATGCTGCTAACCAAAAGGCCGGATGTCCAAGTCCCCCCAGAGGCACCTCAAATAAGGCCTAGTGTGACTTCTGAAAAATCAACTGCTTGGGAACCCTTAGGCACACAATTCTACACTAGTACAAGCAGGGTGGCCAGGAGTCAGAGCCTACTTGATGGCATTTGGTTTGACCAGTGCTGGTTTAAAACAGGACATTTTACTTGGAGATAACCAATAAGCTTTTGCAAGTGACAGATTCCCAGGTGCCCCCTCACCCAGTCCCAGTAACCGCAAGCTTTGACACCATCCTTATGCACAGCACACCGCAACATTTATGCAAGTGGAAGCAAAGACACTGAAGCAGAAGAAAGGGAGTAGTGAGGAAGCAGAGGGAGTCTCACAGGACAGTGTCACTTGATAAAGAACCAGCTCTCAGGACTTACCCACAGTGCAGACTTTCTTGAAGTCAGGGCAGCACTCCATGTAGTGTTGGCAGTTATAATCACAGTTGCAGGCAGCATCTCTAGTATACCCTTCCCCACATCTCCCTGCACAGCTTGATAAATCTAAAAGTATACAACACTAGCGTAAACATGGCCAAATCACGTTGAAGAAATGGTACTATCTAATGTGGAGGACAAAACCACTTGGTGAGGGAGTTTATTGATGGAAAAGCCATATGCACAGCCGATCGCTAGGCTGAGACATAAACTTACACTTGGAAACCAAGCAAGCTAACAATGGTTTTTGAACAAGGTACATATCTTAGGGAAGTGGGAGGAGTGGCCGTTACAGCTATGCCTGGTTCTGCTACTAGTGACTCCCAGTTGCCATTTATTGAACACGTTCTATCCTATAGGGTTGCTATATGTTGAAATCAACTCTAGGGCAGTGGGTGTTGTGCTGGGTCATACGTTGTCTCTAGTGCTTACAAAAATGTTTATAGGAGAGTATTTGCCCCTTTTAGAGGTAAATATTAGGTTGCTCGTTGTAGGTCTGCAGTTCAAAACTGCCAGCTGTGGAGAAAAACAACACTGTTTGTGCCTGTATGGATTTACAGTCAGAAAAGATACAGGGTCACTCTCAGTCCGAAGCAATTGGAAGGCAGTGGGTTCCAGGATTTCTTTTAGAGAGAAGACCACTGAAATAAATGTGAGTGAGTTGCTCAAGAGCAAACACTACTGTACACAGTTCTGGTTTATAGCTCTTGCATGTCGACACCTATTAATTATTCCTACTGACCCCTTTTACTCTCAGAAATGTTCCAATTTCTATCTTAAATTACATGATCATCCTAATCTAACAGCCCATTTGAACATTCACAAATCTTATTCCAAAATCCATACTTTTCCTACCCAATCACATTCTCATGCCTGACAGTTTAAAGCAGGCTGGTGACGTCAGAGGGAGCCCTACTGGTACTGTGGTGAACTTAAAGGTGAGGGGTTCAAACCCCTCAGCTGCTCGGCATGAGAAATACATATAGCAATCTATTCTGCAAACATTTGCATTCTTGGAAACATTTTTCCATTTTGTTCTAAGGGTCCCTGGCTATGGGTTTGTGTTTGGGAGTTATGCCAGCACAGACTACAAAAAGGCTCCCCCGCCTTTCCTCAACTCGGACAACTGGGTTCTTTACATTTTGGGGAAGTTGGATGCTTAAAACTACTGCTAAAATGAGTACGAAATGGATAGCCTAAAAACCTCCCTGAGCGATAACCTTGGGACTGTAACCATAGAATCCATCTCTGGAATAGACTGGCAGGTGCAATGTTCCAAATCCATAAAGAGAAGTTGAAACACGCTGCAAAACTCTCAAAACAATGAGTCCAGAAAAGTTAAAGACAATATGCTAATAAAACAATAAAGATTAGACAAATTATAGACCTTTTTGCATACATATGTGCATAATGCATACAAAAATGCATATATAGTGTATGTATATAAATACATATATATATAAAGATTAAGAGGTTGAGAAGCAAGAAAAGCAGACAAGAAAACAAGACAGTTAAAAGATTATTTTACAGGTAGCAAATTTCTGAAATAGACTAATAATCTTTATAGGCAAAAAAGTTTATCGTCATAAATCAAATGCCCTACTTTTATTGCTATTGATATGGCCAAGATAGACATAATCTTTATAGGCAAAAAAGTTTATCATCATAAATAAAATGCCCTACTTTTATTGCTACTGATTATGGCCACTAATTTTAGCTTCATCTAAAAGTAAAAGGGAGTAAGCAACCGACTCTCTTACAGAGGAAAGTGTGAGTAGGAAAGGTGCCCAGCATCAGAGACTTGTGACTGCATCTTGACAGAGCAGAAGGGTCTGAAGAAGCCAGAGAAGTCAGCAGACCTTCCTGGACACATACACATGTACATGTTTTCATGCTTATGTCCATCTTTGTTCTTTTCCTAAGCAAGTCAGGTACTCTTTCACAGTCAAAATTTTAGTTATTTTTGTGGAACTACCTACTTTAGCACTTTCACCATAACAGTTATGAATTTTCCTTTTCTTCCCTCCAATTTTGATTATCAAAGAAATACAAAGAAAAGAAAGACTCTGAGCTGAAAAACTTTGGTCAATGTGTGTACACTGAATGTGTATGGTGACATCATGTAAAATGTGAATAACAAGAACCATTCACCCAGCAATCTTTCCTTGTAGGTGTGTAAATGAGTCAATGTTGTAATACAGATTGGCATTCATATCTGTGTAAGTACTTATAAGAAAGAGAAATTTCAAGAATAATAAGATGCCATTTGAAACCCAATAGATGTTTCTCATGACATAACATCTAAGTCTACATGATCCCAAAACAAGTTCCTTGGAAAAATCATTAATGTAAAAAACTAATTAAATGGTTTTCCCCACATACTGACAAAAAAATCACTCAAATTAATTTTCTTTTCAATTATTTTGATGGTATGGAATACCTCCTGCATAACTTTTTGATGTAAGCATCTGTGCTTTTGGAACAGTCAGGAGAATCAGGAAAAAGTGAATGTTCAAATTATTCTCTATATAAAGCACACGATCCTTAAAAGGTTTCATAATACAAAAAGAAATAAAAGTGACAATTCCCAAATGCTTGTAATGATGGCTTTACATGCTTTTTAAGTTATACTATCTGTTAAGCAAAAATGTATACACTTTTAGAAATCCATTTATTTTCTTGTCATAAAAAGTCAAAACTGAATGATAAGCAATATGTTTTTAATAAAAGTACCTATGATGGTATTGGTACCTTGAGAAGAAACTTGCTGAATCAAGAAAACAGAAAGGAGCAGCAGCGAGTAAATGGGAAGCATTTTCCACTTCATGGTTGTTTTCAGGTCCTTGCTGAAAATAAAATGAAAGTATTAAAAAACTACTCTTTAATCTTAGTGCTAGCATATGTCCTTGGTTAGACACAATATTCCAGTAACTCCTAAAATGTGATTTAATAATAAAAACTGCTCTATTGTTGAAACAGGCCTTTTAAAAGTAATCGGTATTTTATAATAAATATTTGATCATTAAGTTTAATCATAAACAAACTACAGATATGTGATCAAGTCTCTAGCTCAGCCCTGATATTGACTCTATTAATACTTTAGAAATCCCCAAATTTAAAATAGACTTGAAATCTCTTCAAATTATAGCATTACTTAAAATGCAAAGTTGAAATACTGTCTTGGGGACCAAAAATAACTTGTTTCAGTAAAATTTAGTTTAACACAGTTGTCATTCCAACGTTCCTTTTTAACTCATTATAAAGTTATAAGCATTCAACAGGTGTATGGCATAAAGGTGATTCTTTTCAAAGCTCTCCAACTACTATCCTTGTGAATCTTTTCAAAGCACATTTAATAAAGTACATCCCTGTTGAAGCAAAATTGCATCAAGCAAGTTAATTTTGACACTTACCTGTCAACAGATAGATGAATTCCTCTAATGTTCTGGAAGTCTTATATATCAGGACAAACATATCAGGGTGAACCAATCAGCCCAAAGGTTAGACAAAATCAACAGTGACAACCTATGAAACCAAGCTTTCCTCATTTACTGGAAGAGGGCCCAGATGACTAGACTTAGGCAACATCTGGAAAACACTACCATTAAGAAAAATGACTACTACAAAATAAATTTAGATTTATTGGCCAAAACACACTTCTAATTTCTAACTGAAGTGGACAAATTGTCCTGAGATGGTAAATCACTTTGGCAGGGTTTGACCTGTGTATTGAGGCGGCAGCTTAGAAATAGTCACATACTGATGTCTCTCTCTTTTCTTCCCTCCTGGTCTCCCTCCCTGTCTTCCTTTCCCTTTTCCCCCCAGTTAAATCTAAGTGATCTTGAAATTTAGCCTGTGCAGTATGTATTTGTAGTATATGTGTGTGAACATATACCATTAAATAAACGTGCATTTCTTTCCTTGAGCATTTATTTGCCTTGTCACTGAGCGCAGATCTACTATCCGTTACCCCAGGTATGTTCTCCACAGAATGAACATTCTACCATCTTTTATCATAGAAAACCGATCTTAATGTATCCCTTAGTCCCTTTCTTTAAGCCCCACGGGGTTGCAAAAATACCTTAGCTCTTCTTTCTTTGTCACAGAGAAAATGTGAACCTTTAAGTCAACTCACCTTAAGACTGTGCTGCAGCTGGGTATGCACTGTGGTTGCTTAGAGCCTATTAGACCCAATTTATGCCCTAACGCCTCTCTCAAGCTTCCCAGGGGCAAGTCAAATCACATCCAGAATGATAGTCAACAAATGTTCTACGGTGTATTGAAATTACATGATAGTCAACAAATGTTCTACAGTGTATTGCAATTACATGCTTCCTGTCTCCTCGCCCCTCCCCATCACCTCTCCCCCAAAGGTTGCTATTTCCCTAAGACAGCCTATTGGCAATATCTAGTCTGTGCTTCACAAAGGTGTGTCTTTAACACGTGCTCATTGAAGTAAACTGTTGTGCCTGAATTCTGCTGTGTGCTGTACATTTGGTAGACACTCAATTGAAGTATTACAAAATGTCATTGAGTTAAACATGATCATCTACATTTTACAAATAAGATGATGAAGATTCAAATAATGGATGACCTATCCCAGAATACAAAAGAAGTAGGAACCAGAGTTGAAAAGTGGACCTAGGTCTTTTCACCTTAAATTCCATCTAATTTCCAGTATATCCAGCTCCATTTTGATCAGTCACCACCCTAGTACTTAACCGTGGGACTAAAGTTACTTTTCTACTATGTACATAGTTATACAAGAATGGCCTTACTAAGGACAAAAGCAATGACAAGTGTCTCTTGTTTTCCACCATGATTATTTTTGGACTAAGCATACCGTTTACAATTGTAGAAGACAATTATAAATTCTACAATTCTCAATTGTAGAAGACAATTTAGAGGTTATCTGCTGAGTTCTAAAGAATTCCCTGTTCTGTGGGAACTATTTTCCCATCCATAGGAGTACCATGTTCCTGTTAGCTGTGTTCTTATGTATAATCTTGCTCCGGTGGACAGGGTGCACAGGATTGAGAGGCTAAACCAGAATGGAATTGGACTAATAAATAGGTTCCTTTCCCCTAGGAATTTGGTTGGTATTACAATTCAGAGATTACCAAGACTCCCTGGCTACGTTGTTTTGTAACATGGAAATGTCCGTCGATCACTGAAGAAGCTGAATAACCTACTCCACCACCAGGGCTCAAAAGCAGATACCTATACTTTATTCTGAAGAAGCTGCTGAATACAGATATAAAACAATGCAGAGAGAAACAGGCCAATCAAATTGCTGATCACTTTCTAGGACATGGTTTTTCTTTTTTTTTTTT